CCATTATTTAATGGAGTCATTCTTTAAATGACTTTAACAGTCATTTTTTAAACAATCAAAATATGGTCAACCAAGTTAAACAGTTAATTTGCTCAAAATTCCAAAAGCTAGTGCAGATTTTAGGTTTTGTTTATTATGTGAGTACTGGATGTCATTCTTTTGGCTTTGCCTTCTTTAATGTTTGGATATTGATGAATAAAACATGTTCAGTGTGCTGATTCTACAAATATTTGTATGCCAGACTATGCTTTCTAGTCACATTTTGCATTTTAATATAACAGCTACCAACCAGCAAACAGTTTTTTATACCTGCAAGCTCTTTATCCAGGTTTTCAATGAAGCTCTGTAGGTCACTGGTGTCCCCGAGCTTCGCTGTAAAGAGCAAAGATAGAAGAGAGAGAAAGAAGACGTTCACAGACTGGAATGCTTCAGACTCAGAGGAAATGCTGCAAAGTGCAGTGGCATTTCCTGTAGAACATTCCACCCAGAAACAAAGACAACTCACCCCTGAATTTACACAAGGCAAAACAATAGAAGGCAAGTTTCCTATGCAAATTGTTACACTTTCAAATATGTATACAGTGCATATAAATATAAACATACAAAAATTGTAGAAATAAATTAGATAGCTAGATGGAGAGATAAATATTGACTATAACTACTAAGGTATAGTCCTCAGTACAACCCATTTCAGTTGCAGACAGACTTAAAAATTAACAGTATATTTACAGTAGCTTTATGTTACAAGTAAGCTCAAATAATTATAGAACAAAATTGGAATTACAACAGAAAAACACACATGCATATACATCATCTCTGACTAAATAACTGATTGAACATTTATTTTATTTATTTTTTGAATCTTTTAATCTCCACTGGATTAAACTGACTCACCATCTAATCACATTATCATAATTCTATCACACCAGCACGCCAGCTTTTAATGCATTCTGTGGCAAAATAAGGAGCATCAAACAGCCCAATCTACAAAGACTACAATAAGATGTGCAGAAATAGCTTACAGGGGTAAGAGTCATGCGTGAAATAGGGAAAAAAAAAAAACATTAAGGCTTGTTTAGCAAATGTGATGGCTATCTGCTGAGAGTTGTTATGTTAATACCTTTTGATCCTGTGGTCGTGCTTACAGTGTTGAGCTCCTCTTGACTGGCATTCAAACTGTTTACCAGCGATGCCTCGCTACCTGAAAAGACACAAAAGGTTTAATGTGTGCCTCATACATGTGAATGTGATTGTACAAGGTGGTTGAGGCACACAAGGCTCTTGATATCAGAATAATAATACCTTTTTAAATCAAAGGCTAACTAATATATGAATTATTCCACATGATCACATTAAGGTTGCAAGGATCACAATGAATTACATAAGCAAAGCTCTAAACATGTCTGTATGAGTCAGGCCAGATTGAAATGTCCTTTTTATGGCAGAGACAAAACTGCTCAAAAAAAAAGGAAAATCTGACCATCAATATACAGTAGTGGACATATGAAATTAATCAAAAACTTTCTTCAAAGCTATCCTAAAACTATTGAACAACATTTATTCTTGTCTTATAACATTTTTTTTATATTGTTTATATATAAAGTTGAATTATTAGCCCCCTGTTTATTTTTCCCCAATTTCTGTTTAACTGAAAGAAGATTTTTTTCAACACATTTCTAAACATAATAGTTACAATAACTCATTTCTAATAACTGATTTATTTTATCTTTGCCATGATGGCAATAAATAATATTTTACTAGACATTTTTAAGACACTACTATGCAGCTTAAAGTGACATTTAAAGGCTTAACTAGGTTAGTTAGGTTAACTAGGCTGGTTAGGGTAATTAGGCAAGTTATTTTATAACGATAGTTTGTTCGGTAGACTAATGAAAAAATATATAGCTTGAAGGGGCTAATAATATTGTCCTTACTAAGATGTTTAAAAAATAAAAACTGCTTTTACTCTAGCCAAAATAAAGCAAATAAGAATTTCTCCAGAAGAAAAAATATCAGACATACTGTGAAAATCTCCTGAATCTGTTAAACATCATTTGGGAAATATTTTAAAAATAAAATACTAAATAATTAAAATTAGGCATTCAAGTTGAAGTATTTTGTCCTCATTTAGATAAGTAAACTAGGGTGTGCATTTCAAAAAAGCTGAAACTCTAATAAAATCTGCAAAGCAGTGACTGAGATATTGATGAAAGCATGATGAAAACTGAAATATGAAGATAATTATAATATAGGGTATATAAATCTAAAGGATAGTGGAAGGACAGAAGTTGGTCATCTGTGCTTAAAGGGGTAGCTTTATTTAAAATTTACTCACCCTCAAATGGTTTTAAACTTTAATGAGTTTCTTTTTTTATTATTGAACACAGAAGATATTCTGACGAAAGCTAAAAACCTGTATCATTGGCCTCCATAGTAAAAAAAAAAAAGAAAAAAAAACTATGGAAGTCAATGGTTGCAGGTTTTCAGCTTTTTTCCCCAAAATATCTTATTTTGTGTTCAACAAAATAAAGAAACTTAGACAGGTTTAAAACAAGTGAAGGGTGAGCAAATGATGACAGCACTTTCTTTTTAAAGCACAATAAATGCTATTAAATACTTAGGAATGCTTGTTACATTATAAAACAAAACACAATAAATTAATTCAACAAGTACTTACAATAGTCTGAATCGTCTCCATCACTTAGTCCTGTGTGTCTCTTCACATTTCTCAGCACATGGTCAGAGGTCTGAGCTTCGCTTAACTCCTTCACAACATCATTAAACTCCTGCAGTAAGTCGCCCAATTCCAAATCCAGCTCTAAAACAATTAATATCAGCTTTTACAACGGAATCTCTATCTATTGTATATAAATATTTCAATTTTAATCTATTTATTATTCTTCATAGTCTTCATTCATCTACAGCCATTCAAATGATTTCTATTAAATTACATTTTGTAAGATGTGAACCATTCTAAAGCTTACCTGAACTATTTGATGTACACATCCTGTGGTTTTCTGTGAATAGTGCTCTAAACTAATTCTCAAATTAGCACGATGGGTTATTTTACATCTTTATACTCACTCCACCCAGCACATACTACGTCAACCAATCAGAACAAGGTTTTGTCTCCGTGGTTACACTGAAGTCTGGTGTGGGCAAAATTTCCCCTGCCGCCTACACATGACATCATATACGAGACGACAAAAGGAAAAAAAAATCCGACCGCTCGCCAAGTTTAACGGAGTGAACTTAATTTTGATGTACTATCAACGATTTAAATGCGAATTACCATGTTCTATGTTTTATATACATTTTTTGTCCCATTACAATTCACAGAAAAAAACGTTGTTTTTTGTTTTTGTTTTTTTGTAAATTTGTGCAAACTTACTACAGGAGTACTCACAATAGTTTTGAACAAAAAATAAATAAATAAATCAGAGAAATTATCTTAGTTATACATTTAAAGTATAAACAGATGCCAGGGGTAAAATAAATAAATAGGCAAAATAATAATAATAATATTTTTGCTTCATATGTTTCTTTAGCTTTTCTGTTTCTAATGTTACATAGTGTATAGTTTCATATTGTTTAATCTCTTTTTTAAAAATCACAATATGGCTTAGCTTTGGCCCAGTTCTTGACATAAATATGGTATTTTCCAAAGTTGTGACATCATAATAGCCTACAATTTGAATTTATTTCAAAAACCAAATATCATTGAAATAAAGTTAGAAATCATCAATCCAAAATAATTTTGAGTATACACATTGAAAAAACATATAAGTAACAGACTCTTTAACAATAACACAAAAATTGCAAGAGTATCCACTTCAAACCAAAATCCACTTCTTTACAGGATAACATCTGTGTAAAATTCTTACTTTATTACTTATATATAAAAAAAATTTTTGTAACTTTCTACCACATGTTTCCAAATTCAGAAGACCAGAGAACTGCTGAACATGCATTATTATTTTTAATGCATTTCTAATCTTATACTACATTTACCTTTAACATTGTTAATATCACCATTAAATATAACATTATACCTTGTCTTTGGCTGTTGGTCCACATTGTATAGAATAAAGCAACAGTGATACAACTTTATTTTGGACTGCATTAAAAATAACAACTAAGTCTTTTGGTTTTAAAAGAAATGTAATTTTTTAAGGAATTCCTAGTATGACAAAAGCAATATGTTCGTCAAGTAATTAACTGAAATGTTCCTGTGTCATACTATTGGACAGAAAAAAACGTTAGATCAACAATGTTTGCTTACCGTTTTATTATAGCTAACATCTGCAGCAAGACTGTTTCTGTTTCTGTTTATTATTTATTATTTTATTTTTTTGTTTTGTTTTTCTAATATATTGTCCGTCAAAATATATTGTCTCATATATGTGTTGTCAAAAGCGCCAGACACCATTTTATTTTCATCTACTTTTTTGCACTTTTGTAACTAAAAATATAGACCACTTTTTGTAGATTTGCTTTTTCAGTGGTTCAAGTTCTATACAAAGAAAAAAGACGATAATTATTAAACTAATAAAGAATATTAATCAAAACTAAAAATATGGCTGGAATAAAGTCATCAAAGATTCTGAGATGTAATATCGCTTTTACACTCAGGATGGCGACTTAGCCTAAACATGACCAAATGACACCGTTAACATAACTGCCATAATATGCCATTCCACAGTATTTTATTTTGAAATTCATAGTTTCAGTAGGCTACACTTCTGTTCAGACGTGCAAAACTGAACCTCAGTTGAAAAGCAAGCCATACTATATAATCTATTTTATTATAATTGAGTGTGTATAGTATTATTACTGCATTAAGGGGCTTAGTGTTGAAAGGGATAAACTACCTTAGCGCGACCCATCTGTCTTTGAATAGCACTTAACCAGAAAACATCCCGTCAGACCAGTATTTTTCCCTTTCTGCCAACGAATGAACAATCGTGAGTTAATCTTCAGTCGTTCACCTGTAACTCAGGTAAGGTTTCCGCCCCGACACATTTCGTGCGAGTGAGTGAGAGCTACTCATGCTCCCAGAGATCAACATGTTCTTGAAGAATGGACTGCTTGGCAGAGTCGGCACTACCACATAATGAATTGGAAAACACTACAGGTCAGTGTCTGATATAATAAAATAATTATAAATTAGTCCATTGTAATAAATAAATATCCTTATATCTCTTAGTTTCACACTGAACACCGAGTCGGGGCTTACACAGAGGTAAAAGTCCTCTGCAGTCTGTGTAGTAACTGGTCGGGGTTCCATTAGTTCCATTAATGTTTATTAATGTATTTGATTGCATGGACAAACAATGAACATTGTATTTATCATAGTATTCGTCTTTGTTGACGTTAATGCATGGGGGAAAAAGTTTTCAATTGTTGTTAGTTGTTGCATATGATAACAAGCATGAATTTGGATTTGAATAATGTATATTAGTAAATGTGGCACTATGATTGATAAATGCTGCGCAAGTCTTGTTCATTATTAATTATTCATGCATGTAAATACATACAACTAATAAAACCTTATTGTAAAGTGTGACCTTGGTTTTGTAATAGTTCCCTGTAATAATTCATAAACTTAGCCTGTCAGGTGGCACTTCTTAATTTTTTTATTATTATTATTATTTTCTTTGTTGTTGGTGAACAAACAAATTAAATTGAAACTAGACTACAAAGTACTAGACTGCTAATTAAACTACTGAATACTACAAAATTGTATATATTTACAAAATAATAAACAATATAAAACTTTAAAAAGCTAAATAAATATATATATATAAAAAAATCATATATTGAAGTCAGAATTAGTAGCTTACCACAATCACCCCCCCCCCCCAATTAAATAATAGCCCCCATTTTTATTTTTTCACCAATTTCTGTTTAACAGAGAGAAGATTTTTTTTGTTTCTAAACATAATAGTTTTAATAACCCATGTCTAATAATAACTGTTTTGTTTTATCTTTGCCATGAAGACAGTAAATAATATTTAACTAGAATTTTTTCAGTACACTTCTATGCAGTAGAAAGTGACATTTAAAGTCTTAACTAGATTAATTAGGTAACCATTCAGGTAGCGTAATTGGGCAAGTTATTGTATAACAGTGGTTTGTTCTGCAGGCTATTGAATAAAAAATATAGCTTAAAGGGGCTAATAACTGTGTCTTTAAAATTGATTTTTTTTTTAAAATTAAACACTGCTTTTATTCTAGCCAAAATAAAACTTGGAATATATAATACTTTCTCCAAAAGAAAAAATATTATCAGAGATACTGTGAAAATGTCCTTGCCCTGTTAAACATCATTTGGGAAGTATTTAAAAAAAGAAAAAAAAAATTGTTCAGTTAAATTTTGTCCCCTGTTCATAGAAAACATGCAGACATTTGCAAGCTTGGTTTAGATTATTCTAAAGTTACATTTCTGAGTGCTGGAACATGTAAGACTACATTTCAGCATGAGTAACAACACATGGGAGAAAAAAAAAACTCTGACTTGGTGGTTAAGGATTACACGCTTAACTCCTGAGTCTGGTTAAACTTTCATTTGGAAAGAAGGATGTCTGCCAGTAGTAAGTCTCTTCTCTTGTTTTGTAGTGGGTGCTTCTCTTGGCATGTGCTGGGCAAATCCATAGCCTTGCACTGCGTTTCAGCGTCCTGGAGGAGCAAGAAGCAGGCCTTAAAATTGGAACACTAAGTACAAACTACTCAGCTCCATACCGGCTTCTCAATGAAAGATACATCAGGGTGGATGAGATAACAGGGGATCTGTTCACTAAAGATCGCCTTGATAGAGAAACTTTGTGTCCATCACATCAGGATGGAGAATGTACTTTTTTAAATACTGCAGTCGTGAGCCCTCATTTGGACGTAGTTCCAATGGTAATTGTTGTGAATGATATTAATGACAATGCTCCTGTTTTCGAAAGGAATGAAATTCCTCTACGCATACCTGAAGATACGTCCATTGGGACTACTTTCCTGCTGGATGACCAAGCCCAGGATAAGGACACTGCAAATAATGGCTTGATACATTATCATTTAGAGGGATCTAATGGATTTTTTGGCATCAGACAAGAGGATTATGGACTCGAGCTCATAGTACAAAAGGAACTAGACCGAGAAACTCAGGATAACTACTTCTTAGTTCTTGTAGCAGTAGACAGAGGTTCAATGCCACTCAGCGCTACTGCTAATCTCAGTGTAACTGTAACCGATGTTGATGACAACTGCCCAGAATTTGATGATGATAGCCCCATCAAAGCCATTGTGCCAGGATTAGGAATCAAGGGCACTGCGGTGGCTCAGCTTAAAGCAACAGACAAAGACCTGGGCCAAAATGCCCAGATCACATTTTCCTTCAGCCGTCAGATCTCAGACAGAGCCAAAACACTCTTTTACATGGACAGACACACAGGCCTGATCAGCTTAGCAGTTGATGTGCACACTGACAGTCCTGAGGAGCACATGCTGAAAGTTTTTGCGAATGGTCCACTTTGCCCCCCTGCACAAGCTCAAGTAACTGTATACATTCAGCCCATGGTGAGCTCTGAGCCGACCATAAAGATCAGGTTTGTCACAGAGCATAAAAACCAAGTAATCATGTTACAAGAGAACGAACCCCCCACCGTCTTGGCCCTCTTGGAGTTGGAAGACACCTCTAGTGATAAAGGTACTCTGTCCTTAGAAACAGACAGCATGCCATTTTCTTTGAAACAGCAAGCAGGCAGCTATTTGCTTTCAACATCAAAAGCTCTAGATTTTGAGCTGTGCGGCGAGTACGATGTTACAGTTGTTATTTCTGATCCTCATGGCGCACGCCTACATGGAAGGGAAGTGATCAAAGTGGTGGTTCAAGATCTGAATGATAATGCCCCAAAGTTTGAACAAACACGTTACGAAACAGACATCAAGGAGAACAACAAGCCTGGAGAGTTTCTGCTGAAGGTACAGGCTACTGATGCAGATAGCCATCAGTTTGGCAAAGTAGAGTATAGGATTACAAACGGGAGTCCTTTCAGAATTCAGGAAGAGACAGGTGTGATATTGGTCACAGAGCCTTTAGATAGAGAACAGCAGGGGACATACATCCTGACTGTTCTTGCCCAGGACGGCGGCGATCCTTCTCAGGAGGCCTTTGCTATTGTGTTTGTAAATGTACTGGATATGAACGACAATCCACCAGCCTTTCCAACCCCTCATTTCTATTTTTTTGTGTCTGAGAGCCTTCCGCATCTTTCTCAAGTCGGTAAAGTCACAGTAAGTGATGCTGATGACGGAGACAATGGAAGAATAGTGGATTTGCGTATATTAAATGACAAGGCCCCTTTCGTCATAGACATGTCACAAGGGATGCTCCGCAGTACTGGTGAAGTCGACCGTGAGAAGCAAGATCGCTATGAGCTTTTGGTTGTCGCTGTAGATGGTGGCAGTCCAGTCCTCTCCACTACTGTGAAAATGACTGTTTTTGTTGAGGATATCAATGATAATCAACCACAGGTCCTTCTTCCTAGCAGCAACCTGTCCTGTCTGACCATATCTCCAGCTACCCAGGCAGGAAGCATGATAACAAAGATCTACGCCATTGACGAGGACTCAGGAATGAATTCAGATATCACATATCAAATTATTGCAAGTGAACCAGCTCTCCAAAGCCCCTTTCAGATTGACCAGCACTCAGGAAACATCACCCTTGTCCAGCATCTGCGCGGTGAAGACTACGGCATGCACCACCTTTTCATAGTTGTTCGTGATGGAGGAAAACCAGACCCGCTGCAGACCACCATATGGGTTAATTTACTGGTCAATGAAACTTTGGAAAAATGTCACGTTAATGCTGTCCCAGAATACTCTCCTCAGACATTGCCTACTTCAATGCCGCTTTCTGTCAGAGGCTCCAGATGTGAATCAAATTCCTGGCTCATTTTTCTTTGTGGCCTGGGCCTGATGGTCATGTCGGTTTTTATTCTTCTAGTGTCTGTAGTGGTATTTCTAAAACACAAAAAGACGAGAAGAAAAATGGAAAAAAAGGATGTATGGGAAAGTAAAAATATCTGTGAACTGAAACCTTTAAACTAATGCAAAGGCCTTACAGATATACTGATTAAATATTTTTGCAAGTATGGCAAGAGTGAAAATATATGTATATATTTCTTTCTTTGAAATAATATTCTTTGGCTAGTATTATAATAGGTCCATAATATATTGCTGTAGTACTGCTATGATCTACTGTCAAGTCTATTAGTGCTTTTGCCAAGAATATGAGTCTTAACTTAAAATTTTAAATAAACTTGCATAAAATGAATTCTTTAAGGTATAATAGATAAAGATAATGTTTAATCAATTATGTGACACTGAATTACCATAAAAGTCTTACAGAAACAAAAGCCCTTTTATAAATTTTTTATTTTTTTTATCTTGTGAACCACTCTTTTATATTGTACATTAGATGAAACCATCAGCAGATCTTATTGTGCATATCTTCATCAGACTTTCAAAAGTAAATTAATGCTGGTTGATGTTAGATAAATAAAAGAAGAAGTAAAGATTACAAAGATGCAGACATATAAGCCTCTGTGATCCTCAGTGTCTTCAACAGAAGAGAATAAACACTTTTCAACCAATCCCTTATAAAAGCATCTTCATTTCTAAAGCTCTTCACAAGATTGTACAACATAGATTGGGCTTTACAAGGATGAACAGTAAATGATAAAGAGTCAAATAAGAAGACTTTTTCATTCCAGAACATATTTAATACATCAGACAGGCAGCAGAACATAGTATAGAATGCTGGTATAGTTCTTGTTAGTTCAGTTCAGAGACAAGCAGTTAGAGTTTGAGTATGCAAAATTATGGCAAACTAATCCTAAATTATCCCAAAAGGGGCTGGATAATGATTGGACATTAATAAAGATTGATCCATGTTTTTACATTTCTGTACAGAGCGCTCATGTTTTGATCTTCTGTTGTTCTCATGCAATCATGCGATGCGATTTTACAGGTCAGAGTTCACCAAGCTTGAACATTTTAACGCAGAGATATGCAGAACTTGTCGCACGAGCTTGCATTTCTAGTCTGGTGCGTCCTCCTGAGAAAAGTGTAGAAAATCTAAGGTTTCAAGTTTTCTCTCAATTTAAAAGTCTCTTTTTTACCACATTCAGAAGGGGCGGAGACAGAATATGTGAAAGGAATAAGGAAATGGCAAACGATTGTGTGTTGAATGAAGTTTATTTGCAAAAGAATGTTGATGAAAGATAAGCTCCTTCCTGTTGGCTCAGGTTAACGAAATTAACAGGTAGAATTTTTGATTTTAAGTAGTGCATGTTTAAAAGAAACTAAAGGAACCTTTAAAATAGTTTTAAAAAGGCTTTAGCAGTCATTTAAACTTTTAGTTCATTTTAAATAATATAGTGACTTAATTACTATGTTAATGGGATGGTTCTCCCTGAAATGAAAATTCTGGTTTAAAACTTATTAAGAGATTCTTTTGTTGAAAACAAAAGAAAATATTTTTAAAATGCCAAAAAATAGCTTTTTTTCCAACTATAAAACTTGATGGGTCCCACCAAAGAGCATTCTACTAATCATCTTTTGTGTTCAACAGAAGAAAGAAACTCATAAAAGTTTAACACCAGATAAGGGAGAGTAAATAATGAGGTATTTTCGCTTTTTGGGTGAGCTATCCTTTTAAATATGGATTAGGGTAAAGTCTTATCATGACGTTTTCCACAAGAACTCTTCAAAGAAACTTTGATAATACAAATGTTGCTATAATAATTCTGTTAAAAGCATACATGCTTCAACTTGTTTAGGCAGGTCTATTTAGTGCAGGTTGAATGGGAATGCACTTCCTGAATAGTAAAGGATGAGAACTTAATCTTGTAAGTAATCACTGTCATGAAGTTAAGCAACATGTTTTCTCACTTAGCAAGATGATTCCCAGATTTAGTTTTTTTTTTTTTTTTACATTTTTAACATTCCTGCTTTATCGAACATTCCATAGATCTGTTTTGTTTCCTCTATATTTTTGAGACTTACTGTCAGTTTGTTGTATAATGTGGAAAATACTATTACTGACGCTATTGATCTTTCCAATAAATAGTTCAAATTAGTTTACAAACATTGTATTTCCCAAAAGAGTTATGCACCCTTAAACAGTTGTTTAATATTCAGAGTCAACAGAAATGTCTTTGAAGTGATGTAGTAGAACAAGAAGATTAATGGTATCAGTTGCCAAAATCATACTGAATGAAAATTTAGCTTTCTGTAGACATGGTTTATGCAGAGCTGCGGCTTCAGAGTAAGAACCCTGGAGTTAGGCATTGTGGTGGAGTTGAAATGGATTAATTCCATGTATTATGTCAATCATATTATATTTTATAAAATAATAAAATACTTATTTTTTTATTTCTCATTTATTTAGCTTGAAAAATAGTACAGAATTGTGCAGAACCAACAGTACAGGTTAATCCTTAAGCTTTTTAAAGCTTTTCAGTCAAGAGCAATGAATAATTTCCTCTTTTTTTCAGGAAGTAATAAAGATTTATTAGTTTTAGACATATACAATACACACAAGTGATTTTGGGCAGCATGCAAATACTGAACTCATATTTTGTTGCTAAGATGTGAAAAATACATTTAGGGTTCCTTAAATATCTTTTTTTTTTTTTTTAAATATAATAATGAGAAAGCTATTGTAATATATTTATATTATTTTCTCTCTTGATCTTTGTACTATATTTTATCTGCTCCGTGTCCAGGCTTTTGTGTTCCTAACCTACAAAACTGAAACCTGCGCTCAGTTTTCATTATTATTACTGTTATCTTATCATTATGCCGAGGTCATATTCAGAGTATGAGTTACTTTGGCATTCACTTTCAGTAGTGGAAATACAACCAAGTCACATGGGAAAGTCATTTGTGAAATCAGCACCAAATCATGCATTTGGCGCCAGTAAGCCTGGAATTGTGGCATTTTTATGTGTAAATAAAAATTTTCACCATGCAGGTGCTTCGGTTTCCCCAAAGTCCAAAGACATGTGCTGTAAGTGAATTGGGTAAGCTAAATTGCCCATTTGTATATGTGTGAATGGGAGTGTATGGGTGTTCCCCAGTGATGGATTGCATCTGTTGCATAATTTTGTGTTGGATAAGTTGGCGGTTCATTCCTCTGTGGCGACCCTAGTTTACCAAGGGACTAAGCCGAAAATGAATTAAGGGTTGAATGAACAGGTCCTGAAAAGGCATTTGGAAGTCAGTCTAGCATTATAGAGCTATATTCTAAATGAATATTGTCTAGATGGATGCTGTACAATAAGATATTTGGATTACATCAATACCAAAGTCAAATCGGAAACTGATAAACTAAATATTTTCCCAGGCCAAAACTTATTATACCCTATATTTTTCTCTAAATATGTTAGAGAAAAATGTACAATATTTCTTTTATATATATATATATAGGATTTAGTTGAAATTTTGTAGTTTGTCTTTCGTTTGCAACACCTCATTTGAATTTAAATGCACAATTTACACTTATTTATAATGTTCACTTTTGTGTCTTTCTTTTAAACTTGCCTTAAACTGTTTTCAAACTTTAATTGTTATATCCTTTATGCTTCATTTATTCTTGTTTATGTAAAGCACTCGAATTACCATTTTGTATAAATCAACTTGCCTTACCTAAGTTGTCTTTTCTATATGATGTTATTTGTTTAAATGCACCAAAACACACACACACATGCACACATGCACGCGTGTGTGTGTGTGTGTGTGTGTGTGTGTGTGTGTGTGTGTGTGTGTGTGTGTGTGTGTGTGTGTGTGTGTGTGTGTGTGTGTGTGTGTGTGTGCGTGTGCAAGCTGCTGCTGCTGCTAAAATATTACTGTGCAAAAATTTTTTATGTTCACTTTAAGATACTTTTTAAAATACTGTAGTGAGCTACATGTAAAAAAATAGAAGCCAAAACAAAACCATGTCAGAAAACAAACAGAACATATCCATTGCTGCTCTCTGTAGTTTTCTGTAGGCTAACATTAATTTGCTAAATCTCTTTTATATATATGTCAGGGTAACAATAACAACAGAAGATTGTACGTAGATTGCACATGAGTTATACTGAGAAGGCATAGAATAAGAGAAAAAAAGAGAAAAAAACTAAAAACAAAGAGAAAAAACAATATAAAATCATGTGTTAAGTAAATTAAAAAAAAGAAAATAAGTCAACGTTCTAATAGCTTTAAGATTTTTAGAGGAAGAATAGTTTTAATGTACTAGTAAAATTCCTTTTCAGAAACAATAAAACAAGGTATACATTGAGAGAATTTACAGCACTGTATATGGAATGTTGCAAGAATTAAAAGGAGGTTAATAATGAAATATTCCGTACTTTTATCATCTGGAGTATAGAAAAAACCCAACAGGATATCCTTAAAAGATAACTAGAATCCCTGTAGTATTTTGCGATAAATAACCAAAGAAAGTTAAATCCAAAATCATTGTGTATGAGGGCAATTCCAAAAAATATAATCAGCAGTTTCATTAGGTATATTACAGAAAGAGCAGCATGTATCTATATCCCACTTACTTATTTTTTTTTTAAATGTCTTGGCTGGGTAAAATCTTTGTAGCAGTTTAAATTAAATTTCTCAAATTTAGTTAGTTATTATATATTAAACATATATTTTTCCATTGAATCTGATCATATATTTCCATCCAAAAAAACTTCTCATATGGGGTTGTTACAATTTCCTTTCAAGATCAACCAAACCTGCTAACACGAAACGCCATAGCATTACAAGCACTAGAAGGACGAACACTAGAGGTCAGCAATGGGAAGTATGTTGTTTGAATCCACATTGAACAATATTTTAGCTTAGCATTTACCAGCATTTATCTTGTTTGCAACAGTTATATGACTATTTTGCTAACAAATAATGTAGTGGTGTGTTTCCTAAAATGTGGGTTAACAAATAGTAATCATAGTGCTGAAATAATTTTTGAGTTGATCATGGAGTGAGCTTAATTTTATTTTGTTTACAAGTGGCCTATACTTTATAAAAATATGCTGATCAGTCACACACATACTATATGGCAACACTGCTTTGTTTTTAGAACCATGACCCTATCACTTGGCTCCTTGAACTCTGAGCCATTCATGCAGTCCATTGAAAAGACACATTGTTTCTTAAGGTTGGCCTTTGAGTTTGTCTTCAGCTGTGTTCACTGTGTAGGAGACACATACTGAAGCACAGCACACCACTGCACTGCTGCCTACAGATATGGGTGAGTACAGCAGTTTAACTGTTTTAAACTGTTTATATCATTTGAAAAATGTTTTCTTTCTCATGTATCTCGATACATTTGTGCTAAAGAAAGCAGCATGTGTGTCTAGAAAGATGTACTGATTAAATTGGTGTATATATATTGTATGTATGTTTTAAAGATTCTGAATATCCCTGCAATAGAGTCTAAATATCATGTGAATGGAAATGCAGCAAGGGTTTTTCTCTTGCTTGAAATGTAACTTTCCTTTTTTATTATTTTTAGAGCAACGTCTTAATCTGTTCAGTGTAGTCACTTCCCGTCAAACAGGTGTCCATGCAGAGTAATCACAGTTGTAGATCACATTGACTGAAGCTGATCCACTAACATTTTACATACTATTTGATATCATTCATGTAGTTTAACCAATTCTTACTCCTTTTGTGTTTGAGTTATTTGCAATATCTTTTAAAAGGTTGTTGTCTAAAAGATTAGAAAATATTTTTCAAAGAAGTTTGTTTTCACCATCAGTGTAATTATTTGTTCCTAAAAAGTAATATGTGAAATATTATTGCACTTTAAAACAGTTATTTTCAGCAGTCATTAATCTAAAGTTGATTAAAATGATTTTACTATGTTGCTTTGTTGCTCAAGAAGTATAATTTCTTATTATCAATATTGTAAACAGTTAAACAGCTTACACTTTTTGTGAAAAATTATAAAATAGAAAGTTCAAGAACAACATTTATTTAAGCTTTATTTGAGTTTTTGTTTAACAAGCTATTGAAAGTTGGTGAATTTTTAGGCAATCAAATGTGTGACATTACTCAAATTACTGGCCACTTAACTATAGTACTGCTGAAACAAAATATAAACAAGTTGCAAAATATAATAAAAAATAACAGCTAAAATGAATCAAACCAAAAATAAATGCTTGACCCTTCGTGGGATCAGCGTTCTGCTAATGCTCGTGTGCACCATCACCCCCAACTCAATCTCAATTCTTCCCCCAGCTTTATTTACTATGGATCTTACCCCTATACTCATTTCAGTCAGTCTGCAGGGGGCCGAGGTGGCACCGGCTCTTTGTTTGCTTGTCATTGCTGGCCCTTGTGTGGCATCGAGACAAAAGCTATTGTCAGTGCAGCCACAAAAAGAGACACTCTGGCGCTTAGTCTTCCTTATTTTCTCACACTCTTAATGCCGTGGTACAGACCAGCTCCGTCGCCTACCCCCACAGGAGCACATGATATGGTTGGATGAAGAATGCCCACTTACACTGATCCACCCAGGCTCACACTCTCTGCTGCAGCTGCTGCTTTGTTTTAATGGAAGGTTGAAATCTTTCAGATTTGGATTGTGAATAGATCTCTAAAACAGTAAAGCTTGTTATGTGGTTTTGGTTTGGATGTCAATAAACACTGCTATAATGTGGCAAAAATGGTGTACTTATTAGTGTTTCTGAAACTGGTTCTTAGTGTAAAAACAGGCTTCTATTTTAAGAAGAAATTCAGCACAGTAGTATAAATAATAGATCTGATGGATTCTGATGAAAATCTAAGCTCAGTTTGCCTCTGCAAAACACACCATCATAACGCTAAGGTGTTGTGAGTGGTTTAGGGATAGTTTACTCAAAAAATTCTAATTCTGTCATCATTTACTCACTCTTCACTTGTCTCAAATATGTTTGACTTTCTTTCATCTGTTGGACACAAAAGCAGATATTTTGAAGAAAGCTGACAACCACTGACTTCTATGGTATTTGTTTTTCATGCTATGGAAGTCAATGGAGTCTTCAAAATATTGTCTTTTGTGTTCAACAAAATAAGGAAACTCATAATGTTTGGAAGAGCTTAAGGGTGAGTAGAATTTAAATTTTTAGGTGAACTATCCATTTAAAGAGGTTTCAGCTTAAAATACCCCACAAATAATGTTTTATAATTTGATCTTAATTTTGAGCCATCTTGAAGACTGTCGTTTTAAATTCAATTGAGATTGTGAAAAGAGGGTGAAGCTGCAAATGCCTGTGTGTCAGCATAGTAGCAGATCGAAAAACAAGACTAATGTTCTACTAATGGGCAGGGTTTTTTTCCCATGACATGAACAAACGAAGAATGTCAATCAAAGTGTTTCTGCAGACTGTTTTTATCATGTTTGATTATAAAAAAAAATTTAAATAAAAAATTGCATTAGAAGCTGGTTATATTCAAAGATTTTTGTTACAAAACTGTGTGTAAACCCTGTATAAAAGTGCATTTTGTATAATATGTCCTCTTTAAAGGGATGCTTTCAATCCAAGTTGAATTCTTAGATTTTTTTTCTTAGAGTTGGGTGGTTTGTTAAAAAAAATCAATAACTCAGAGTTCTAATATAGATGCTTATCTTAGCAGATACTAACCCTGTATCTTAGAATCAGTACTTGATGTATTTAGCGAAGCTAGTGAAATCTGTGTTAACAGGAAACCAGAAGGGGAAGGATTAGTGTAACTGCTGTTCATATTTTTTTCTGGCAGAGATAATCATATGCATTTGATCTGATTCCATTTGATGTAGGCCTATCTGGAAAATAAGCTCATGAGTTGTGTGAAATCTTGGCATTTGAAACTATTTTGTATTATCTGTAGTTTTGTACCTTAAAAAAGTGTTGAGGATTATAACGTGATGCATTTTACGTTTATGCTTTTTAATTAAAGATTTAGGGCACTTAAAGCGATAGCTCATCCAAAGTTTAAAAATTCTGTTATAATTTAACCTTCACTTGTTTTAAACATTTATCAGATTCTTTCTTAAACTAAACAAAGATATTTTGAAAAATGTTGGAAATCTGTAAGTGTAATCTTCCATAGTATTATTAGTCCATAGTATTTTTTTCCTCCTATGGAAGCCAGAATAGATAAATAGATAGCTTAAAGCATAGAATCAGTTTCAATTAAGAAATGAGCAAATGAGGAAAAGGGTTTATTAAGTTTTTGTTTGTGGATAATAAATATATGCAATTGATATTTTTTATTAATAGAAATTATTAGAACTATTAGAAGTTATAGTCAAAGATTTTTGCTACACAACTGTGTATACACTTCTTATAATAACCTCTGTCATAATTTACCCTTTACTCGTTTCAAACATTTAAGAGCTCCTTTCTTGTGATAAACACAAATATTAAAAAAAACAACAACAAAAAAACATTGGAAATCTGTTAGTGTTGACTTCCATAGCATTTATTTTTCCTACTATGGAAGTCTTCAAAATATCTTTTTTTGTGTGTGTGTTCAAAGGCTTGGATTCACTTGAAAGTGAGTAAATTTCCATTTTGTGTATGTGAACTATCCCTTTAAATCAGAGATTTAGAAACTGTAGCTTGTTTATTGAAAATGTAGGACAAACATCCAGTAAGCAAGTTTAGTTTAGTAAACACAACTAAAAGCATACTGGTCAAAAATATTTAATCTGGTCAAACTAACTGGTCAAAATAAAAGTAAATATTCTCAATTAATGAAAAACTAAAAGTAAAAAACTAAACAACAGAAACTGAAATATAATAATTTTTAAAAAATAATTATCCTTCTCATTATATAGGGGAAAATCTGACCTGCGGCACTTTCAAGAAATATGTGGAAATGTGTAGATGGCACTTTTAACAGTCAAGTGTATGATTATATACAAATAACTTAAATATAAATTGTCTGTTCTCTACAGTATATCTTTATCTGCCAAAAATAAATAAATAAATAAACCAAGCATGTTTAACTACATGCATACATACATTATCTGTATTATAAACTAGTTTGTCTGAATTCTTCATAATTTTTACTTTTCTGTTAAAGTCTGGTTCTTAAACTCGATTCCTTGAGGGCCGCAGCTCTGCACAGTTTTGCTCCAACCCTAATCCAACTCTGCTGATCCAACTAATCAAGGTGTTTAAGACTTTTTTGAACACTGTTATTTGTATTAGCTATGTTTGATTAGGGTTGGAGCAAAACTGTGCAGAAATGTGGCCCTCCAGGATTTGAGTTTAAGACCAATGGTTTAAGTTGGATGGTTTGGGTTTTTTATTGTCTGTTTAAACAATTATTTAAATTTTTATTACTAAGAGGTTTGCACAAGAGTAAATGTAAGCTGTGCAAACACTAATCTTTGCTTTATTACTAACTGAAAACAGATTTTTTTAGTATAGTTAAAGTTTTATGGTTTAAAATGGTATAAAAGCACTATGAAATAATTTAAACACTCAGTTACCTTGAATAACTTGTAAATTTCACAATAGCACCACTGAAAACATATCCTGTGTGTTTTAATAATATTTATTATCTAATGAAAGTATAATCAGCTTGTATAATGTAAACAGCATAGGGCCTTATACAAATGCTTGCAGCACTCAATAATTTACATGTCTTAGATTAGATAATTCCTCATTAAAACAGATAGATATTGTGTAGCAGGATATTATAGGGATTATCTGAATGTTTGATATAATAAATCAAGGATCAACAAGCTTGTTCCTGGAGGTCCGGAGTCCTGCAGAGTTTGACACCAACCCTAGTCAAACACACTTGAAGCTAATCAAGGTCTTAGGTATACTTGTAGCTTCCAGGCAGGTGTGTTGAGGCTAATGCTGGAGCTAATCTCTGAGGGACACTAACCCTCTAGAACCAAGATTGGTGACCCTTGTGATAAATCTTCAGAAACTAACATTTTATTTGCTTTTGTTTTGAATCCCAGGTTGTTATGAATGCTGTATGCGCTGTCTGGGAGGAGTACCCTATGTCTCGCTGGCGGCCACTCTACTGTGTTTTTCTGGCATTGCTCTTTTCTGTGGATGTGGGCATCAGGCCCTTACAGAGAGCGAAAGACTCATTGAAACATACTTTGCCCGTGACAATCAAGACTACTACACCCTAGTGTACCTGTAGGTGCAACTTTGTGAAATGCATGTCTATTTTATTTTATAAATCAGAGTTTTCATTAAAGCTTTGTTGTTGTCAAAAGTGTAGCAATAGAAGTAGATTATGTTTTGTTTGAAGCGCTGAAATATATTTGTAACGCAATCCTGTCTTTCTCTCTTTTATAGTATTGAGTATTTCCAGTACATTATCTACGGCCTGGCCTCCTTCTTTTTCTTATACTGTATAGTCCTGCTGGCTGAAGGCTTTTACACCACAAGTGCAGTTCGGCAATCACTCGGAGAATTTCGAAGTACAGTTTGTGGTCGCTGTCTCAGTACAACGGTGAGTGAGCTACAATGTGGGTTAAATTGGAATCTTTTCAAAATGTTGCTACTAATAAAAAAGAACAGCAAGACAATACTTTGTTTAAACAGGTTTTAATAGTAATTCACCCAAGCAGTGTTGAGGGTAATGCATTGCAAGTAACGCCAGTTAGGTAATAATAATATTTTTCTAAATTACGAGCAAAGTTAGTAATAATATTTGAGTTGCCTTATAGTTGAATTACTGTAATTCACTTTTACAAAATAAATAGCTGAATTAAAATTAGTCATGTTGAATCATGCACTCACTGAGAATTTGCTCTCCACGAAAACAGACAGAAATGAAGATGGCAAACCAGAGCCTTAGATTTTAGGAATAGAAGTATTCTCGTTATTTTGAATCCGCTGAAGAAAAAAAAGGTAAATTAATGTGTTATAAAGTGCATTGTTATGCTATGCTCCTCTAAAAAAAGAAGAATATCCTGAAAGAGATGATGTAACGAAACAAAGTGACAAAAAATTGCTGAAAAGTAACGTAAAGCATTACTTACCACAAATAGCATGTAAATAGCATAGCATGTTTTCTCAACACTGCACCCAAGTATAAGGAAATAGTTTCGAATCCATATATTTCAAGACATTTCACAGAGCATTCAATGCTACAGACGCATGACTTGCAAACATTCAACTACATAGATGAAAATGAAAGGAGACAGGAGATAAAAGCAAAATTTATTCGTCTGAGAGGCCTACACTACTTTTCCGAAGTTGTGATTAGAAGACTTTTAACTGCTTGAATATATATATATATATATATATATATATATATATATATATATATATATATTAAAAACTTGCTGCACAATATATTATTTGATATCATGTATATTCACAATAGTCACATCGCAGGATTGGATTGTTTATCAAAAATTTAAATATATAATTTTTTTCAAATAATTTATACAATGATTAAATTATATTTATGTTTGATTGTTCAATTTCTTTACCTGAATACTGTTGGAGTTTCCAGAAAACCATAAAGCACTGTTTATTTCACTTTGCTCTGTTGATATTTGCTTGTAATTTATTATGATTTATGCAAATGCAATGCAAAGTAAAAGACTTCATTCCAAGCTATCTAAATGAATGAAATCTTTCCAAATAGAGCTGTTTATATCGTCTGGTGATATTATATCCATATTGCAATATGTATTGCAGATAAATAAAATATTGCTGTGTCAGATCTTTCCAATAATGTGCAGCCCTTTTTAAAACAGTAATACATGTTTCTTGTATTAGTGTTTTAATACTTTTTATTTGTGTTTGTGTGGGTTTTCTTGTTTATATTGTGTTTATATGTGTCCTCGGAGTAAATGTGTAGAGTAAAAGCTGACATTTCTAAAAACCTGGGGACCTTCTATAGCAGTCCGAGGGGGGATACTATATATACACAGCAGGTAAAATAAGTATTGTACATGTCAAGAATTTTCCTCGTAAATATACTTCTAAAGGAGCCGTTGACATGAAATTGATACAGATTTTTGTAAAAACTCAAACAATCCAAACATACAAATTAAACTAAACAAAACAAAAGATCTAAAAACTTTGTTGTGTGTAACTGGACTTCTGAAATGTTTTTAATACTTTGTATAAAAGCTTAAAGAGCGTCTTATATGGAGAATGGACTAGCATACATTATTTTGATGATTGTTTTTCCCCCATAGAGTCTAAATTGTTAATGTTTCTGTTGGTCTCATCTATCAACTCTAATATTTTTGTTTATTCTCTGTTAGATTTAAGTTGGGTGATTGGCTGGGCCATTCTAGCAGCATTGTTTTCTTTTTTCTTTTTATTTTCTTGTCTTGTTGAAATGTCCACCATTATTTCATCTGCAACAATGTAGGTAACGTATGTGTTAGGACAGAAGCAGCTAATATTAATTTTCACTAACAAGGGGTTTGCTTTCTAAATACTGAGAGATTTCAGCTGTCTGGGCTTTCCATGTCTTTTTTAGATTTCCCTTTCTTCATGTGTTCAATACTTTTTTCCAGTGTTATATTTTTTTCATTCAATTATTTATTCATTCATTCATTCATTCATTTTCTTTTCGGCTTAGCCTCTTTATTAATCCTGGGTCGCCACAGTGGAATGAACCGCCAACAAAACAGCACGTTTTTACGCAGCGGATGCCCTTCCAGCAATTTAATTTCTAAACTAATTAGTTTTGTTTTCTTAAGATTACTTTAGTTGTAACTGATGTCAACAGCACTTTTAGAAATGTTTCTGCACTGTAAAAATAAATCTTGGTGCCTTGATTGTTTTTTTGTTTTTTTTTTGTTAAATCAAACAAACGTTTCTAGTCATATCAACTAGATATCCTCAGGTAAGTAATATATGAATACAAACAATTATAGATCTGCAAGCTTCATTCCACATATTGTTGCATTCTAAAACGTGTCAAATCAGTTTGCATAATTTAACACAAGGACATTTGTTATAAGAGATTTTATTTCAAATGATATCAATCAAACTGATTAAAAAGTAAAACATTGCATAACTTCAAAAGTGTAGTTAAAAAAGGAGCTTACTGAAATCAGTTAAAGTAACTTAAAAACATTTGTAGCCATAATTTTTTGCCATAACATTTTTACAGTGTGAAAAAAATGGTCACATGTTCAATGCTTATTTTTACCTGCTGTGTATGTGTATAATATATTTTGTTTTATTTGATTAATAATAATATAGTAGGAGCCTATAGCAATTCCCACAAAAACAGCTGTATAAAAGTTGTATTTTAATTGCAAACAAAGCTGTGTGTGTGAATTTATTAAAATAGTTCTATTTATATTAATACATGTGTATATATTCCTTCCACAGTTCATTGTGATCACATACTTCCTGGTTGTAGTCTGGTTGCTGGTGTTCTCCCTCTCTGCATTTCCTGTATATTTTTTCTACAACATGGCCAAAACCTGTCAAACTATCAATTTCCTTTCTGAAACGCCCTCCAGCATCAACCAGCTGTGCATTGATGCCAGACAGTACGGTAATGACCCACCCTGCATTACAATCTTCATATCTGTTCTACCTTTCAACAGCTTAGAGGTTTGATAACACAGACTGGTAATCATGATTAAAGTCCTGTTGATGTTTTGTAAAGTGCCCTGATGTTCAGATATCCTCAGGAAAGAAATACATGAATACAAACAATTATAGCTCTGCAAGCTTGGTTTCACATATTGTTGCAATCTGAAATGTGTCATATCAGTTTGCATAATTTAACACAAGGACGTTTGCTATACGAGATTCTATTTTTGCGCATTTGCCAAGAAAGTCAGATGGGGTTTCTCAAATGGAAGGCCACGTCTTTGAAAGACTTTTTTGTAATTTAGTATTTTCATAAAGCAATGTGGTGAATGAAAATAATATGGTGATCGCCTGTGGTCTTACAATTGTTTACACACTTTTTTAGTTTATTTTTCTCAATGAACTTAAGCTCATTATAAATGACTGGAAAAGTTAATTAATACTTTTTAACACTAACATATCAGTGACTCTGTTTTGTTATTTTTATTTTTTATTTTTTTGGATTCAGTCTCTGAATGCAAAATAAATATTACAGTCAAATAAATATTACATTATTATATAAATAAATATTACAGTCTTATGCAAAAATTTGGAAAGCTATTTGAAAGCTAGATGTCATGTTTTTCAGACAGAAATACATAGTGTAGCAGTATTGAGATGTGTGAAATTAAATTGAGACTGATAAATAGGCTGTGCAAAGGTTTGTGTGGGTTTCAAAACCTGTTGTCACCTAATGCTGATATGATCACTACACAAAATTGATTTGAGTGACTCAGTGAAGCCACAGTCACACTGGATTTTTCTCCCTATAGACTTGCATTCATACACGCGTAAATTAATTTATTTGCCACAAGTTTCGCAGTTCGCTGCATTGTAAAATTTAAGCTTGGTGGACCTGTGAAATCGCATCACATGATTGCGTGAGACCAATAGAAGATCAAAACATGACCTCTCTGGACAGACATGTAAAATATGGACTTTTTTAGGTGTAATCATCTTGTTTAATCCCACCCCTTGTTGCAGCGCCATACGACAAAATTTTGCACACACAAACTCTAATGTGACCGCAGCATCACACGGCCAAAACTAGACTAAAGCTGTGGTCACACTATACTTTTCTCCCCATAGACTTCTAATCAAACACAAGCAAATGCGTCAGATTAAAAACGAAAGCTCATGCAACAAGTTTCGCAGTTTTCTGCGTTGCAAAGTTCAAGCTTGGTGAACTCTGACCTGCAAAAGGTGGCTGTACAAAAGATTGATGTCATTATTCTGTTAGGGGTGCCCAAATTTTTGCATCTGTCTGTTTTTGTTAAGACTGAAATTGCATTGCATCTGTTTATTAAATAAATATTGCCAAACTATATATTGCTAGGGTTTAAAATATATCCGCACAAAATTGCTGATTTGAAAAGCCAGCAGGCTACGGCTTGCAATTATGAAAATGATCAGGGGTGGGCAAACATTTGCATAAGACTGTTTACTGTATGTATATATTATCTTTGGTATGAAAATTTTGCAAAATATTGTATCATTTGAAAAAATTAAATAAAAGGTTTCATTATTCAAACAAAATATTTAATATTTAAATGTTATAGAAACTAAACAAAAGTTTCAAAAATACTTTGCCATTGAAATGCTGTGGCCAGTATATGCTCAGTGCTGTTTCATTTGTGCTGACACAAATCTCAATAAAACATTGTTGCCCCTGTATGGTTTTAAATGCCCTTACACAGCATTGCATGTCTCTGTCTCTCACTAAGGTTTACTTCCATGGACTGCAATTCCCGGAAAAGCTTGTGGAATGACCCTGTCAAATGTGTGCAAGACAAGAGAGGTAAGACGTGGCCTAGGGCGATGTGTGATTCAGTGTCTTCCCATAATTCCTCAGAAACCCCTCCTCAAAGTGTTGTCAAGTCCAAAGCTAAGATCAAACACTCCCGCTGAGCATCGAGAGTTGAGGACGTCACTTCTCTGTCTTGTTTTTCAGTTTTCTCTGACCTACAATCTCTACATCGCTGCCTTCGCTGGAGCAGGAATGACGGTCTTGGCTCTGGTGAGTTTGCAGAACAACACGATCTCAGTGTGTTCTGGTGACGACATTCCTGTAGGTGTCAAAGAATTCTGCATTTATTAAGGAGTTGGCTGAAACGCATTGTTCTCATTTGTGGTTACAAATGACTCGGATTAATGTGAGGACTGACTGTGTTTTATGTTTGGGGGAGTTTTCAGCACTGTGAGAATGTCATGATCGCACATGTGACTTCTAAGGTGTCTTCTGAGGTTTGAGCTGATGCTGCATTTTACAGTTGTGGCACATTATTCAAAGCTAAAAAAGCAAAGTTCATACACAAACTTTATGGTGGCTTGAGAGCCTATAGTCTGAAAGTTTGAAGCAGTTTTAAAGTTTAAATAATTGAAGTAGTTTTTAAGACATTTAAAACAGTTGGCATATAAATAACTACATATACTGTATGTTAGCATGTTTATTAGTATGGATTGGCATGTCTCTTGCTAAGGAATTGCTAGGGTGTTCTAAGTGGTTACTAAGGTGTTGCCAGGCGGTTGCTAGGGTGTTCTAGGTGGTTCCTAGGGCATTGTTAGGCGGTTTCTAAGGTGTTCTCATTGGTTCCTATGTGGTTGTTAGGGTGTTCTAGGTGGTTGCAAGGGCATTTGTAGGTGGTTTCCAAGGTGTTCTCATTGCTTCTAGGTGGTTGCTAAGGCGTTGCTAGATAGTTGCTTGGCATCTGCTAGGGTGTTCTAGGTGGTTGATAAGGCATTACTAGGTGGTTGCTAGGGTGTTCTAGTCGGTTACTTGGGTGTTGCTAGGTTGTTGTTATGAATCAGAATCAGTTTTATTGCCAAGTGTGCTTTACACACACAAGGAATTTGTTTTGGCTACAGAAGCTTCCAGGGTACATAAAGTTACTAGTGACAACACAAAATAAATTTGAAAAAAAAATTATGATAAACATTAAACAAGATGCAGTTAAGGTGTTATAAAATGTTGCTATGTGGTTGCTAATGTGTTCTATGTCATTGCTAGGTGGTTGCTAAGGCATTGCTAGGTGATTGACTAGGTGGTCGCTAAGGTGTTGCTAGATGGTTGCTAAGGTGTTACAAGCTGGTTGCTAAGATGTTGCTAGGCAGTTGTTAAGATGTTGCTAGGCTGTTGCTAAGGATTGCTTGGCGGTTGCTGATACTGCTAGGTGGTTGCTAAGGTGTTGCTAGGTGGTTGCTAAGGCATTGCTAGGTGGTTGCTAAGGTGTTGCTAGGCAGTTGCTAAGGTGTTGCTAGGTGGTTGCTAAAGCATTGCTAGGCAGTTGCTAAGGTGTTGATGGATGGTTGCTAGAATGTTCTAAATAGTTACTGCGGTGTTGCTAAGTGGTTGCTAAGGTGTTCTGAGTCGTCGCTAGGCTGTGCTAAGGTGTTGCAAGGTGGATGCTAAGATGTTCCTTGGTAGTTGCTAAGGTGTTCTGATTGGTTGCAAGGCAGTTGATGATATAAATTAGCATATTTCTACTATAAATTAGCATTATGCTAGCATGTTTCTATCATAAATTAGTATGCTGTTAGCATGGTTCTAGTATGAATTAGCAATGTTGCTAGCTTGTTTTAGTAGAAACTAGCATGTTAGCATGAATGTAGTATGAATTAGCATGTTGCTAGTATGTTTATTGTATGAATTAGCATATTGCTAGTATGAGTATGTCATTAGTATGTTTCTAGTATGAAGTGGTATGTTGTTAGTATGTTCAACATTAATGGCAGTTTTGTTTTTATAATGAAAGTCTATGGGACAGTTAATGAGCTGTAGTTGCTAGGGTGTGGTAAGTAGTTGAAAAATCATCAGTCATTGGCAGATTGGTAGTCTGACTTAATTAGCCTAAGCTTAAGATTGTCTGACAGTCCGGCGCAAAGTTATGAGGTCACGAAATTTGGTCCAATGTTAAGTCAATGGAAATTTCCTGAATTTTTCGGGTAAGTTTTCGAAAAACCTTTAGTCGGATCAGTTGGAAAAGATATAGCAACCCGAGTCTGACCAGTTTGGGGGTTTGGTGTTAGTTTGGTGGTTGTAGTATGAAAGGTCTAAGAGGAGTGCATATAGAAATTAGTCTCAGAAGAAGAAGAAGAAGAAGTGTATGTAGTATAACAGTATGTTGGCTTTCTCAAGCCACCATAATGATTAAGTTTTATTTGAAAAATATATATGAATAGATTACAAACAAACACCAACAAAGATGGCAGTTGGCTTTAGTTGAATAAATTATCCCTCTTAGCATTAAAAAAAAACACTCACATAAAGAAGGATGGTTTTCGTAAAATACGGGCTTCCGTATTTTGCAGGCCCTGTGTATCTTGCATGGACAGTGTACAGTATTTAATTAGCAAAAATTACAAGAATTAAAAAGCTTTGATTCTGTGACAAAACATCTGACTTACGGCTGTTCAGAGAAACACCTGTGGATGCACTTCTAGAGCCAAACACATCAGCCCAAAAATATTAGCTCTGCATGTTTAACTGCGTAATATCTCGTATAAGAAAAATCTGTCTGAATTCTTTATAATTGTATTTTATAACCAAACGTTGCTAGTCAAAATGTACTAGTTCTGTCAAGTTTAGTAATTTATAATTGATAAAGGTAAAATAAATAGAGAAAAACTAAGTAGAAATGTGTCCAAAAAAAAAAAAACTTAAGCTAACAAAACCATTCATAAATTGCATTTCAATCAAATTGCTTTAATAGTGTTCAAATCAAAACTAATACTATAATAACTTGTATGACACAGTGAGTAGCACGATTGCCTCACAGCCTTGCCTGTTCAAGCATTGGCTGGGTCAGTTGGCATTTCAGTGTGGAGTTTCAGTGTGTTCTTCTCGTGTTGGCGTGGGTTTCCTCCAGGTGCTCCAATTTCTCCCACAGTTCCAAAGACGTGCTGTAGGTGAATTGGGTAAATTGGTGATTGGTGTATGTGTGTGATTTAGTGTGTTTGGGTGTTTTCCATTAATGGGTTGCAGCTTGAAGGGCATCTGATGCATAAATCATATTCTGGACTAAGCTGAAAAGAAAATGAATGAATGAATAATAACTTGTCTGTGAGGTGTGAAACGGCCTTTATGTACGTATCGACCAATAACCGCAGCACAAATTAGCATAGTGGCAAATAAGCAGAGCTGATGCTCTTAAGCTGTGTTTGTTAATTAAATAATTAATTAAATTATATTTCTCAGAGCTAAAAATATAATTACATAAAATCTATCTTGAGTCTGGTCAGAATAAGAGGCTGATCACACCGAACGTGCATTTAGGTTTCAAAACTGCAAAGCGCACTGGACTGCCTTTTTGTTGACAAGAAAAAAGAATCATGGTGCGCTTTTTTACTTCACTAGGCAATGACTGAATAAGCTGAGTATTGTGCACAAGTGTTGCTGTTGATATTAATATAATTTAAATATTTAATAATATTGTGATATTCAAGATTTGTAAAGTCATACAGCTCCAGATAACTCAAAACAGCAAGCACTAGTCTCTTCTCCATCTTCAAAAGTCTCAGTTTTTGTCTTGACAACACAGACACTGCAGGGACCTCAACAGAAACCCTGCCTCTGCTTTCATTTGATGCAACTGACGTAACATACTTTTTCCTCTCAGAGTTGACTTTTTTTCAACTGCGAGAGCATGGCGCGCAAGGGCAAAAACACGGGGTGCAGCAGGCAGTTAAAATGCGAGGAGCACAGGGCGCAAAAGCAGTGTGCAAAATGCTCGCGGCTGTTAGTAAATCATTCAAAAAAGGCGCCTCAATGCAAAAAGCGCGTTCAGTGTGAACGGCCCCTTAGTCTGCCATTTGTTTGATAATCATGCACTGCTCAGATGTTCCACGTGTTGCCAAATATGGACAAACCCAAACGTTGGGTTAAAAAGTAATATACATTTAATTGAATCATTAACTCAACACTGGGTCAATTATAAACCCAATGTTGAGTTAAAGGTGCTGTACGTAAGTTTTTGTCTCTTCAAAAGCACAAGAAATTCCTTAATATGTTTGCAGATATTTGCCAAATGAACATTCTGGTTTATCTGAAAAAACAATGCTGAAGTCTGGTACTCTGCTTTGAAAATGGACATTCCATGCTGGAACGCTGTCTTTGTTTTGGTTCTTTTAAACCGACCACTGCCAGTTTGGCCAATTATATTTCAGCACCCAGGTTGCCTTGATGTAAACAACATTTGTCATTCAATCATTCAGAAAGGCTCTCAAAGCCTTCACTCATGACCAAAATGCGACCTCCAGTAGCAGTCTCCGAAATGAGATGCAGATTCAGAATTCAACATGAGGTTATTAATAAGCATAAAGTAAAAAAAATATTACGAATGTGAACATTAAGAGAGCAGGTTACATTTGAACCTAGTGTATTAACTATATGGTATGTAATGAGATTTGCAGTGAGCAATTTAGCTGTTTGCACACGATGAAACATGACTGAATTTTAAATACAGCCATTAAGAAGCACAAAATATGCACTCACTCATGAAATGTTTAGGTTTATAATCTAATTAATACACATTAAACCTCTTTAACAGGTGCATAAATGTACATGCTGAATCACTACGTGTTGGTTTTGAGTTCTAAAGCTCAATTTAGAACGATTTATTTCATTTTTAAGATCTAAGGTGAACTATCTGCTGCTGCTTTTAGTTGTATGATAATAAATGTGATGTAAAATGACATTCAAACTCACATTATTAGCATTTAACCACTGTCAACGACTTGAGATTTGCACAGGGTAAAGGCACATTTTTCTGGATAGTCACTTGTCGCTGGCTCGTATTCATCGTATTATCTTGTGTTTCTGTCTTTCTCTCTTCAGCTCACATATACTGTGTCCACCACCTATAACTTTGCAGTTCTACGGTATTTGGGGAGGAAAGGGATCAGTCCACGGTGTTAACATCTGTTCTGTCCTGGTGTCCAGTGTCCTGCTACCGTCAATAACAGCACCACCTTCAAGCACTTTAGAATTTCACATCTTTGTCACCACAAAACGACACAATTTCTTGGCTTTCTTTGGGAATTTATTTGATTATTTTGTTTTATATTTCTTTGGATGTAAAGATTTATTTTTTATATCTTTGCTCCAAACAAACTTTCTTTCAGATTTTTTCATCTATTACCAACAGGGCAAATGCTCTGCCTTCAGCTTATCTGGGATGTTATGCTGATGTAACAAGGACACTTTTATGTGTATTTTATCATTCTTGTTCTGTCACAAGAATGATAGTCACCTCATAAACCAGCTGAGTGTGTTTACTTCTTCAGGAATGCATCACTAAACCATACATTAAAAAGTTATGAGGAAAACATAATTATGACCCATTACAAGCTTCTGCTGAAGATATTAAGGTGGGGTTTACCTGTGCCAACATGACTTGCAGCTATTAATCTTTGATACAGTATGTGCTCTATATTAGGTCAAGGATGCTTTTTTAGAGCTGATACCGTAGTACAGTTTAATTTGTTACTTTCTGTCAAATATTTGTGTGTATAACTATTTTAAGTCCATTTGAGACAGTGTTTTGGTCTATCCATAATTTAAAATACTTGATTAACTCTGGGGAAAAAAGGATAAAATGGGTACCATAATATTATAGAATTTTGAGACACTCATGAAAAAACTATCATGGTAGAGAGGGTTGGTTTCCATGGTGACCATCCCTCACATCTGGTTGCCATGGAGAGAGACACAGCAATCTGTGCTGTTTTCTTGTGACCCCGGCACTTTTTTCTCACAGTCTCTTGAAAGCAATGAGGAAAAAAAGTAAACAATGGATCAGCCCTTCTTTGTTAGAGAAAAGTCCCGGCACAATCCCATGCCAGGGGTCAGTTTACGCGTCAGAAGATATCGCGCTGTGACAAGGAGCCTCTTTGGACTTTTCAGCTGCTTGAAAATGCCCTTCTGTGACCTGTGGCCTGTAGATGGGGCTAATAGTGTTTGCTGCATGGGGTGTCATGGCTAATAGTGTTCCATGGCAGGGATATTTGTCTCAAACAGTAGAAAACAAAAATAAAAAAGCAGCCTTATTAGCCATACCTTAATTCTATTTGATTTCTGTAGAATTTTTCTTTTAAACAAACTTACTAACGCAGGAAGTTTGAGTTATATGGTTATTTCTGTCACAGATTTAAAATTAATCAGACAATTCAAAATTGTATAATTTTTTTATCTTTTATTAATTGTTTTTGCAAGCCAAGGGTTTCGGGATATAAACTCATAAAACTGACATTTCCAGTTCTGGGTTTTATCTCACTGAGTTATTAATCGGTTTCTCTCAGCTGGTACAAACTTACAATTGCAAGAGGAAAAAGTTAACTTGCAAAAAACTGTGTTTATTTATTCTAATTCACGGCAGAAATAAGCTTCTATCATTTTATTTGGTTACACTTTATTTTAAGGTGTCCCTGTTACAGTGTAGGCGTGGGCCGGTGTAAGATTCTGATGGTATGATAACCTTGGATAAAAATATTACGGTATCACGGTGTTGTGAGTACTGCTCTTAAATGTGTTCTTTTTAAATATCTGGATAAAAAAACTAAACTTTTTCCCCTTGAACACAATATGTTTTATTTTAAGAAACATTGAAAATATTTCGGAACGGTAAAATAATTAAAATGTATTTTTGACTTCTGCTTTGTTCAAAAACACAGATTTTTTTTTACAGATTAAAACAGCATCTTTGGATATCTTTTCTGCTGGAGATACTGTTGTACTAAAAATAAAAATTTTTTTTTTAAATCTTTCACATACCATAAGAATGGTACACTCTCAGAAATAAGGTACGTGAGCCGTCACTGGAATGGTATCTTTTCAAAGAGTACAAATTTGTACCAAATTTGTGTCCTTATTAATACCTCAAGGGTACATATTATTACTTAAAAAGTACAAAAGTGTTCCTCTTAAAATTTTTAGGTAGTAATATATATTTTTGAGGTACCAATATGAACCCTTTAAGTACAAATGTGTACCTTTTAAGAAGGTACCACTCCAGTGACAGCTCGCGTACCTTTATTTCTGAGTGTATTGCAGAAAATGTAAAAATTTTTAAAATCTTGACTTTTCCAAACTATGATTATACCTTGAAAACAGTTATTGTCCTATGCCTATTACAGTGTAAATGTAATCACTGTAATTAAAAAAATGAAAATTATTAACTACATAACTAGAATGCTGACTAGGCTTAGTTGCATGTAATTATGCATAATTACGTGTGTAACAAGGACACCTTAAAATATATTTTGTTTAATAATAGATTTTTAAATAGTTTTTTGAGTAATAATTGCTTTTTAGTTTGATGCTTTGAATTCTTGAACACGGTGTTTGATGAAAGAAATATTTTAGTGTAGATATAAAGCAGTAGTTTGACTTACAGTAGTAGCTCACAAATGTATAACTGTTTATTCAACCTTTTGTTGTTCCAATCCTGTATCACTTTACAAACCCCATGTTTGACTTGTGCAGTGTAATCCAAGCAGTTATCCCTTTAAAAGTCTCAATCCAATTCTATAAAACATTTGGCATCAAACCTGTTGAAATGCATCATAGTTTTGAAATATGTTGCACAAATATTTTGGACTACATTGGTGGATTTTTCTTCTTCTTCTATTTAGAAGAGCCTAATGAATAATATTTAAAATACAACTTTTGTGTTCCACCAAAAAGTCACAATTTATTTGAGCAATCATAGCAGTAACTGAGAAAATAAACGTTAAGGTTGTGAAATCCATCAATCATATAATCAATCATCAAACCGAGTCCAGGACCTTAAGTTCAATCGTGTACTTTATTGGGGTAATTATTGGCGTAAACCTTATTTTGTTTAGCTAAAAATCTAATAAAGCGTATACAGGTTTGGAATGACATGACGTCGACAAACATCTGAATTTTTATTGCTGTGTGAACTATTCCTCTTATAACTCTAATTATGAGGAGATCATTGTAGTTATTGTATAACAATTTCTTTTGATGATTGTTTCAGTTAATCAGTGATTAACTTGTTATTCATCAAAAGACTACTCTTACACTTATTGTTAGCACTAACAGTTTTTTTTCTAGATATGTTTTCTTTGTACAGACTTAGTGGTTATTTCAATTAAAGTTTTATGTTTTCCCCTTTATTCTAACCCACTGCTTGCCTGCAGTTTGTTGTGTGTTGGCACTGTAAAAATTGATGGCCGGGAGGTTTAGCAAGAAATAAAGGTCAATGCCTTTCACCAGTGGTTCGACTGTGTTTTAATGCTTGTTTTGTATTCATAGATTCACTGTCCTCTGCACTTCGCAGCATGGCATCTTGCTTTAAAAGAGCGCCATGACAGAGAGAAGAAGGAGAAGAGACTGCATGCTCTCTTTGGCCGAGTGCTGCATGAGCACAGAGGAAGTCTGTGTTCTCCTTACACGCTTCACACAGATGTGTGACTTTCTGTTAACTATTTTGTTCCACCAGAGAATAGTATGTATGTATATATATATATATATATATATATATATATATATATATATATATATATATATATATATATATATGTATATGTTATAAACACTATATTTTAGTTAAAAAGATACCTGATTAAGAAGGAACATTTTCTTTAACATGTTTAAAACTGTGGCATTACATAAGTTTAACCTTAAAGTGTTAGTTCATTCGAAAACAAAAATAAAAAATATTCATTTCATACCCTCGTGTCATTGAATTGTTTATGAAGATATTTTTAAAGATATGAAAATATTTTAGCTGAAATTCAGAGTGTTCTGGGCAGGGTGAGTAAACTGATATCATAAGATTTCAATGATCGAGAGGGGGTATATGGACAGAGCAGGTCTGTAAGGTACTGGGGAACAAGAATATTGATGGTTTTGTAAACAAATAATACAATTTTAAAATCAATTCTGTATGTAATGGGTAACCAGAGAAGTGCAGCTAAAATCAGTTACCAAACTTGTGGGTGCCAGAAAGTAGGCTAGCAGCTGCATTTTGTACCAGCTGCAGATGAGAGAAAGAAGATATCAAAATAGATAGTTACAGTAATCCAGATGTGTTATTATGAAGGCATGAATCAATGTTTGAAAATTTCTCTGGGATAAAAATGGCTTGACTTTCGTCGGAGGTGGTAAAAACAGGATTTTATGACAGTACTGATTTGTGTCAAATTTTAAGTTTTCATCAAACATAACACAGAGATTTCTTGCACACTGGGTTATATGTGAGGCCAAAGATCCCGCATTGACATTTAACAGAGAATTTTGAAATATTTAAAACAAATTGCTTGAGAGACAAAGTTTAAGCTCCTCTAGGCAAGCCAGGAGTAATTGTAAGTCATTTAAAACTTTTTGTTTTATTGGGAAAAAAACGCCTGAGTGTCATCTGCATGTAGATGAAAAGAAACTTAATATTTATTGAAAATGGAAGTCAGGGGGAGCATATACAGGAGCATATACAGGGTAAACAATACAAGGCTTGATCCCTGTGGAATTCCACAGTTCAGAGAAGTACTGGATGAGAATTAATCGCCAATGCGCACATTAAAACATCTATTTGTCATATAAGAACGGAACCACTCTAAAATTGTGCCACAAAGGCCCACAGTCTCTAGACAGTCAACAGGAACTTGTGGTCAATAAGGTCAAAAGCGGAACTTAAATCTAATAAGACTAATGCCATAGATTTTCCAGAAATATGTCGCTTGATACTCTTAAAAGTGAAATGTCTCATGGACCAAACTTAAAGTCAGATATGTTTGTTATTGGGCCAAAACAACTTTCTCAAGGATCTTTGAAATAAAGGAAGATTAGAAATAGGCCAAAAATTAGAGAAAGAGCCTGAATCGAGGTTTGGTTTTTTTAAGATTTGGTGACAACATTAAGACATGTATGCACAGAAGTATTCTAATACCTAGAAAATATTCAGTTCCTCACTAAAGACACATAGACTATTTAGAGCAGGGGTGTCAAACTCTATACCTGGAGGGCTCAAGCCCTGCACAGTTTAGTTCCAACCCTGCTCCAACACACTTACCTGTAGGTTTCAAACAAGCCTGAAGGACTCAATTAGTTTGATCAGGTGTTTTTAATTAGGGTTGGAACTAAACTGTGCAGAGCTGCAGCCCTTTTGGAATGGAGTTTGACACCTGTGATTTAGAGGATGATTTTCAGTAACTTTCTGGACTGTAGTCTGAAGACTTACTGTCTATGGAGTGAGGGAGCTCTCTGATTACACATAAAATATCTTAATTAATGTTTCAAAAACAAACAAAAACTCACAGGTTTGTTATGACATGACAGTAATAATAGCATAATTTTCATTTTTGGGTGAACTAACACTTTAACTCTGCAAGCATAGACCACACATGATGTGATTGCTGTTGCAGTTTCTTTATTGATTGCATTGGATTCTTGCGAACTAAATTTGCAAACAAAAAAAGCAGTCTTGACCTCCTTATTGCATTGGAGATGATGTGAAACAGTACACAGTTGTGGGCCAGCCATATTTAGAGATCATAACAACAACAACAACCTTGCTTTCAAAACACCATAGACGTTTAATCAGTTTCAAGAAATCTGTTCGCATCTCAGAAAATACAGAGGTACCAATCTTTCACAAGTCAAAAAGTGACAAAGTACATTCACTGCAGTAATGCCCTTAATTAACCACAATTCAATACTGTGGTCATGACTGGTCACACTGACAAATGAACAGAAGGAAATATGGTATTATTAATGGAATACAACACTTCTGTGAACTGTAACATAATAAATAGCAAAATCGCTCAAGTGGAAACAGATGAGGTTAAACCCATGAAAAAAATGTGCAGATTAAATTTCACTAAACTATGGAAAGGAAACATTCCAAAAAAAATTCCAAGGGACGTTTTTAATATTCATTATTAAATGTAAAATATAATTGATTTCATTGATGTTGAGGTGTAATAATCTGGGCATTTGCTTTGTGAGATTAACCTAAAGCTTATCAAGTTGACATTTTGACAGACTAAAAAAACTTTTTTTTAACACTGAAAAGTGCAGTTATGTAATTAAAACAGTTACTGATGTAACATCTTTCCATGGCCTTTATACAAATCAGATGTAACATTTCTTCACTGTAAACCCAGACGTTTGGTACCTTGATTTGCTAGAAAACACCATCAGTAAACTAATACAGATTTTTCCAACATTAGGAATGAATGATTTTGGATGATCAGCAGTTTGAGTAAAAGAAACACAGTGTTGCATCTTTTCCAATTTCACAGTGTACCAATAAACGTTGAAAACCGTACATGTATGTAGAAGATAAGTGCAAGATGTCCTCGTTGCAGTCTGTAGCATGATGATGTACTGGATCAGGTCCAATAAGCGTGACATTGTAAAGCCTACTACGGTAACACCCATGCTACTGTGACTTGTGTAGACATTAATAAGGTTTAGGTTTGGGCTATGTGCAGACATTATTAACTGTTGGTTGTGTTTAGGGATAGAGTATGTGTAGAAATTAATAACCGTTATGGTTGGGTTTAGGGTTAGGGTTGGTGTAGACATTAATAATAGTTATGGTTAGGTTTAGGGTTGGTGTAAACATTAATAATCGTTATGGTTAGGTTTAGGGTTGGGGTAGACATTAATTACTGTTATGATTGGGCTTAGAGTTGGGGTATGTGTAGACATTAATAACCATCATGGGTGGGGCAGGTGTAAACATTAATAACCGTTATGGTCAGGTTTAGGGTTGGTGTATTTGTAGACATTATTAACTGTTATAGTTGAGGTATGTGTAGACATATATAACTGTTATATTTGGGTTTAGGTTTAGTGTATGTATATACATTAATTAATGTTATGTTTGAGTTTAGGTATGTGTAGACATTAATAACTGTAATAGTTGGGGTATGTGTAGACATTAATAACTGTTATGGTTGGGCTTAGAGTTGGGCTATGTGTAGACATTAATAACCATTATGATTGGGGCAGGTGTAAACATTAATAACCGTTATGGTCAGGTTTAGGGTTGGGGTATGTGTAGACATAAATAACTATTATGGTTGGGTTTAGGTTTGGGGTATGTGCAGACATTAATAACTGTTTTGATTGGGTTTAGGTATATGTAGACATTAATAACTGTTATGGTTCGGTCCAAGGTTAGACATTAATAACTGATATGTTTGGATTTAGGGTTGGGGTAGGTGTAGACATTAATAACTGTTATGGTTCGGTCTAAGGTTAGACATTAATAACTGTTATGGTTGGGGTATATGTAGACATTAATAACTGATATGGTTGGGTTTAGGGTTTGGGTGGGTGTAAAAATTAATACTGTGATGATTGCGTTTAGGGCTGAGGTAGGTGTAGACGTTATCAACACACAATGTAATGGGTAATTTAAAAAATATTTGAAATAATTCTCGTTTCTAGCAACAAACAATCACACCCATGTTCATTACATATTGGACCTAAATCAGTACGTCATCGAACTGAAGGCTCCAGCGAGGACACACACAATAAGTGAACATGTCCAGACAATTTCCTGTGTTTTACATGTGTAGCAAACATACAAAAGCAGGCAAGGAAAGGTCTGTAAACAGAAATACGGCTACATGTTATGCATTAACGCAACTGTCAGTTCATAATATCAGATGCCCAATCCACAAATTTGGGTATGTGGTTGTAATAAGACCTATAGCATAAAATAAAGGCAGAGAAAACATTCATATTGAGGGAAAAGCACTAGGAAATAAGTTAATTTTATAAAATACATAAGTGAAAGTACCTATAAATGCACTCTATCAAGGATTTACAAGTGCCCTTTAAGCAGGGTCATAGGTCATTCAGTGCAAGATACTATAGGTACTGTGTGCTTTGGTTTCATATCAACACTGGACTGAAACTGAGGAAAAGATTTACATGAAATAATTAAATCAAACATTATTCTCAGGTTTGCTGTAAAATATAATAATAATAAAATTAAAAAGCATCAAATGTATACAAGTGTTTTCAATGTTTTACATGCTTTCAGACAATTAAATGTGCATGTGTCTATGCCATTTCTCAGAGAGGCCTTCATTCAGACACATGTGCTAACCTTTAAGCACACCAATACAAATATACACACACAGAAAGACAACCACTCCTCTGCTCAACACTACACCACAGCCTCCAGGTTAAACATGCAATTAAGACAAAACACAACCTAACAAATGAATCAAACTCATAATAGCAGTAGTAGTATCTTACAGTTACAAAAACTCCTTACATTATGAAATTTATATTAAAAAAAAATTACTTTGATACTACAATTAGAAGAAAGTACCTTTCTATCTAAAAAGAATGGTAGTGAAACATCAATAAAAGATTTGCTAGCTGTGTACACTAATGTGAGGTTATGTGTTTTTTTAAAACATGTACCGTAACGAAATGAATGAGATGAAGAAATTTGCATGTTTGCAAGTCCTTTTCATTAAAAAATATTTAAAAGGATGGTTTACCCAAAATTAAAACTGTCAATAACTTTTCACCCTAGTGTAAAGGTCTGCAGGTCAGCCTCAGGACCCGTCCTTGCGGCATGGGAATACATTTCCGAATAAAATGCAGTAGCGGCCGGTAACTCTGGTGTCATTTGAAAAGGAGTAGGCAGTTTAACAATTTAGCACTCCCGAGTCTCGAAGTTATTTCGGAACAGCACTGTCAAAAGGCATACAGAACCGAACTATACCGTACCATTTTTTCGGCACCCTTTCAAAAGAGTACCAAACACAAGAAAGGGTACCAAAAGGTGGAGCTACATGCGCAGCTGAGCGCTGATTGGTTACAGAGATAAGTCACGTGTTCCTGGAGCTAGCCAGAATAGAAACAAATAAGCCGCCATGTTTTAAATACACAGTCGAGACATCACATCGTAATACTATATGCAAATAATAATGAGCCATTGATGACCCAAGCTCAAACAAACCTTGTCGTTTTCTTGATGTACAGCCACAAAGCCAAGAAGAACAAAATCTGCCGTGTCCTGTTACCGTTTTACGAGGCTGTCTAAAAGTGCGAGCGGTTTTCGCTTTCTTGCGATCACATCTATATTGGATATAATGAACTTCTTGAGCTGATTATAATAACGTGTGTGCGAGTATTGAAGTGTCTCCGAAAACTAATCCTTTCAGAAAAGAAAGGAGAAACGCGAGAGTGAAGCACGAAAAAAGAAGAAGCCCTACAAAACACAAGGGCAAATTGTTTCAGCAACCTGAATCATAAACAAACTGACATGTTTATCTTCGCCTTTTGGACTATTATGAACTCGGAATGACAGAATTACCCTCTAACAGAAGTTACATGTGCACTGACTGTGGGCTATGTTGAGTGTTGTTTTTGAAATCAAATAAGGACTAAATGTCTGCTGTGTGTACTTTTTCTGTAATTGGTAACATATCAGAGACTGTAAAGGTCTGTATGTGTTTATATATGTTGCATTTATTTATTTAATATAATTGCAGACGTTACAGGAGGCTATTTCACACCGTCGTTGCTCTGCAGTTATAATCAATCATGTTTATATAAAGGTTAGTAATGAACATTTATACTTAAGTATTTATGTGTATAAAGCATCTGTTTTGTGGGAAGTGCTTCTTAATGATATGTGAATGACCTGTAGAGCTTTACTGTAGACATTTTTTCAAGCGAGAATGACGTCAACTTTCTGTCGTACACCACGCCCACCAAAAGGGTACCCTTGGTAGTGGAAACGCAAGCCTGATAAAGGTGACCCGTACTGTACTTTACCAGGGAATGGGCCACTAGTGTCATTCCAAACCACTAAGACCTTCATTCATCGTCAGAACAAAATATAAGAAAGATACGGTATCAAGAACATTGGTAAAACATTCCATGTGTCATCAGTGGGTCAACTGTAATTTTATAAAGCTACAAGCAATACCTTTGTGCGCAAAATAGAATAATTACTTTATTCAACAACAGTACAGGTCGACAGGACACATGGATTGTTTGGAACATGTTCTTGCTACAGTACATTTCTGGGCTTTAAACGTCTCCTTGCTTGTGAAAGATTAAAAATCTCTTAATTTGTGCTTCATAGGTTAGGAAGGGTGACTGAACTTTAATTTTTGGGTGAACTATCCCTCTAACTATTTTATGATAATATTTTGCTTATGTTCTTTTGTTTTCTTATTTTGAATTTGTTGTGAAATGTGCCCGAAACACGTTTCTGACAAACTTCGCCAAAATAATATCTTGAGCAAAATAAATAAAATATGCGTTATTGACTTAAGTACCATATGAATTACTGATATCAGTGGTCAGTAAGCAAATTTGGGGTTATGTAACTTAAAATATCAGACCAACAAGTACTATAATAGCCCAATACTAAGATGGTACAAAACAGCAAAATGTTAAGGCTAAATCTTTGTTCTATGTCAGGGATAGACAACTTCAGTCCTGGAGGGCCACTGTCCTGCTGAGGTTTGATCCGACACTAATCAAACACACCTGAACAAGCTAATCAGTGTCCTCAAGTCATATAGAAAGCTACAGGCTTGATTACAGTGCTTGATTAGATTGGAGGTAAACTCTACAGGACAGTGGCCCTCCTGGATCGAAGTTGTCCATCCTTGTTTTATTTGAGGCTGTCATAAAACACTTCTAAAAGCACCACATCACAAGCAAACAGACCTTAGACTGGGAAATTTCATAGAATATGTTATTCGTGCCAGACTTGAAGAGATAAATATGTATAAAATACCTTTACTTTTAGGTAACTCTGTTAGTAGCCCATAAGACACACACGTCTGATGCCTGTACCATAATTCTCCAGCACTGCAGCACGTCCATAATTACAAAGGCCAAGAGCAACTTAGAGGCACCTCAACAGCAGGACGAGCGGGTCACTTTACGGTTTCCATGGAGATCGATGGAACTGCTCAGCAAGGTGTGGTCAATGGGGTCCTCGCTAGCCAGAACCTCCCGAACAGCGGCTTCGAAAGCAGCCCCCACATTTGTGTCGTCCTTTGCACTGGTTTCAAAGTACGGACAGCAGCCATTTTCTTCACACCAGGCCCTGGCCTCATCCTCACCGACCTCACGCTCTTCCTTGTCTACCTTGTTTCCCAGCACTACAAAGGGGAAGCGCTCCGGGTCTCGTACATCTGAATAATACATGAACTCCTTTTTCCAGCAGCCCAGATTCTGGAAGCTCTGCAGGTCATCCACTGCGAACGTGAGCAGACAGCAATCTGCACCACGGTAAAAAGGTGTGCGCAGGCTCTTGAATCGCTCCTGGCCTGCCGTGTCCCAGATCTGTAGGGTGACCAGCCGACCATCGATTTCGAGGTCGCGGTTAAGGAATTCGACACCGATGGTATGGAAAGACTGCGAGTCGAAGCGGTCCGTCACATATCGGTTCATGAGGGAGCTTTTGCCCACGCCGCCATCCCCCAGAAGAATGACCTTCAGCAAGAGGCTCTTCCCACTCATAACGGCCCCTGGTACCACACGCGCTCAGTGTAGCCTGACAAACACATGCGGATACAAACATACAAACTACATAAAAGACAAATACAAACACAATGACAAAACAATGATTTTTCTGAGTTAAAAATAGTGATCGACAGAAATTAAAATTAAAAAGTATGATGAAATTTAAAAAGTCAATTGTAGATTAGTCCTTAACCCAAGGGTGTAGAATTAAAATTGAACGGCGGGGACGTGTCCCCACCAATCTCCACAGATTATTAAAATGTCCCCACCAATAATGTTATTGCTTCCAAAATAAAGTAATGCTTTGTTGAAATTTTCCAGTCAGGCTTACTGTGCAAGACTCAGGTGAGACATGGACATAAGCTACATTTCAGTGAAAAGTGTCAGTCAAAATTGAAATCAAGTTCACTACAAGTCCACCATAATAGTAACAATGAATATGCAGTTAATAAAAAATTGTTTTTTTTTTTGGCCTTCATGACGATTATAAAAAAACAACAATCGAGATAAAACGGATATTGTGTCATATGTCTCCCCCTTTCCAGAAGTCTGCATTCATTCCTTGCCAAAGTAAAACCATGTAAATTTACTTTTGCACCATAAGACATGCTTGACTTAATGTTGTTTTTATTACTAATTGTATTTGATTAATTTATTTATTAAAGTTTTTTTAAAAGTTCAAAATAGAACATGTGCTCTTCTGTTTGCATGCTCAGATAAGGAAAAGAACATAGACATGTAAAGTCATTTTTTTACCTTAAAGTGCATAATTGTACTTATATTATACTTGAAAAAAATGTGTTCAGATGCGGTGGTACAGTAAGTGATTATGCACAAATAAGCCCTCAGTAAACAGAAATCTTTATTACACTACCTTTTTGTCAGACATTCCTTTAACTTTACATTTTAAATGTGAAGTTACATTTAAATTTTACAATTAGGGCGGTGATATCAAAAGCAAATCTACCCCTTGCCATTCTAAACAGTGTGCAGTAGATAATGTACTGTTTATCAGGAGTGGGTCAAATGCTCCAGTGACTGACCCCGAGACTTTGGACAGGATATCACCTTCTCTGAGAGAACACAGGTTAGATAAACATATGACTGTCATATGCTTTCCAATATACATTCAACTTAATCTGATTTGAACATTTCGTGCTCCGTCACAAGCAATAATATTCTAGCTGGGTTAATATGCGTTTATGACAGAAATTAAACTAAGGTCAAATATACTGTTTATTGGCGCAGTAAATTCTGTCATCATTTACTCACGCACTACTTGTTTCAAACTCGTTTGAGATTTATTATTCAATTCAACACAAATGATGATATGCTGTAAAATGTTGGAAATGGGAAACTATTGATATCCACAATAGGAAAAAACAATACTATCAGGGTATACGCAGGAATCCTAACGGTAATTTCAATAGACTTTTAAAAGATCTTCTTGGAATATTTTTAAACCTCATCGCCACTTCAAGTTCTAATGGGTATCAAATCTTTAACTTAATAAACAGTTGTAGTTAAATAAATATGTTGCATGGTTGTACTCCATTGAACTCAAATAAGCTCAGAAGAAACAAAGCATGAAAGAATAAATTATGCAGTTATTTTCAGCAACAGACTTTAGCCACTGTTTAAACTCATCTTTCTCCAACCAGGAGTACGCAAGCTTAAAATTTCCCATGTTTCACTTTATGGTTTCACTACATGTGGAGAGCGTCATATCACCTTCTCACCCGGATGAAAAATGCCCCGGCTGGAACCAATCGCGTAGATTGAGCACACAGTTGTTATTATTAGGAAGAAAAAAAAATGTTTTTTGGAGTCAAACACTTTGGACAACACTTGAACAAAATTTAAGACTTTGTAAAATGTGATTAAGACTTTTTAATACCTTTTAAGGGCCTTAAATTTCCCATAATTGAGTTATCAACTTATAATACTTTTTAAGACCTCGCAAACACCCTGACTATAATGGTTGTCGGTTTCCTACATTTTTCAATATATCTTCTTTTTTTTTTTTTTTTTAACTCAGACTGATTTGAAAAGAGTATGAAGACAGAATGTTGGAGTGAACTATCCCTTTAAGAATAATCTGCCAGGCATCAAACTGATGTCACCAGAGATTGAAAACCATTCTTGATCATGATTAAAAAATAACCAAGACAAGCTATGTTTTTGTGGATTAACTGGCACAGATTATTTGCTCACCTCTAAAAAATGTCAGGGTACAATAACAAAGTAAAGAGTGTCAATTTTGATACCCTTTAAAAATCCAAAATCTCAAAGCATTGTGATAAGTTTCAGGTGCTGGCAAAATAATTTCCTTCAAAGATTTAGCAGTGTTACACTGAGAACAGCGTAAACGTAACGTAAATTTAATTTTTGCTAATGTGACCAAAACATAGTAACATAGTAACTCAAAATATCAATTACAAAACACAACACATACAAAAATGGTTTATATTAAACTGTGAAAAAAATAAAAATAGGAGAGCTGTCACTGGGTGGCCTTTTGAAATTTGAATTTGAAATTTGTATTTCAAATGTGCATTTTTAGTACCTAAAATTCAAGAAGTGGACTCTTTAGGTACAAATGTGTTCTTTTTGAAGTACCACCCAAGACTCATACAGCTCTTGTAGCTTTATTTCTGAGTGTGTCTAGCACCTGCTATATTTGTTAGCACTCCAAAAAAACTAATAATAATAATAATAATAATAAGGGATTTCCCTTTCTAATGTGAAACAATAAATTCTAACATTGTACCAATTTCGCCAGAAAAAAATGGTTACCAAATGGTCACAAACTGCTGTAGTACTGACAGCTTAGCTACTACACAATAAAGGCGGAATTCAATACGCTATTTTAACATGTAACAGTTACTTATTTTTATTTTAACGCATACAAAAGCAGGAAGCATATGATTTTTTTTGTCTCTGCGCATGCGCAAACATGCATGACAGCTCTGTTTTTAGCATACAAGTGCTCAAGCTAAGGCATATCTTACTTATATTAGACTGTATTCCACAAACTCAGCTCGCACTATAATGAATAAACATTTCAAATACTTTTGTTTTGCATTTGTTGTCATTTAACATGAGCAAATTCCCAGCCCCGTTAGCTCCATTTAGCTCAATGACTAGCAGTTTTTCATTGTTTATTAAATAAACTCCAGCACAGTTACGCAAACGTAAATCTACATCAAGAAATTCGTTGCTTTGGGGAAAATGTATTCTAGTGTTAAAGGACTTGAATCATGTAAAAAGGTCTATGAATTACCTCATATTGTACCGCGAGCAGTGCTGTTGGCAGCAGCAGCAAAGATTTAACGCGCTGCGAGTGAGGGAGGGAGAGAAAGAGAGCGATAGTGGAGTTTGTGTGAGATTGAGTGATTGAAGTGAATAGCACAAAAAACTGTCCGATTTGTTTTTATTACATACATTTTAGTTATGATTTTCATTTTATCGAATGGTCAAATAAATTGACCTATAATTGAAATCTTTTGGTGTTTAATTTTTTAGACTATGGATTTTCTCATCCAGAACTCAAGGTGGCAGTAGCCCACTGTTTTGCTTTTCCCATTGGCATTCCTCAAAGCAGGAAGAAAACTCATGCAACAGCAGCATCCTGTGTCCATTCTGTTTTGTTACAAGATAGTAGTGAGGAAAAACAGTGGAAATGCAGCAACAAAACATACGTCTGTCCTGAAATAAAGTAAGCAAACACGCGATCAAATAATTCTAACGTTACTTAAAAAACGTCAGTGTTTTTTCGAAAACATATATTTGGATTTACCTTTTACTTCTTTATTGGAAGCATTTCTGGACATACAGGCACAAATTATGGCTAAACTGTTCTTTTATTAAGCTTTTGTTGAAGCCTGGGTAACTATTGGGCTCAGAAGGTTCTCTAAATTAGACGACTTTGTAGGTTTTAAGTCCCAAAATTGTAGCAGTTTAGCATGATTTGTGATGTAATTTATTTTCTGTTCGTTTACTATTACATGGACCTAAACTTTTCTAAATATTTTGTACGGCTCTATCACTGGAATATATATATATATATATATATATATATATAGTTTTCTACTCAGCCAAATAAACAAAACACACTAAATACAAATATTATTAAAGACAAGTGAACAGTTTTAAAATGAAAACAAAACAAACTAAATTATGACAAATTAAACAGAATAAAGCTGAAAATTAAAAACAAAAAAGACTTCTGTAACAAGCAGGAAAGAATAACACTTTGTATTTTTAATTTCACAAATTAATCTTTAATAAACTAATCTTATTCCTAATCTTTAATGACTAAGTTTCAGTCAAATGCAGTAAGTGGTTTTCACTTAGTCTTCTGAATTTTAGTTAATATTTTAAAGGCACTTCAGTCAGCATATACAGTTAAAATCAGAATTATTAAACCCCCTTTATGCAACCCTATTATGTTTAGAAATGTGTTACAAAAAATCTCTCTGTTAAACAGAAATTGAGGGAAAAATAAACAGGGTCGGCTAATAATTCAGAGGTTTAATAATTCTGAATTCAACTGCATTTTCTATTGTTTTAAAACCAAATGCACAGATATAAAATACTGGCACACCTTTTAGATTTCTTTCAGCTCTTTACAGACATTGACTGTGTTCATGAGGATACTCACCAAAAGAGGCATTTTGACATAATCTTGGTGTGTGTGTGCTCAAAGAAAACGGTCAATCTGTGAGAATATCCAAAGTCATTGTGCGAGGATTTAGCACTGACATATTCTAATCTGTGTTAGAATATGTCATGTACTGGTTTATTTTTGCCCTTGTTCTCTATTAATATTCATAGTACAGTGTAAATACTTGAATTATGTTGCAATATATAAATGAATTAATCCAGTGTTTTAACCAAATGTACTTTTCTCAGGTCAACTATGGCGCTTTGCCTGTGGCTATTTTTGGTCCTGCCAATATGCTGCTGGTGTCAGGGGGCAGTGGACCTAGGAGACAGTGGTGTTTTTCAGCCCCAGAGTGCCCTCACTGACATGGAGTTTGCCTCTGTCAGCACCTACCGCGGCCCTGGAAACACTGACCCTCGCCCAAATAAAGAGCTGCCAATCCTTCTATGGTGGAGCTCCAATCTGTTCCCACACTTCCCTGGAGATACAGAGCGTGTGGACTGTGCCCACTCATCCTGTCTAGTCACAAGCAACCGTAAGGTTCAGCTGTATCGCCGCACGGCATCTATTATTTTCTATGGCACAGACTTCCGGGCATATGAAGCTCCGCTGCCGCGGTTACCTCATCAAACCTGGGCACTTTTTCATGAAGAGTCACCCATGAATAACTATCTTCTGTCTCACAGTGTTGGAATCAGATTGTTTAACTACACGGCCACATTTAGGAGGGAGTCAGACTACCCATTAACACTGCAGTGGTTGCCCTCGCTGGATTATCTTCTGGCACCTACGGCTATCTCTCTGCAAGAAAAGAACCACTGGAGACAGGCTGGTCTAGCACCTGTTCTCTACATGCAGTCCCACTGCGATGTGCCTTCAGATCGGGACCGCTTTGTTCAAGAGCTGATGAAATATATAGAGGTAATGCTTAAAGATTTCAAACTTAGTTAACAAAATTCTATTTTTTCTCTTTAAATAGACAACATAAGTGTCCTCTTAGTGAATATCCTGAATAATGCATTTGTAAACATTAAAAATGCCCATATTATGGATTATTAAAGTTCTCTTGTGCATGCAAGGTCAAAAACATTTTCATTGTTTCATAATAGGCATGCCATGTAATAAGAATTGTGTGTAAACTGACACAGGAGCATTGCACAAGCGCTTAGGGCTAGACTGCTGGCATGTTGTTGTTTAAAGACTTTAAACATTGATTCCACACACACTTGTTTTTAGACCATGACAAACTGCTCTTTACAGTGCAGAGCACAGCGTCTTCACAGCATGATCCACTTCAGTGTTTAGGGGGAGGGGTTCAAATTTTCCTGGATTCCACAAGCAACAAGTAGGCTGGCAATATTTCACTCAGATGTCACCACAAAACTGCTTGGGATCCATTTGGAGAACAACTTGTTTTAACAAATCTTGAAAAGACTTTCTTTTGCTTTCATTACCTTTATTCATGATGCACCTTCAGTTTTAAATTTCAGCAGAATGTTTTCATTTATTTAGAAAATATAGGTCAATTTAAAAAATCCGTAACAGGAGCACTTTAATATGTAAATATGTACTGCAAGATTAATTCTGAATAACACAATTTACAGAGGGGCAGCCTGGACAACAGACGAAACATAAGATTATAGTAATGTGGATATGTTTGAACCAGCTTTGCCTTTTATATATCATCTTATATAATAGATTTTAAAGCCTTCAACTTAGTCATGTAAAGGTTAAAGAAGCCTTTCAGTGTCACATTTAATTTCTTTTTAAAATGTTTTTCAGCTTGTTCATGTTTTTACTTTTTTTCTTTCTTTTATTTTTTCACTTTTTTCAGTTGGCAGACCTTCACAGACTCAACAAAATGTCATAGAAGGTCAATTAATAGTTCAAAGGTCCTTTACAGACAGTTTGTTTTGGCAAAAATCTATGCTTCAGGTTTTCAAAGCAAACAAACTTTATTTTGACTAATTTTGTTCCAAATCACATCACAACAATTTTGGTTCAAGGATATTTTAGGGCCATATAAATAAAATGCACCACACAGTTTTTTGTCCTAAGTTTTCTCAAAAATTAAAAATGTATTTGATCAATTTTCTTGATTTTTGTCATTGTTTTAATTTTCATGTGTTCTATAATAATACTGACACATGCTATTTTAGGTAGTTTGTTGTTGAAGTCTTACAACAAGGATCGAACAGCCATGCACAATTTAGCTTCAACCTTAATTAAACAGACACAATCAAACTAATTAAGTTTTTCAGGCATGTTTGAATGCAGATATTACGAGTGACCATGACAACATCTGAAAAAAAGACATCAGCATTTCTTTCTACAGCTGAACTGCTCATGCAAAGTCATATCAAATATGACCATATATTTAAAATAAAAAACACCAGGGCATCAGTGAAACAGAGACAGTTAGCATAGGAAAACATAGCTTCTTGAGTTAATGCGTTATTTTACATTTAAAGTATTTACTTTTTTAAGTTTAATAGAAAAAGTAATGTAATGTGTGACATTTATAAAAAATTGTACACAAGTTCCCACTTTTATACACGTTGATCAGTTTTAATAGATGTAAAAGTGCACTTGTGTTTCTACCTTTTTTATTGATCAAGTGCTAGAGGTTGATTTGATATTTAGAATGTAAGCAGTATTAAACAATTTTTTTGAAAGAATAATAATCCCTTTAATGCAATTACAGTACATGTTGAAGGTCAGTGAATTTAAGCTAATTATTTATTAAAAAAGGACAAGCCATTCTCGGATTAATTTTTGTGTGACTGAAATGTGGACAATAGCTATGTTTCCATTCAAATATATTAATAAAATGTATGTGGAAAACTGGAATATCACATAAAAGAAATAGGAATAAAGCAGTGTTTCCATCCAATGAATCAAAGAGAACAAAATTGTTACTTCCTGATTAAACAGGTGCCAAATATCAACAGGTAAAAAAGAATTTACTGCCGTAGAAGCTACGTCAATCTTTTCTATTTTTAATAAATGTACTTGCGCCTCAGAAGACAATACTGACGCACCATGAATGCGTGAGGGCGGCGTTTGAAGCTATGACGTGGACAATGGAGAACAGACGCTCTTGACACGCTCCAGACACTCTGGAGGTCATTAATAATATAATAACATTAATACTGAAATGGTTAAGGTGTTTTAGAATGGCCAAAACAACATTTAAGATGTGTTACAGTGTGCTTCTCCCGCTGGTTTGTCCATTCACTCACATTTTCATCATCATATAATCTCCTATAACAATCATATTTTAATGCACATAATGTAATTTGTTCAGTAAAAGTGTTTCCATCGTAGTTTATGCACATCTTTTCTATCGCATAAAAGTTTATCCTACTTAGTTATGCACATGTTTTTATGCATATTTTCAAAAGTTATGTGCATAATGATGTTTCTATCAATTGTTTTTATGCACATCTGCAAAATTAGCATTAAAATAGGTTGGTGTAAACGTAAGGCTAAGGCGAGAAATACCGCTTCGTCTTTAAAAAAGGGGAGGAGACCGACAAAAACTCGAGTTTAGAGAATAAAACCTGCTCCTGACCAGGTTAGGTTCACGGAGTAAGTTACCACAGTAACTGACTCAGAGTAAAGTTACCTCTCTTTCAGAAACAGGCTTGACTTACCCTGCTCTCTCCAGTTAAACAAACCTGCCAGTTTGAAACGGAAAACCCAGAGTTTCTCTCGTTTCAGGGGTGAAATACTCTCAGTTTTCACTTAACCTCCATTCTGAAACGGGGCCTTAGTATCCAAGTTTAGTTCAAATTTGTTTCAACACACCTGCCAGGAAGTTTATAGTATGCTAGTTAGAGCTTAATTAGCTGGCTCAGGTGTATTTGATCAGGGTTGGAGCTAAACTCTTCAGGACATTGGCCCTCCAGGACCAAGTTTGGACACTACTTGCTCAGGGCATGTAGCTTTATCTGAAAAGAGTGCATTAATTCTATATGTCAATAGTTTTCTAATATCTACATAGAGTGTAAGTGATTTAGGTAAGAAACTTTTTTATGCTCATTTATAACCAAAGAATTTACTCCTGAAGTAAAAAGCTTGTTTTGACCATATTTGGAATGGTCTTGAATATTAATGAGCTTTGCTCTCATGCTCCACAGCTTGTGTCACTGCCACACACATTTGTACTGATATGTCATGAATAATGTACTCTGAAATACACAGAATAATCATACTTAAGTTGTCAAAAAATGTATTTAAGTTGATGCCTTGTTAAATGACAATTATTTCAACTGTAAGGGAGAAGACATTTACATTAGGAGCGAGTGAGCTGTCTTTATAACTGCACCTCAGTAATGTTTTATTGATAAAATGTTGGCTAAATTTTAATTCTACAAAACAAAAAGGACAGACAGACTTGTATTTAAAGTTGTATTTTGTAAGAGCTGAGTGACATAACAGTGCATAAATAAACTCTAGTTCAGCAGTGTAACATTGCTCTCTACAAACGTAAACGTGTCTGATGCCTCATTATGAGAATAAACAGTAAATTTTACAGTATTCATCTCAGGTGTCAAACTCAGCTACACGGTTTAGCTTTAACCCTAATTAAACAGTCCTTCACGATTGTTTGAAACCTACAGGTAAGTGTGTTAAAGCAAGGTTGGAGGACTGCAGCCCTCCAAGTTTGATGCCCCTGGTATATATCTTAAACTAACAAAAGATAAAGTAAACCTTTTCGTGGTTGCATTAAATTTATATGTCAAATTGATCTTTCCCATATTTACTGTTCTGAGTGAACTGATAAAATCTCTGTACCTGCAACATAGTGTGCCATTTTCAAAATAAGAGTCCCATATACAAAGCAAGCATAATACAAGTTCACATAAACTTAAATAAGGGAGAAAATAACATTATTGTAGACTCTCTAGGAAACCTTGTGACAACTCAAAACGCAGCCCAGGGCATGTATATGATCATGGTCCTTTGTGCATTGTAACAGTTGGTGTTTTTTTCTAATTGGTCTGTTTTTCACCAGGATTTAGTACTCAAAGAATTTACATGAGAATGAGGAAACTGATGTTTGTGACTATATGGTATTTCATATCCTTGTACTAAACTTATGCCTAGGTGAAGGGTGTGAAAATCTACACAGTTTAGTTCCAAACCTGCTCTAATACACTTACCTGTTGCTGTTAAACAAGCCCAATAGACTCAATTAGTACAATCAGTTTGTTTAATCAGTGTTTAATTAGAGCTGGAACTAATCTGTGCAGAGCTGCGGCCCTCCAGGAACTGAGTTTGACACTCCTGGACTAGGTATATCCAGATTTTCATTCTGTAGCACATCTAAAGTGTCTTTAATGCAAGAAAATATCTATAAAATCTGAATGAATCTAATTGAAAATAGTGTTGTCACCTTTTTACTCGAGTTTGCACTCCTAAAGGTCACAAACAAACAGTGACTAAACAGAACAAACTCATACAAAGAGTCAAAGGAAATTTGAATATGAATGAATAGATAAAAAATACGGTACAATGATGTGCAGGTTAATTAATACACTGGTTAGTATATGTATGAATTAGAGATTTTTAGAAGGTGTGTGTGTCTCTCTCAGTGTTTCTATGTCCTGTTTGGAAGAGTTTGCAGGGTTTTTTTTGGAGCATCTTATTTTGCTGTTGCCACGGTGACCAGAGAAATGTTCTGAGTTGAGATATAGAGGGTAGTAACTTTAACACATGGATTGCTTATTGGTTAAGAGGTGCTGTGGATTATATTTGTTAAATAATAACAAATAATTGTTTGTCTGGTATATCTCAGACGCTATAAGGGAAAAGCCTGATAGTTGCACGTGTTGAGCTTCTGTGTTTTTGCTAGGGCTGCACAATACAAAAATAGTCTTTGCTTTAATTTATCTATGCATGTTATTAATATAGACTGCACAGTGGGTAGCGCCTTACAGTCTCACAAGTCTAAAAACATGCGCTAAAGGTGAATTGGGTAAGCTAAATTGTTCACAGTGTATGTGTGTAAATGAGTGTATGGGTTTCCCAGTGATGGGTTGCAGCTATAAGGACATCCACTACATAACAAAAATGTGCTGGATAAGTTGGTGGTTCATTCCACTGTTGAAACCTCATATTAATAAAGGGACTAAGCTAAAAAGAAAATTAATTTTATGAAGATATTTATTTACCTATTTTTTGGATCGCTTTCAATTAGTGGTCATGGGAAATAATCAATCTGAAATCGAAGGGGTCTGCCATGGTGTTCCTCAGGGGTCGGTCTTGGGTCCAATATGGACTGGGAGTACCACTTTTATGCTGATGATACCCAAATTTATATCAGCTCCAAATCCAATCTGTCTGCTACTGCCTCAGTTTGCTCATTGTGTGCTGTAAATTAAAATGAGGATGCACCAATTTTTTTTTAATTAAATGGTTTTAAAGCAGAGGTTCTCCTTATTGGCACTCTCAAAGACAGTGAGTTTAAATTAAGTTTGGATCATGCTGTTGTCTGTCAATCTTACAAAGCAAGTAACCTTGGTGTGATTTTTGACACTCATCTGTTACTAGACTCAAACATTAGGAGCATAACAAAATTTGCATTTTATCATCTGAGGAATATTGCAAGAATCAGGTTTTTGCCTCACTCTGAAAGTCACATTCATGCATTTGTCACTTTTAGGATCTGGTTAACCTGCTAAATTAATCAAACGACTGCAGTACATTCAAAACTCAGCAGCACGCATTCTCACGCACACATCACTGGTGTGCTTTATAGCTTGCATTGGCTACCATTTCAGTTCTGTATCATTTTTATGACACTCACACTTGCATATAAAGCTCTACATGGTACAGCTCCTTCCTAGATCTGACATTGTCTCTCAGTACACACCTTCTCGTTCCCTGCGATCTGCTGATATGCTCACCCTTTAACAGCCACCCTGTAGATTAAAATCAATGGGGGAGAGAGCCTTCTCCGTTGCTGCACCCATATGGAATGTTCTCCGTTATTCTGTTAGAAATGCTTCCACACTAGATAGTTTTAAGATGTTAAAAACTCATCTTTTTAAGACTGCATTTTTAAAATTCTTGATTATTCTGAAGTGCATATATTTTAGAATTGTTTTATGTGTACTTGGGTTTTATTGCATGGTTGATTTCTCTGTTGTAGCACTTTGGGTTTTAGAAAAGTGCTTTATAAATAAAATTTATCATTATTATTATTATTATTATTAAGATTAAGATACACTGACCTATCAGATCACACTAATCAGTCTAGTATTCAAGACATGTGGTGAAATTTTATTCACACCACAAAAAATAAAACAAGTGCAATGTCACAACGACTGCATGGTAATGGAAAAAAAAAATATTTTGTCATATTTTGTTTTTCTGCAATATATTTTGCGATAAATACAATTTTAGATGACTTGAGTAGTTTTTTTGTATATATATAATTTTAGGTTGATTGGAGCAAAGATGCAAACCAAACAAAAACGGTGCTTGTCTGAGAAGTCTTATAGTCTTCAGACACAGAACTTGAATAATTAAATGCAAAATATCACAGTATAATCTTCATCGTATAAATAATCGTTGTAATCTAAAACTACAGTTTTATTGTAATTTCTTGCACTTTTTGTTCTTCACTTTCGTCAATTGGGGAAGTTTGTTCCTCGCCACTGGCTTGGTTGGTTTTGGGACTTGTGGAGCTGTGCATTGACAGATTTGCTCTTCAGTGTTTGGACTTTCAGCAGTGAAAATTAAACCCCACTGAACTGAACTAAACTGAACTTCAACTTTGAAAACTGGACAGACAAATTCAATTTACTAGAACTTGTATGTTAAGCTGCTTTGACACAATCTTTGTTGTAAAAGCGCTATAGAAATAAACATGAATTGAATGAAATGGAGTTTAATCTCTCTTGAAATGCTTAATAATAATCACAGGTCTAAAAACATGTAAATTATAAACTTTCTTTTTGGACAAACTTTGGAATTGTGAACTATTGTACCTGATTAACTAGACACTGCACATGCTATAATGTGACTGTCGTGGATATGCGCATTGTGATATTGATGCTTAAATTATATATTGTGCAGCTCCAGTTTGCACACATGATCGAATACAGCAAACTTTGATGTAAATGTATGCTTAAGCTAAATTATCATAATTTTTGTCTCCTTAGATTGACTCATACGGGAAGTGCCTTAACAACAAACCCCTGCCTGAATATCTGGAGGACACCAGCACAGCCACTAGTGAGGACCGGCGCTTCATGAGTTTTGTGGCCCGTTATAAGTTCCACCTGGCCCTGGAGAATGGCCTTTGTCCAGACTATATGACTGAGAAGCTCTGGCGACCCATGCACCAGGGCTGTGTGCCTATTTACAGGGGCTCAACAACGGTAGCCGACTGGCTCCCAAACAATCATTCCGCCATTCTCGTTGAGGATTTTTCCACTCCACGAGAGCTCGCCGACTTCATCAAAGCTTTGGATCAAGATGACGTGGAGTATTTGCGTTATCTAAAGTACAAAACACCCAGTGAGATCACTAACTTGCGTTTGCTGGAGGGGTTGGAGAGCAGAGAGTGGGGCGTCAATGACATGAGTAAACCAAACTACTTGAACGGTTTTGAGTGTTTTGTGTGTGACAAAGAAAATGAACGTCTGGCAGCGAGAAAAGCTCACAGAAAGAACCCGAAACAGAACCAACCTCCTCAACCAAAGATGGCCAACAGCTCACACATGGGCTGCCCGCTACCCAGTCCAGGATACGGACCTGTGGAAAATGTTGAACCAAATGATAGGTAAACCCAACTTCAATACCAATATTGTTACCAATAGCAATGCTGTATTTTGAACCTAGTGGGTTTTTCACGTAGGTTGTTTGCAAGGCTGGGAAGGTTAATTTTAAAATGTATTTTACTAAAGATTAGTATTTTATTGCACGCTTTGAAAAGTAACTATTAATGTACAGTGCATCCGGAAAGTATTCATACTTCATAGTGCTTCACTTTTTCACATTTTTTGTTATAGCCTTATTTCAGAATGGATTCAATTAATTTATTTCCTCAAAATTATACATCCAATACCCCATAATGACATGTGAAAATAGAGTCTTTGAAATTGTTGCAAATTTATTAAAAATAAAAAAAAAAAACTGAAAAATCACATGTACGTAAGTATTCACAGCCTTTGCTCAATACTTAGTTGATGCACATTTGGCAGCAATTACAGCAATGTCACAAGAATATGATGCCACAAGCTTGACACCTGTCTATGGAAAGTTTTGGCCATTCCTATTTCTCTTTGCAGTACCTCACAAGCGCTATCAGGTTGGAAGGGAAATAACAGTGCACAGTCATTTTCAGATTTCTCCAGAGATGTTCAATAGGATTTTGGTCTGGGCTCTGGCTCGGCCATTCATGGACAATCACTGAGTTGTAGTGAAGCCACTCTATGGATATTTTGGTAGTGTGCTTTGTGTCATTGTCCTGCTGGAAGATGAACTGTTGTCCCAGTCTGAGGTCAAGAGCACTCTGAAGCAGGTTTTCATTCAGGATATCTCTGTACATTGCTGCATTCATCTTTTCCTCTATCCTGACTAGTCTTCCAGTTCTTGCTGCTGATAAACATCCCCACAGCATGATGCTGTAACCACCATGCTTTACTGTAGGGATGGTATTAGCCTGGGAATAAGCAGTGCCTGGTTTTCTCTAAACGTAATGACTGGCATTCACATTAATTTAAGTCTCTTCAAACCAGATAATTTTGTTTATTATGGTCTGAGAGTCCTTCAGATGCCTTTTTTTCAAATTCCAGGCGGGATTAGCCTGGTGATGAGCGGTACCTGTTTTTTCCAAATATAATGCCTGGCATTCACTCCAAAGAGTTCAATTTTAGTCTCATCAGACCAGAGATTTTTATTTCTTATGGTCTGAGAGTCCTTCAGATGCCTTTTGGCAAATTCCAGGCGGGGAGTGGCTTCTGTCTGGCCACTCTACCATATACTCTACCACTCTACCAATTCCACCGAATTGGCTCCATCACCGTCTCTCCTCTCCACCAATAGCTGGTGTGTGGTGAGCGCACTGGCGCCGTTGTCCTGTGGCTGCCGTCGCATCATCCAAGTGGATGCTGCACACTGGTGGTGGTGTGGAGAGACCCCCCTCATGATTGTGAAGCGCTTTGGGTGTATGGCCATACACAATAAATGCGCTATATAAATACACATTACATTACATAGCCCTGATTGGCCAATTTCTGCACAGATGGTTGTCCTTCTGTGAGGTTCTCCTCTCTCCACAGAAGAATGCTGGAGCTCAGACAGAGTGACCATCGGGTTATTGATCACCTCCATGACAAAGGCCCTTCTGCTCCGATCACTCAGCTTAGATGGCCGGCCAGCTCTAGGAAGAGTCCTGGTGGTTTCAAACATCTTCCACTTGCGATGATGGAGGCCACTTTGCTCATTGAAACTTTCAGTGTTCTTGTCTTGGAGGTCTACAGACAATTTCTTTTTCTTCATGCTTGGTTTGTGCTTTGACTTGCACTGTCAACCCTGGGTGCTTATATGGACAGGTGTATGCCTTTTCAAATCATTACCAATCAACTGAATTCACCACAGTAGAACTCCAATTAAGCTGCTGAAACATCTCAAGAATGATCGGTGGAAACAGAATGTACCTGAGCTCAATTTAGAAATTCACGGCAAGGGCTGTGAATACTTATGTACATGTGATTTTTCAGGTTTTTTATTTTTTAATAAATTTGCTACAAACTAAAAATATCTTTTTTCACATTATCTTTAAGGGGTATTGTGTGTAGGATTTTGAGAAAATAAATCAATTTAATCCATTTCGGAATAAGTATGTAGCATAAAAAAAAATTGAAAACAAAATAAACAGATACACTGTATTTTATTAGATTAATCTGGTTTAGTTGCTTAAAGTGGTAGTTCACCCAAAAATAAGAATTCTGTCATTATTTACTCTCCCTTCGCTTGTATTAAGTCTGTTGGTTTTTAATTTTTTTTTTCTGTTTAACAAAATAAGATATTTTGAAGAAAACTGGAAACCTGCAACTAGGGGTGTGCAATTTGAGGAGTACATCTAATATTTTTTATTTATTTAATTTTTTTACAGATATTGCGATTCCATTTAAATTCAAGATTGAATTTTGCTGTCAAGCTTCAGTTCAATATTCGGTATCCTAGCTGACTTTGAAACCTTTTTCTTTGATATGATTTCATTTAATGATTTCATTTAATGCATAATGCTTCTGAAGCTGCAGTCACCATCATCCCACTTGTCAGCACTTTCCTGTTCGTTTTATTGTGGGCTTTCTACATAGTTTGGTTGCACAATTCTAAATGGGCAGAACGAAAGTGTGCTCACTCCATTGGCAAGTAAGACTGTCACACACAGATGGCAGTCAAGCATTTACTCTAAGTGGAAGAAATTATATAATTTATATATAATTTATATCACAGCCTCTTGCAATTAGCTAATCGCAATGTTTCCAATTGCCATTACGATTCAATCGATTAATCGCACAGCCCTACCTGCAAACACTTCCTACTATAGAAGCCAATGTTTCCAGGTTTTCAGCTTTCTTTCAAAATATCTTATGTTGTATTTAACAGAAGAAATAAACCTTTAAATGTTTGGAAAAATAATGTTTGTTATTTTTGGGTGAACTATCCTCTTAATATACACACTTTAGATACCTAACAAATTTAAGGATCTGAATTTCATTGTAATTTTAAATAGTGGTAACCAAAATACAGTTACATCTTAATTTATATTGTCACAGTTATAAATTACATTTAAATACATAAAGTCATTACATGTATTTTGATAAGGCCCAGTAAACTAGGCCGAACTCAAAAAATATATTAAGTAATATTTTTAATCATTTAACTGATACTATTAATCGGTTAAAAACGCACCCTATCGAGAGAGAATCGATTATTTTGAGCATCCCTAGCTTAAGCTCAACCTCTCTCATTGGTAGTATGTTGAGTATTGATAAATCAAAACAATATTGTCTGTTTTAAAAAAAAAAAGGAGGATTTACATTATGTACTACCCTCTCTTCATGCTTCAGCTCAGATTACATTAAACATTGAATAAAAATTTCAAAGCACTTCACGGGACCTATAGCACTACGGTGCCCTCGGCAAACCAAGTTTGATTCCGGCTCAAAGTCTTTTGCTGATCCATCCCCCCTCTCTCTGCTCCTCACACATTCCTGTACATTCTACTCGTTGTCCTGTCCAATCAAAGGTACAGAAAAAAAACTTAATAATATTAATAATTATAATAACAATAAAATAGCCAACAAGAACTTTGTTTAAAGTATACCAGGAACTTTACTCCATAGGCCTGGTTGTATGACTCTGCAGATGGACACGATGGTCTCTTTTATTTCATTCAAAGTATCACTGGCACCATCTTGTGCCTCAGTTTTCTGTGAAAAAGAAACCAGCAGATGTAGACCTTTGGTAATATAATTGTAGTGCTAGTCATTGTGCTGGAATGATTGTTTTCTACACTGTAATGAATGATTTTGCAATGGATCACTGCACATTTGACGCATGCATCAAGAATGCAGAGCGAGTTGTCAAAAATAATTTGGAGAAGCTTCTTCTTATAGGATAAGGACAGACAGTCTCATGAATAATAATGACAAACTGGTGCTTTAGCATTGATTGCTGTGCATTCTTTGATGTCAAACACAAATTGTTCTAAAATACCACAAGAATACTTAAATGTTACTTAAAGTTTTCTCCTATAAATAAATGAACAAATACCGCCGTTGCAACACAAATGCCTCTAAATAGAAAAAAAAACTTCAGCTTGCAAGATTTCTTTTGTGAAGTAACAATCAATTTTTTAGTCTTGAAACTTGAAATGTGTGGCAGTGCTTTTTGGTGTGGCTTTAAAGCAAGACATGGAGTGTGACGTGTGTTTGTTCTCAGCTGGCTCCAGATGTGGCCGCAGGACTACTGGCAGAGTCTGGATCAGGCAGAGGGTTTGGAGTCGCTCATCAGACACAATGTTTCCGAGCCATCGTTACTGTGGCAGCACATCCAGAGCATCGCTGTGAGGAGAGCCAGAGGCCTATCAAATGACTCGAGGTGACGGCTCACATCAAAACTTCCTCTGACAGCTCAAGACTCAACATATTTTTGGCAGCAGGTTTAATTTGACAAGCCACCCAAGGCTGATGTGCCGCTGTCAGAGTTTGTGCAATTTCTAATTCATCTTATGTTTAAATTCTCCTTTGAGTATTGTATATTATGTATTTATAATGAATGTTTTTTTAGCTTTTCAAAGCGCTGATATTGATTGCCTCACAAAATCACTCAGGCTTGCTTGTCAGAAGATCTCATAGAAGAAAATGACTGCAGTTATGATGAAATCTTTGGCTAATAGTTAATCTGAGGTAAAACGTGTCATATTTTTCATTACAAAAGGGAAAAAAAAACATGGCTTATTTTTAGGATGCTATGATTTTAACATGACTTTTTTTTTTTTTTTTTGAGAGTTGAGGACATTATATCCATTCAGAAATGCATTCCTTGAGGAATTTATCATTGAAATGAGCAATTTCCACTTTATAGCTACAAATTATGGTATTGAGACTTGTTATAGAATCACAAAAATGTCCCTTTTTTCATTGATGTGGATACATCATTTCATGATATTCACCTAGATTACTCCAGGAACTGTTTATTTATAGTGTTTAAGCATCTCAGTATTTCTTAAGCAGTATTTATATATATTTTTATTGCACATTCTTGTAACAAAAACAATAAAAGAATACAGCTTTATTCATGACAATGGTTACACATTTTATAACAATGCTACGGAAAAAGTTTCTTTAAAATATTCAATGATGATTAAATACAACTAGGATAAATACATTCTTGTCGATTTGACAACTGAACAAGGAACAGAATCCCCCCAAAATAGAAAGAAAGAAATCCTGGGATCCCTGCAACATACATTCCTGATGTTCTAACACTAGAAAACTTATTAATAAAAACATTCAGAACTCTAAAAATATTCTAAACCACGTGATATGCTTTAAATGTTTTGCATCAGTAAGGAAAAAAATCAAGTTGAATGTGTAATCTGTTAGTATAAAATGTAGCTCCCTTCAAAAAAATGAAGTAGACTATTTTGGTGAGGGTTTGTTTTAGGTAAGGTAAGATCTCATTATAGCAGGTTGGAATAGCAACTCTCACAATGAACTGTCCCACGATGCAGAAACATATTGTAGAGCAAGTCTCCCATTGGTTTACTGCAAATAGCACACTAGGGTGGAGGAAAAAAGAAATTCAATACATATTTCATGAAAACATGTTGTCATATAACTGAGTACAGAGGCGTAGTATTTCATTAACAAGATATAAAGGAAAAAAACCTGCACATTGTGCCATAAAATGTGAGAATATCTGGGGGAGAGCAGAAATTGTTCTGTACCTTAAAGCAGGATGGGTGACAGGATATGTTCAGGTGCTCAATTGTGATTTTGACATCACTTCCCACCTTTTCTCCACAGTACGTACAAGCGGTCATTTCACTTCTACATAGACAAAATGAGGTCATTAGGTAAAGCTCAAATGACTACGGTTATTAAAGTTAGTTAAAGCCATTTGTATTATATGCAACCATTTTATTTCAGCAAATTTTCAAGGAAACATTTCTTGTTTTTTAAATAGTTTAATTTTACTAAAACAAAATTTGTTAAGCTATAAGGCTGTTGAATTCTTGATTCTAATTGGCTGATGAACATTCATAGGTGTGCAATTATTTGCAGATAAACAGCTAGTTGCTGGCAAGTTCTGACCATATTATTGTTTCGAATCACTTCACTGAACTATTTTACTGCCTATAACAGTTGAATATTATGTAACGTGAAAGAATGTAATATGACATACAGCTTGTGGCCAAATCACCACTTGGATGTACATTATTTTCTAATAATTCAACTAGATAGATAGATCTAGATAGAACTGTTGTGTAAATGAAATATCACACACATCATAGCACTGTGATATGGCTGTATATCAGCACCTCTTTATTGTTCTCGGCTGCATGAATCACAGCAGTGTTGATATACAGATACATCGCAATGTTACTTTTGCTCATTTATTAAACTGCTTTCTTCAAAACTTGATTCTGATTGGTCAATCACAACATTTAAAAGTATGTTATTCCCAAATAACAATCTCTGATACTAATAACATAAGCTCTAATAACACATGGATACTACGAACAATCTTAACCATTAGTAAATACATTCAAGAACAGCGCATGACAGAAAGGAATATGAATGTTTGGCACCAATATTTGACTGAAAAATAAGTTGGTAGGCTGTATTTAGCCTTTTTTGTGTTAGCTTTAGATTTAATTATAGATTTAATAAATGATTACAGCTCAGATCAATGGCTGTTTCTCAATATGCGTTCTTGCATCCTTGTGTTCTCTTGTAATACCAACATCAACCATCGAAGTTCAGTTCCAAAACTCAAGACCGCAAGAACGGAGGAGAGTTCCCGAGCAGACTCGAGCATTAAACTCTTTCCAGAAGTCCCAAAAGTCATTTCTGCTGAATAAACGAGGTGGGAAGCGCAGCATTCTATACCTGTATGTTATTAAAGTTCAGAGATATAGCTTATTTATCTCAGTAGTTTACCCTAAATGAGACTGTGAAAGCAAACATTTATGAAAATCTTAATAAAGGCATGAACACATTAGGGGTGTTTATTTGCTGGAATTTGTATTAGAATCTGTCTGCAAAGTATATTTGTAAGGTTTTTATGCATGTTATATATACTGAAAAGGGGAAAAACAATAAATCGTTGTATAAATGCTGTAATGTTTAAATAATTTTCCCTTAAAAATACGTGAAAGACCATAGGAAGAATGCAGCATCTCCCGAGTTTGTTCTTTTAAGGTAACCTGGCAGTACAACTCTCCACAAGAACCCAAGTCTATTCTGTGTGTTCTTGGAATTGAGAAACAGTCATTTTGTCTTATTGTTTATGTTTTGTGTAGTAATAAGTGGGATAATGTACAATTAGCTGGTTATTTTCGCTGTAGAAATGCATTCTTACACAACTGCTGATACCCCTGTCAGGCTTTATACTGGGAGAACAACCCTAGATCTGCAGAAGTTAAACTATTTATGAAACCTACAATAGCATTTCAGTGATAGCATAACAACATACAAATCTAACAAAATTCAATCAATTTCCTATTTACTCATACCCTTCACTGCCTTTAAAACTGTCTGAATATTCATATGTTTTATACTATACAAAATGAGTTCTGGTACTCTGTATGGAAAATACATACGAAAGTCCTGTTTTGACTTTAATAACATTTAAGGCTTGTTTTGCAGCATTTATATAAGAAACCTCTGCCAATCAAAAACAGTTTAAAAACAAGTATAAACATGTTACCTGGTGTAGTAGCTGGGGCTGCTGTAGTTGTAGCTGGAAGTTGTTGATGACACATAATCAGAGCTGCTACAAAGGGGAGATTTGTTTAGTTGTTTGATGTCATTATGTATGACAAATAAAATTAGGTCAGTCACAGGATCATTTATTTATTTTGCATTACTACTATACACATTATCTACATAAAAGCCCAACTGAAAGTGTTGGGGGGGGGGGATTACAAAGGATTATTTTAACATATTTTTGTCTCTTTTTCTTTTCATTAAACAATTGTATTTGTATTGCTAAAATGTGGTATGCTTTGCACACTAATGAAGCATTTTTGCAGAAGTAAATGGAGCTGATAGAGATGCAACAACCTGATTGTCTAAAATTAACTTGAGCTCTGCAGCAAACATCCTGAGAGCACAGAATTTGCAGTTGAGAATTCTTGTGCTTTTGATGTTGTGCAGAGAATTCATATAAAAAGAGGATGTATGTATGGGTGCGGCCAATGGAGGACTGGAGAATCATTGACAAGTGATGTATTTCACTAAACTCCACCTGTTAATTTCAGCTGCCTATAAGTTGACGTCAGGAAATGAAGTGGTTGCGCATCCCTGAATGTAACTCTTGCATTGCATTGAGGATAACAGAATTCTGTGAATCGAATTATTCATTTGTATCCAATAAATTACAAATATATTTAACACTGAAGAGAAACTCTCCTGAACATGCATGGTATTGATTAGATATTCTACAAGCAACACTAGAAAGTAGTGTTGAAATCTGAAGTAAACTCAATAATAACTGGTGATCACTGTTACCATGTAGAATTATCTAATGGATAAAACGCCTTGCTTACCTGCCATCTACAGCAGAGTTATCCACATATTCCTTAACATAGACAAAGTTCCTAAAAACAGGAGAAAGGGGTTTCAGTTAGACAACACGCTCAGGTATTTCATGACCAGCTTTCGTTCCAATAACATAATCTCACATACTTCTTGGATTCAGATTCTGGTAACTTCCGGTCCCTCTCCTCTGTGCTGGTGCTGGTTTTAGTGCTTCAAAACAGAAATAGTACAGTATGTTATTAAACTTGTACTTCTTTGCTCTATGCCAATCAATATTGTAGTTTAACTGTATCTATATGTTCCTAAAGTCAAGAAACAAGATCTTTCAAGAAGCAATGAGTAACCCAAGACAAAGCAGGGCTGTTCTTATTTAGCTGTCATCCTAGTCAACCTGTCCTATATTCAAGTGCTCCTTTTTTGAATTTTGGACAAAAGATTGCAAACAGGAAATGTTGGTTTAACCCTGATGACCAATATTTTAATCCTAAATGACCAGATCAGAATGCTAAAATGCTTCTTGGCTTTTTTTTTCCCAGAAATTGAGCTACTAGAAAAAGACGTATCTGCTCTATTACAGTGGGTTCATTCTTAGAAAAACAATATTTGTGAGAATACACAAACAGCTCCCATGAGAGTTAAAATTGACCTTATAATCATAAGTCACATTTGCATTTCTCTCACTGTTGTTGAACCTCACGGTTCACGGTACTCATATAGACTTGTTTAACTCAGATGGTTTGTAGCAATCTTTTTCCTCAAACGTTGAGTTGACCTAACTTATTGAGTTTTACAGTACTCAATTGCTTTGAGTTCTCTTCATTTATTTGGTTTTACTGTGCTCAGATTTCTTGGTTTACTCAAATGGATTGAGTTCACAGTACTCATCTGGATTAGTTCTTGAACTTAAATGGTTTGTAGCAATCGGTTTCCTCAAATGGTTTGAGCTACCTTAACTTATTAGGTTTTACAGTTTGGACCTGTATTGGCTTGATATAACTCATACCTATATAAACTTAAGAGGCTTCGTATTATGGAACTGTCTGTGGCAAGGATGCAAAACTGCAATAACTAAGATAAAAGATTTGCTATTGTGATTTTGTTTTTGTCGAAAAAGTCCAATGTATCTACTTTTGTTAAAAGTGTTCTTGTAAAGAAGTTAAATGCAGAGGTAAATTAATTAATTTATTTACTTTAGTTATTTATTGATATGTATTGTAACTTTTATTATTATTATTTTTCTCTCTTCTTGTTTTTGGCTCTGATTTGTTTCTTTTTTTGTTTAATTATTTATTATTGTCGCCAAGGGTGTATGGGGTGGTGTATTAATGTAAACTGCAGTTGGATGTTATCCTTGTCTATAACAATGTATGCTAGATTATTTCCAACTGTTCATTAAAAATTGGATCACAAAAAAGGCATTATATCGATCGAAAGTAAACTGTGGGGTTCCCGCAAGGCTCAATTCTTGGTCCCTTGCTTTTTACATTATATATATAGTACCTTTTGGCAGTATCTTTAAAAACGTGGAGTTACATGTACAACACACAACAGTACTGTATATCTCCTCACAACATGATCATTTGTATGAATTCTGTAGTTATTCAGGTAATTACTGTACTATCCTGTAAATAAATCATTGTGTACTACCTTTGTAATATAAACATGCTCAAGATGTTAGTTTGCATGAAACATATCAACATTATGAGTTAGACCTTAAACTGGATAAAATCCAAGCTAGAAAATCTTCCATGAGGTCTACAGGATAACATAAAACTAAACTACAGAATCATCATGTTCAATTTAATACCAACCAGTTGTTCAAGCAATTGTGAAAACAAGCAGCAATGCTATAATTACAGCAGAAACCCGGTGTTTAGTTGTCCCATGACTTCAAATGTCAAACACTAAGTTCTTATGGAATGTTTACTTCAATCACCCATGTGAACAATGAGACGTGCTTGCATTTTTTAACAGTTAAACAGAAGCTAAAAAAATAAATCATTAATCTGTGTAAACTTTCATTTGAAAACACTACAACTCTTACCTCTCCATTTCTGTCCTCCAGGTACTCCTGTGAAGGAAAAAGCAGGTGTTACTTTCAAAAGAGTTTAGAAGACTGCCTTTATTTCCAGAGAGCGTATGCACTCGTGTGAAGTGCGCTTTATAAGTGAAAGCTTATTTATCTCAGGTGGAGTTTTAGGGTTGGGCTTGCTACTTCCTCCTCCAGGACTTCAACCCATTACGTTATTGACTTTTCATAGGAAAGATCTACATGCAAACGATATAAATCAACACAGACAGGTCTACCCTGCTTGTTCAAGAAATGAGTGCTGCTGCTAAAAATAAAAAGTCATCCAGATCCTTTTAGTGTCTACAGTCTTAGTGTCGCATACTATCAATACAAAGTATCAATATTGGTGTCACTTATAAAAGATAAAAAGTCTAAATTATAATTGAATCATTATATAGCAGGTCCAAAAATGTGTCAAGACAAAAACGAGACATTACATATGAGGTTGGGAATTCACTGATATGCGTACCTTATCTTATCTGTAACAATATATCTGTACTAGTGTGAATAATGCATATATATCTGACTATGGGCCACAAACCCATACAGTAAGTGTCATTTTTGGATAAACATCACTTGAAAACTGAATAAATAAACTGTCCATTGATGCTTTAAAGACATTTGATGCATATATTTGGCTAAGATACATCTATGTAGCAAATCCGCCTTTTAAAGAAGATTTTACATTCAACTGTTGGCATTGCAGATTACTAATCAAAAATGAAACTTTGACCGATTTATGGCAGGAAATTGACATCATTTTGACTTAATCAGCGTATCTTTGGCTATTAGCAAAAAACATAGTAAAAGAAATGTTTTTGTTGTCCAGTAAGACATTATTAATTGTTTTGAAATCATAGCACTGCAAAAAATGCCTTTCTTATCTTCTTGATTTAAGAATTTTTAGATATTTGGACTAGAAACAAGACAAAAAATCTAAATAAGAAATTTTTTTTTTTTTTTTTTTTTTTTTGCAGTGAGGATGAGCTACAATTCATTATTTCATAATAATGATAATGCATTTTATTTAAAGGCGCATTTCCTGACACTCAAGGTCACCGTACAGGACAGTCAGTTCAAATAAAATCAAAATAAAAGTCAATACAATACAATACAATTTTAAAAAAAAAGTGCAATTGAGTTAAAGAGAGTATGCTGTTTAAACAGATGTGTTTTGAGTTTGGATTTAAATTGTAAAAGAGAGTTTAGATTACGGAGATCAGGAGGACGTGAATTCCAAAGCTGAGGAGCAGAGTGGCTGAAAGCTCTGCTCCCCATGGTGACAAGGCGGACAGAGGGAAAAGTGAGGTGAATAGAAGAAGAAGACTTGAGTGTTCGAGAAGGTGTGGCGATATGAACAAGAATAGCAAAGTATGGAGGAGTCAAATTGTGGATGGCTTAAAAAGTGAGAAGAAGTATTTTATAATTAATTCTGAAGAAGATGGGAAGCCAGTGAAGCTGTTGTAGAAAGGGTGTGATGTGACAGATAGAGGGAGTTTTTGTGATAATACGAGCTGCAGCGTTCTGTACCAGTTGTAATTTATGAAGGGTTTTAATAGGGAGGTCAAACAGAAGGATATTACAGTAGTCTAAACGGGATGTGACTAAACTATGAAAAAGGTTGGCGGTTGAATGAGGTTTGAGGGAAGGACATAAATGATTTATATTTCGGGAGGTGGAAATAAGTGAACCGGGTGACACTATTAACATGTGCAGTGAATGAAAGAGTGCTGTTGAAGATGATCACCAGACTCTTAATGAGAAAATCATCTGTGGGACTAGAAAAGCTAAGGGATTTTGTTTAAAGTGGATTGTGTACCTATGAGAAGAAGTTCGATTGTATTATCATTTAATTTCAGAAAGTGAGGTGAACCAGGATTTGATATCTGAAAAGCAGTTAGTAAGGGATGAAGGTGTAAGTTTGAGGTTGGGTTTAGTTGATAGGTTGAGCTGGGTATCATCTGCATAGCAATGAAAATGGATTTGGTGTTTTGGTGGTGATTTGGAGGAAAATATAACCTAGTAGGTAGATGATAAATAGCAGGGGACCCAGAACTGAACCCTGGGGCACACAGGTAGTGATAACAAGGTGAAAGACTTTAATTGAATGAACCGAGTGCAACCTGAGAGGTATGAATGAAACCAGCTAAGAGGTGGGTTACCAATAGACATTATATTTATATGAAAAATAAAATGGTAAACCATTTTAATCTTAGAGAACCAAACAATGAATCACGTTTGATTTAATATAGCAATAATCCTAGTTTCATTAATATGAATATGTTTGAAAAATTGCAATATCATAAATATTCATATTTATAATTCTACAACAAATATGAATTAAATGAAATAACAAATAAATAGTCATGTAAATTGATTTGTACACTGACTGTGCAACCATAAAGCAAAACTGACAAAGCATATGGCAACATAGCCTGATTAACGTATGTGCCCAGTTACCTTGAGTCCAGGAGGTGATGAGGACTGTACTGAGAACTATGAGAAACAGAAAAAATACATTGGCTGCCATGTGTACACACAAGATTAATACACAATACATTGAGAATCGTCACCATCTCAATCATGCCATCATGGCAATTATTAAATATTTGTAAATGTTTCTTACATAAGTCTATAGGGAAATTTGCATTTAGAATTCAAGCCTCTTTGTACACATATTTAAATGAGGGCATCCATTTTACAGAGCAGCATCAACAATGTTGTCTTTGCATATTGCACTCCTCAGGGGTGCTAAATTAATTAACATAATAATCATATTTAAATACAGCTTCACTTACCCGTTGCCTGTAAGTAAATCCTGACTGAGCAGATCTTTTCCCGGATCAGCTTTCCTAGGACTTCTGAAAAAAAAAATACAATATTAACCTCTCTCTCCTATTTATTTATTTATTCATTCATTTTCTTTTTGGCTTAGTCCCTTTGGGGTTGCCACAACGGAATGAACCGCCAACTTATCCAGCATATGTTTTACGCAGCGGATGCTCTTCCAGCCGCAACCCATCACTGGGAAACTTCCATACACACTCATTCACTCACACACATTTACCACTACGGTCAATTTTAGTATACCCAATTCACCTGTACCAAATGTCTTTGGACTTGTGGGGGAAACCGGAGCACCTGGAGGAAACCCACGGGAACACGGGGAGAACATGCAAACTCCACACAGAATTGCAAACCAGCGACCTTCTTGCTGTAAGGTGAACGGGCTACCCACTGCGCCATCGCGTTGCCCTTATTTATTAATTTATGTAATAAACTTTTTTATGGTCAACAATTATCTGCTAGAGTGCTCAAATTCTAGAATGATTACAAAATATCAGGTTTCTACAATCTAAAGGTCTGTTATTACTACATAGTTTAATACATTTTTGTGTATTACACTATGTAGTGTATTATTTTGTAAAACTTCACACTGTCCACACCCTGTTTTTTTTTTTTTTTTTGTATTTTGTTTTGTTTTTTCATACTGTTTACATTGGACAGTACACATTTTTTATTTTGAAAACTTCGTGAAATCCAATACTATGCAAAAAATACAGAAAAAAATGTGGTTTAAAATGACTAGAAAACAAAAATGTTGTTAAATGTATTTCTTACAAGCAACTAATATAGAACGATAAATTTGAAAACAAAATTTATTTATTTACTTAATTTATTTGAGGTTCTCAACTTGAAAACTTACATAAAACTGGGTTTTAAATGGAGGTTGTGTTATTTATAAATGACTCTAAATGATGAGGAAAAAGTAATTTGGCTAATATAATAAAGTTTGTTGTCTGAATTTTGTTAGTTGTTGTCCTAACTTGAATATACTGATGCAAACTTTTATGTTATTTTTTTGTTTGTTTGCTTGTTCTAAACAATGTTTAGAGTGTATTTTATAAAAATGATATTGCTACATAATATAGTCATGTTCAACCATGTCACAGTAAATCTGCTGTTCATATATTTTTGATTTGAAGAGATAACGATTCTACAAAATGAAATATTGATGCTGATTATAAACAGAGTATGTATATAGTATAAAAAGGTGAGATTAGTTGACTTCATTTAAAAGAATTGATTAATCCTGTTGCTTTTAAAGAGATTTGTTGAATTTACTTAGTCTGTTAACCCACTGCCTTTAATTATTAAGTAAATGAACTAAGAATACAAACATATTTGTTGTACATAATTACAAAAATTATGTCAACTTAACAGTTCCAAAATAAATTTTATTTAAAGTAATGTCAACTTGTTAGGTGTAAAGGAACACTCCACTTTTTTCGGAAATATAGGGTCATTTTATAGGTCACTGAGAGTTAAACATTAGGGTTTTACCTTTTTTTAATCCATTCATCTCTGAGTATGGTGGGAGCACTTTTAGCTTAGCTTAGCTAAGTTAGTTTAGCTGCAGATGGTACAGCAGTAAAAGTCCTTGCTTATTACACCAGAATTGAAGTATAGTTCCTAGCCATATTTACATACAAAATATAGCAAGTATTAATTTTCTGTTGGTCTTAGTACAAGATGTAACTACCGTTTTTAGCATGAAACTTTAAATAGGAAAAGAAAAACTTGATTTTTTTCGAGCGAGATGTTAATGCTAACACATGGGGGGTTTGGGTGGTGTGAAAGACCCACCCCTCACTGACAAAGGTCCAGAATTTGTCCCATACATAAGCTGACTTCAGCTAATCAGGTTTGGCAATGCTAACAAAAATTTTCATTTTACAAGTTGATGCAAGTGAAGTCATCCTTCGCTACTGTATTGTTTTTAAACAAAGAAAACATTTTACTAGTAACTTTTCAAATCTTGGACTTATTCTTGAAAAAAAAAAAAGCGAACCATATTAAAATTAATTTGAATACTATTTTGACTATCCTTATCCATGAATTTACAAATGTACTTTTTTTACAAGAGAGGCAAGAAAAATCATGAAGCTCTATATTATTATTTTAATTATTATTATTGTTGTTATTTATTAATATTATTATTGTGTTTTCATAATTTTTTTATTCAAATGGCCAAATTGGGAGGAAAGTTGAATGTGCTGGCCAGTTTGTTATTTGCCTTTTAAATGAAAATAGGTTACACTTCTTAATTTAAAACTTTAACAGATTTATTTTTTTTCCTAATGATATATGACGCAATTCAATTTTATTTTAAAAATAAGTAGCTATTTGTCACATTTCTTTATTCTAAATCTTTAGGAAATATTTTTGGTAATCCAGCTAAAAATAGTGCTTGAAATGTCACTAAAATGCAGTATGATAATTAAATGGAAATTGAGGTGTATAACTGCGAAAAGGTCCAATTTTTGAGAAAAAAAGCCACCCCTTTCACCAGGCTGGCTACAGGCCTGTAATGGGCTAATCCGATTCAATAATTTATGCTAAACTAAGCTAAGCTATGTGCTCCTGTTAGACCTGGATATTGGCTGAATGAATTCCAAAATGGTGAATCTTATCTCTAAGTGACATCTAAATAAATAAATAGAGTAGCAAAATTGCACTTTACACTATATTTATATCTCTAATATTAAAGGCAGTAAGTGCGTTAAGTCAACATGACAGTGAGGTCATTCTTTGCTCTGAACCCATTAATAGTGGGATGCTTGAAACCCCTTTATATGTGAATGCCACTGAGATTAATGAGCATCATATTTACATGACAGGGCCACAATGTATTAATCAGATTGTCTTGTATACCTGGCAGGCTCAGTGTCGAAGGATATCAGGGTGTCAGACAGGGCAATCAGGCTTTCGGCACTGCAAATGACAAAAAAAACAAACAAACAAAAAAAGCATGATCAGAATGTAGCTCTAGATGTTTTTATCTAAAGAAACGTACATTCAACCTGATAAGGAATGAGTTCAATTTTATTCAATATGAACATTAATAGAGCAAACCTTTTGTCTGGAACTGGTTCAGGTTTGGGCTCTGGTTTGAGCTGAGTTCCAGATTTAGGTTCAGGAGTTGTTTTGGTCTCAGTCACTGGTTTAGGTTCAGATGTGGGTTTAGGATCAGTTGATGTTTTAATTTCAACTGCGGGCTTAGCTTCAGCTGTTTTGGGTTTAGTTTCAACTGCCTGAGGTGCTGTTTTAATTTCCACTGGTTTAGGATCACTTGCTGTTGGAATTTTTATTGTAGTTTTAATTTCTTCCACTAATTTAGAGTCAGTTGCTGTTTTAGTTTGTGTTGTAGGCTTAGTTTCAGTTGCAGATTTAGGTTCAGCTGTTGTTGTAGGCTTAGTTTCAACTGTTTTAGGCTCTGGTGTGGGTTTAGGATCACTTTCTGTGCTCATTTTTATCGTAGTTTTAATTTCTTCCAATAGTTTAGACTCAGTTGCGGTTTTAGCTTGTGCTGTAGGTTTAGGTTCAGTTGTGGATTTTGATTCAGTTGTTGTTGAAGGCTTGGTTTCAACTGGCTTAGGTTCTGATGTGGGTTTCGAATCACTTTCTGTGCTCAATTTTATTGTAGTTTTAATTTCTTCAAGTAGTTTAGACTCAGTTGCTGTTTTAGTTTGTGCCGTAGGTTTAGTTTCAGTGGAGGATTTAGGGTCAGCTGTTGTTGTTGGTTTGATTTCAACTGGTTTAGGTTCTGATGTGGATTTAGCATCACTTGCTGTTGTTGTTTTTATTGAAGCTTTAATTTCTTCCATTAGTTTAGACTCTGCTGCTGTTTTAGCTTGTGCCGTAGGTTTAGGTTCAGCTGTTGTTGCAGGTTTGGTTTCAACTGCTTTAGGTTCTGATGTTGGTTTAGGGTCACTTGCTGTAACTATTGTAGTTTTAGTTTCCTCCACAAGTTTGGAGTCAGTTGCTGTTTTAGTTTGTGTTGTAGGTTTAACTTCAGTTGTCTCTGTAGGCTTTGTTACAACCACTGTAGGTATCAGTGTTGGTTTGGAATCACTTGCTTCTCGAGTTTTCATTATAGGTTTAATTTCAGTTGTTTTTGTTACTTGTGTGGTGGGTTTAGTTTCAACAACTGTCTTAGTTTCTGATGTAAGTTTAGGTTCAGTTGCTGTTGTAGTTTGTGTTGTAGGTTTGGTTTCAGTTGCTGATTTAGGTTCTGATGCTGCTGTAATCTGTATAGTAGGTTTAGTTTCAGCAAGTGGTTTAGGCTGAGATGTGGATTTAGTTTCAGTTACCGTTGTAGTTTGTGTAGTAAGTTTAGTTTCAGGAACTAGTTTAGGATCAGATGCTGATATAAGCTGTATGGTAGGTTTAGTTTCAGTCTGTGGTTTAGGCTGAGATGTGGATTTAGGTTCAGTTACTGTAGTAGTTTGTGTTGTAGGTTTGGTTTCAGGTGCTTTTTTAGGATCAGATGCTGCTGCAAGCTGTGTGGCAGGTTTAGTTTCAGCCAGTGGTTTAGGTTCAGTTACTGTTGTGATTTGTGTAGTAGGCTTGTTTTCAGGTGCTAGTTTAGGATCTGATGCTGCTGCAAGCTGTGTGGCAGGTTTAGTTTCAGCCAGTGGTTTAGGTTCAGTTACTGTTGTGATTTGTGTAGTAGGCTTGTTTTCAGGTGCTAGTTTAGGATCTGATGCTGCTGCAAGCTGTGTGGCAGGTTTAGTTTCAGCCAGTGGTTTAGGTTCAGTTACTGTTGTGATTTGTGTAGTAGGCTTGTTTTCAGGTGCTAGTTTGGGATCCGATGTTGCTGCAAGCTGTGTAGTAGGTTTAGTTTCAGCCAGTGGTTTAGGTTCAGTTACTGTTGGTGCTGATTTTGAATCTGGTGTTTTTGTAGTTTCAGATGCTGGTTTAGGTTGTGATGCAGATTTGGCTTCAGGTGCAGTTTTAGGCTGTGTTGAGTTTTCTACTGCTGGTTTAGAATCTGTTGTGGGTTTAGTTTCAGTTGTTTTAGATTCTGTGCTAATTGCAGGCTTTGTTTCAGGTGCTGCTGGGTTGACCTCCTTCACCACTGGTTTCTTCACAGGGGATTCTTCATTACTTGATTTCACACTGCAAATAGAGTAAAACTCTATATGTAAGAGAGTTGATAAAATAAAGCATGATGAATTATTGACAGAAGTTGTGTATTTTACCTTTGCTGTGGCACAGATTTTACAGTTGCTGGAGTGTCATCATCATCACTGATAACTACCCTACAAAAGCATATAAAGTATATGGTAAAGTAGGAGAACCAAACTTAATTTAAGCATGTACAAAATGATTAATCTTTTTCTGTTCCATATAATTAATGTATTCACTTCTTATGTTTTAATCTACTTAATTTAGTACCAGTTAACCCAAATATTACTTAGGTACCTTTTGGCAACAAAGGAAGCACTAATGTCATCAGAGTTGTTGGGTTTGTCTGTAGATCTGAAAACATTTCACAGTGTAAACATTTACCATTTTACATGTCAAAAATCATGACATGCCCATGGTACCCTTCTAAATGCACAGCTTTATATTAGAAATTTCAAAACCATATTAACGTTAATCCTATTAACATAAGATACTTACTCATATTTCTTCGTAGCAGACATTACGTATGAACGTCGATTTCCTGACGAACCTCTAAGCACACTGGAGGCTGCCTCCATCCTACAAGCAAAGGAGACATATTTTAATGAATATGAACATGATATAATAAAATTAATAGATAAAAAAGGTAGTGATGTGTGGTCTTTCACCTCTTATCCATTTCCTCTGTACTCAAAGTTGGTTCAGACTGCACTGTTTTTCCATTACTGGACCTAATTGTGTGAGGTGCTCTGGAAGAATACAAAATATGGAAATAAACATAATTGAATTATATTAGTGTTAGAATATGTTCAAACACGTTGTTTTTGGCTTACTTACATTTTCTTGTAACTTTCTGATGGTTTTTTTGCCAAGTTATTTACTCCACTAAAAGAAGAGAAACACAAATCATACTTTACTTTACTTACAGTATACACTTTATATTCGCAGCTCAGTACATGAAATACATGCATGTTGATCTTACAGAATTGAATTAAGTGATAAAAGTCAATAGAATTAGCTTACACAAATCCATTGCTAAATGACGTCGATGGTGGTTTGGAATCAGTTTTTGTGTACACCCCTCTGCAAAAGTCAATTATTATATATAAGGAATTTCGATAGATAAGTAGTGTTAACAAAAACAATGTCAACTGACCAAGTAGTCTTATTACCTGATTATGTATCCAGATGTGTTTGTTTTTGATCTGTAAAAATAAAAACAGTGTTTACATTTTAAAAAGACAGCATTTCACAGATCTCATTTATATATTACAAATGTATTTACTCCATACACACATTTTCTACAAGCCAATCTACATGTTAAAAAGCACACTAATACATCATTTTAGATTTTTATGCATCTATTGAAAGAAAATCTTATACCTGAAATCACACATTGAACAGTAACCTTGCCAAACGTTGGAGTTTGTGAAAGTCAACTCACAACAATTTATGCTTATTATGAAGTAATTAACTGCAAAGCTCTTGACACGGTATCCTGCACTTCACATTATTTATAACAGAACTGATACATGCATTGTGTACCCCAGGGTTTGGTTATTGGCCCCTACCACTATTTTGAAATACACAAGACTGTAAATACTACAATACACTGTTTTTCCAGTACTATGCCAATAAAAAGGAGTTCTATTGTTTATTCCAACTTGATAATCGTACAGTGGCAGCAAAGATCTAGGGCTCTATCATACACCCGACGCAATTTGGCGCAAGGTGCGATGCAATTGTTGTTTGCTAGTTTCAGCTTGGCGCAAGAGTCGTTTTGACGTTTAATGCTACGCTGATTAAATAGCAAATGCATTTGCGCTCATATGTGCGCCCATAGGCGTTCTGGTCTAAAAAGGAAGGCGTGTTGAGGCAAATTGCTGGTGCATTGTTATTTTGAGAAACTATAATGGTTTATGTTCTATAGACCAGAACAAAGCCGGTCTAAAGTCCAGCTCAGTTAGTTAGTTGTGCGCCTTACTTACATACTGCTTAATACACACAAGATGTAGAGCAATACCCAAATATCTCTACATATGAAAAAGAATAAAAATATTAAGGATATATATAGGATATAATAAGGATACATAGGATATAAATGTAAAGGATTGAAATATTACAAAACATATTATTTTCTAGCCTACATAAATATACAAACCATACTTTCATGCCTTCTTCATCTCTGAGGCTTTTTCAGTTTATTCGTGACAATTTGCTTTTGTATAATGTTATTATTATTAGCAGTATTATTTATTATATCCATTATAAATTTATATTTGTTTTATTAAAAACAAGCTTAGATTTGCCCACCTGGCAGGTTTTAGACCATATGGTGCATAGCATGTGTATTTGGATATAACTCGTTATATCGTTATACTCGTTATATAACTGGTTATTATTGCTCATTTATTCGTTTGCTGGAAATTATAACTGAATTTAGAAATAGTTTTAAACAAATCTTTGCGCTTAACAAACAAAATTAATTATTTATAGGCTAATTGATGTCTGTGCATACAAGGTTTCCCTATCCACGAGAGTGAAAGTAGGCCTAAATAATGAGGAGGCTTATCTCTCATTCTTAAGATGAAGATGCTCTGTTTAACTGTTTTCTTGATAGAAAAACGCTGTTTTTCCACTTACGAAGTCCGTCATTTAAATAGCAAGTTTGCTATGGCGCGATGCAAAGGGAATGGGAGATGAGATCCATAACTTATTAAGAAAATAAGCTCAACACTTTTAGACCATGCGCCACGGCGCAAAGCGGATTTTTCCGTCCTTATATTAGCAAAAGTGGATTCTGACACGCCCTGAATGCGTTTGCGCCCTGCGCTTTTCACTTTGCGCATGGATTGTCAAAAAAGAGCCCCTTGATTTTTCTGGTGGTCATCTCAGTTAAAAACCTAGTGGAGTCAAAGCTTATCATCTTCTGATGAAGTTCAGAGCACACAAACATTTAGTTAACACATCCAGATCTATCAAAAATTTGGGTGTAGTGTTCGACTGGCAGCTCAACTCCACAGACAACATCCCAAAAGACAAGTCGTGCAGCTTTTTTTTCTCTTATTCCATTCTTCTGTAACTATAAACTGATAACATTGCTGTGCCAGCATAAACACCTTAAATAAACCCCAAAGAAGACTACACTTTCTCATTTAAACATTTGTAGCTCTGACCTGCTCATTGAATAAATACAAATATGGATGTTGTACAGGGGTATAGATCATACTTCTCTGTGTCAGTTTTGGGCTGAGGCGATTTGGTCGTGGGTGATGAAACAGGACTTGTTTCTTCGAAAACACTACTAGAGCGGTTTGCTCGCACCTCAGCAAGCCTACAAAGAAGAAAACGTTACAAATATTGGTAAGGCGTTACCATGTTTTCCCATTTGATTACATAGATTAATTAATGTCCTTGTAAATAGTACAGCAACTCCTCACCATGGTTTCTCCACGTCAGTATTTTCTGGCTCTTGTCTCTGTATCCAGCTGCCATCTCCTTTCAGAGCAGTGCGGACTTTAGTGGTTTGGAAAACCGACTGTCTGTCTCCCTCTGCAAACAAAGCAGTTTATCAATGCATAAAGACATCTTTTAATAGCACAAGACTATTATTTTAATTCATTCAGTGTCAGGATGACTACTCTAAATGTTCAAACGAAAAGGTACAAATGAATGTTAGTGAGTGTGTTAAGCAATGTGTGACATGCTGCATGACAGGATTTGATGCTGACGCAGGCTATCATTATTCAGGTTGTAAGAGTGGAATGCCATAAATTAATAGCAGTGACTTGTGAAGTTTGACTTGTTTCATAAGAGTTTCAGTAGCGAATCAAAACACTGGTATTTGAAACTTCATTGGTACTTACGTTTGGACATTGCTAATGGAACTCAGGTCAAGGCTTCTAAATAAAAAATAAAAAAGACAGTCATTAAACATACATTTTTAAAAATGTAATGATATTTATTATCCATTTAGGCCCACATATGGTAAAAACTTCAGTCAAATTGACTACATTAACAGTATAACTAAGGCAGACTATATTTACATATTATATACAAATATACGCACAGTTGATTATTAGCCTCCCTTTGAATATTTTTTCTTTTTTCAATATTTCTCAAATGATGTTTAACAGATCAAGGAAATTTTCACAGTATGTCTGATTTCACAGTATTTTCTTCTGGAGAAAGTCCTATTTGTTTCAGTTTGGCTAGGATAAAAACAGTTTTTGATTTTTTAAAAGCCATTTTAAGATATTTTTTTTTTCGATAGTCTACAGAACAAGACATCATCATACAAAACCTTGCCTAATTACCCTAACCTGCCTAGTTGACCTAATTAACCTAGTTAGGCCTTTAAATGTCACATTAACCTGAATAGAAGTGTCTTGAAAAATATCTAGTAATATATTATTCACTGTCTTCATGGCAAAGACAAAATAAATCTGTTATTAGAAATGAGTTATTAAAACTGTAATGTTTGAAAATGTATTGAAAAAAAACTTCTCTCCGTTAAACAGAAATTCAACTTCAACTGTATATGTATGTATTTACTTTTTCAGCAAATCAGCATTTTGAAATGATGTCTAAAAGATTGCTTGATACTGAAGACTGGGTTCATAGATGTTTATTCAATAGAACATTTGGCTGAGAGGAATTGATTTCATTTTAAAATGTATTTGGTCACACTTTATTTTAATGGTCCGTTAGTTGAATTTAAGTTACATTGCATCTACATGCCAACTAGTTCTCATTAGATTATAAGTAGACTGTTAGGTTGGGGTAAGTGTAAGTTTAAATTAACTTGCAAAGTTTCTCATAGTCAGTTAAATGTCTGTTGAAGGAGCAGTATCAACAGATATTAAGCAGACAGTCAACTAATACTCAATTGGACCATCGAAATAAAGTGTTACTGTAATTTTTTTAATAGAAAACAGGTATTTTAAACCTATATATATATATATATATATATATATATATATATATATAGATGAAAAGCTGTGATATTATTAAAAACATTCAAATTAAGTATGCAGAATTACGTGCCTGAAATGATCAATTGCAGGCACACAATTTATCCAAAAGCAGGTCATGAATTGTCCATTCAAATTAAAATGTCACACAAAAATGTTGCACTTCAAGAGATTGCCACACACTTCTTCAGGAAATTCTCTATGAAACTATTCATTTCAACATCACAATCGTGAATGGCACACTCATATAGTTTCAGTAACACTACTTAAATTACTTGTTTGATTCCTACATAGGCCACAAATTATTCTTTTTGGAGCTTATGTTATAGTAATCCAGCAACCAAAATTCCTAAGTAAATTTTTTTAATCACTTACACTGTAAAAAAAAAAAAAAATGAAATGCTAAGTTCCACACAACTGATTTGTGTTGGGACAACATAAAGGAATTAAGTTAGACTCAGACTCATCTTTATTATCCTGTTTAGGGAAACTAAAATTGCAGCAAGGTGCCGTAACACAGGCAAAGTTCCATTTACACATTAACAAAATAAAATATTACCACACAACATACAATACATAATTTTGTTGGTCCATCTCCCATTATAAAATAATTTCTAATTCTATTTGTCCTGCAAATTTAAGTTGATTGAACATTAAACAATTAAGTAGTCCCCCAAAAACACTCAAGAATTGTGATGTTTATGTTCATTTTAAATAAGTAGTCTGAACAAACAACAAACCACATTTTCTGAGTGTAGAAGAGCCTGTCCATCCTGCCAAAACACATACCCACAATATATAGTATGCACAAACTGAACAAATGACTGTTCTGAACATTTTGCTTGAAAACGTAATCCTGAACATGATCCTACCAAGTTTGATGACACTGGGAATGGCATTACCACCCATCATTTCTGTAATTGGTTGCTTAACATCCTTGTGTGTATTTGTTTTGTAACACTTTGTCACACTAATACTTTGACTCAACAGTCTACTTTCTCATGACCAACGCCATATGACGGGTGTCCACACTCGGTCCTAGAGGGCTGATGTCCTGGAGAGTTTAGCTCCAAATCTAATCAAACACACCTGAACTAGCTAATCAAGCTCTTATAAGATATACTAAAAACTTCCTGGCAGGTGTGTTGAAGCAAGTTGGAGCTAAACTCAGCAGGACATCAGCCCACCAGGACCGATTTTGGACACCTCCGCCATAAGAGAACCTTTGATTTATAACAAAATTCTAAATCTATCTCACCTGAGTGAATTTGACCGTTCTCGATTTTTCCAAAACAAACTCAATTAAAAATAAAGACATTACTATTATTAAAAGCTAAAACAAAGTCCAAACCAAAACAAAAGTCTCTCCTATAGCTCCCAATGCACAACAGCGACACAAAATGACCTTCGTGAGTCAACACAGCTTAAACACAAGAGGAAGCATGTTTGTATAGTGACAGTGACAGTCAGTCAAAGCCAAATCAACACTATCAACACAACGACACTTTCACTTGTACTATAGAAGATGAAACAAGCAGATATACAGTATAACTAGAATAAAATGGTAACCTCAAGTTTAATTAGCCAATAATTAGTCAGCAAACAGTCCTAGAAAATAAAATGTTAAGTTTTATCAGATGACCCACCTGATTAATATGATTCTATAGCTGCAGTTCGGTAACAGATGCACTGATCAGTGTAAGTGATTTAAGCTGACTGATTGAGCTGTGAGTTGAGCACACATTAAGGGGAGGAGTTCGCACTCTCCTCCAGCAAGCAGGTACGGGTGTGGGCACGAGACCTGCCCAGCCAGTTGGGTAGGCCTGGCCAACCAAACCTATAGGTGTGTACCTGCTTGTGTGTGTCTGTGTACTTCGTGTTTTGGTTGCAATTGGAGTTTTGATACTCTCTCTCACCTTTTTTTGCTGAATTATGTTGCAGTACATCCCAAACCGAGACATATCTGCAGCAAACAATTGCTGGAAGTGATGTCACTGGTTGAATCTCCTGTACAAAACAGAAAGATAGTTTGTAATCAAGCTAAAACAGCAGGGTAAAGATGAATTCCAATTCAAATTTAAAATTAGTTTGAATAATAATTTGACTATAGTTATTATTTTGGTCACTTTATTTTGATGGTCCATTTGTTAAATTAAGTTATATTGCATCTACATGTCAACTGATTCTCATTAGATTATAAGCAGACTGTTAGGTTGGGGTCAGGGTTAGTGTAAGTGACATAAACTTGCAAGGTTTCTTGTATACAGTTAAATGTCTGTTGAAGGAGCAGTATCAACAGATATTAAGCAGACAGTCTACTAACACTCAAGTAGACCATCAAAATAAAGTGTTACCTCTATTTTTAACTACACCTTTTGATTTATTAACCCTGTTTTACATCATATTTTGGTTAATGTTGATGTTCTATTCGAAAATAAATTTTTATAGTTTGATTGGTAGTTTTTATTAGTCTTTAAGGTTGATGGAATTAATGATATGCATAATGTCATTAGTTTTGGATGGAGAAAACAAATGGTTTATCTGATATTAATATTAAGTTGATACGTTTTCCTTTATTTGAAATTCAGAAATTCATCATAAAATGTGTTCAGGTCTTTGCTTGAGATAACAAATTAATTGAGCAAATTCTGTTTTACATCATTAAAAACATACAGTGTTCAGCATATACAAGTACGCCCCTCACAAATCTATCTTTTAAAAGCATATGTTTAATAGGAAACTAAACAATATTTTTTGTGCATATACGTTAGATTAGTCAGTACTGAAGCCAAATCTGGAGCTTACTGTATCTAACAATAAACTTACGATAACGGTCCAAAAACTAGTACACCCAAATTTATGTTTTAGAAAAATATTCAATACAAATTTTAAAAAGAGGAAAACTCAAGAAGCAAAAAAAAAAAAGGAAAGGAAAAATTTAGTTGACATTTTTGTAGGTTGTAATTTTTTCAATATTTTGCTTAAATTTAATTGTATTATCTTTCAAATTATGTTTGGTGACTAAAATATTAATTTAATGAATAAATCTGTTAATAAATCACTTATCATTAGATTATCTCTATTAAATGTAAACAGCTAGAGCTTTCGAAAGCAACACCTGCCTACAAACTAAGCTCATTGAACTCATTGGAGGTGAACGGCTGAGTCAGTGTTTCTAAATAAAGATTATGAGACCAATCTAAAGCGCAGTGTTTTAAAACCAGTGGAGTGTGTATACCGTCTCCAGGAGACTCACTATCCCAATGACCAGCATTCTGCTGCCATCAGCCACATTCACACCCCTGTGTACATACGAAGCAGTTTCACTGAGGGTTACACCTAGGCTATGAGACAGGAACAGGTTTGACGACTGTGGGTCATGCTGATAGCGATTCATATCTTGAAGCTGGGAATGTGAGTAATCTGAACAACACCCCCACCTCCCATCCAACGCCTGCTGGAGGAATCACAAAAATGTATCTTTGGTAAAACATTACAGTCATTTGCTTTTTTATGCAGGATAAACCATATCATTCAAGGATACCGAGCAAGAAATAATTTCAAGCTGATTTTGTAGAGACTACAGAAGCTGTTAGAGGCGTGAATATTCAACCGATAATTACTATTATCCCTATTTTTGTGGATCATCAACTTTTTGTTTTTCTGATCGTCATCTTTTTTCCCACAATTAACAACAATAGTGTCGTCATTTTACATACAGTGTTTGTATTTACAAACCCAAAAGTCTGGTCCATATTAGCATAAAATGCAAATAAATATATCTGTTAATTGTCTCATATTTTTCATCCATCGACTTAAAAGTCTACCAAATTACCTGTTTAGTATAGCATGATCATAGCTAAACAAGTTATCCTTTGTTTCTGGAAGACAAAATGTCATGAAATGAAAAATGAAAGAATAAGATTCCACTTCTGGGAATTTGAAATTTGATCAAATGTGGGATCCAGTCCTTTTTTTCCCCCCAAAAACACCATAAAGACTAATAGTGTTGTTTAATTTCTGAAGATTTGTAAGTTGTTGTTTTTTTTCTTTTCTTCCTTTACATCTATTGCTGTGTCTCTTCGTTGGGCATATATGTCCTATTCATATTAATCGAAAATTCAAATCATCTATTCAACTTGAATTTAATAACTTTTGGTCAATATGGTCTGTAGATTATGAGAATAAATTAACAAATTAACATTTGTCAAACCGCCTGGGACAAGTTTGTTCAAATGGGTTTTAGACAAAATTCAAAATAGTAAAAAAAATAGTTGTGACGAAAAATGATGTCATAGGGTGCCTTTGAATAAGTTTGAGCCAAAGAATCAGTTGAGAATTCTGATTGTAGCCTATTCGGTTCAAAAGTTTTAAAGATAAACACAAGTGTGACTCTGAAGACTGGAGTAATGAAGCTGAAAATTCATCATTAAAATGACTGAAATAAATTATTTAGTTAAATTATAAACTACTTTTAGGTGCGACGCAAGAAGGTCCTGGTTCAAGCCTCGGCTGGGTCAGCTGGCGTTTCTGTGTGGAGTTTGCATGTTCTCCCTACGTTCGCGTGGGTTTCCTCCGGTTTCCCCCACAGTCCAAAGACATGTGGTACAGGTGAATTGGGTAAGCTAAATTGTGCTGCTGGAAGGGCATCCACTGCATAAAAATGTGCTGGATAAGTTTGCGGTTCATTCCACTGTGGCAACCCCAGATTAATAAAGGGAATAAAGCCGAAAAGAAAATAAATGAATGAATATGAATTATTTTATAGTGCAATAAGAGTTCACAATTATACAATTTGTTCTGTATTTTTGATTAAATAATTGCAGCCTTAGTAAGCAGGAGAAGCTTCTTTTAAAACATTTAAAAATCCTACTGACCCCAAACTTTTGACACATTGTGTGCATAGATCACTTAAAATATGGTATACCTCATTTATTCGCCATGTTTGCTGTACTCTATTTGTATTAAAAAGTTTATATTAAATTTGTTCTCCCAGCATCTCTAAACTCATTTTTAACCATCAACTAATTTTAACGTACTATCTATGCTGGAACAGAAACCTCTAAGGTTTTGTTAAAAGAAAAAAGTTGACATTTATGTTATGTTTTGAGGATAAACAAAGTCACATGAGTTCGGTTGATGAAGGTGAGTAAATGAAGACACCATGTTCATTCTTCTTTGAGAACTATTAGAGGAATTAAAAAAGGGAAGATTAAGTATCTATGAAGAAAAACATGACAGTCATTTGCTTGATTCAAAATTTATACTGCCAAGTTTCCAAAAAAGTGAATACATAATAACTGTTACATAAAGTACATGAATTCTTCTGGACCAAAGTCAGAAAAGACATTACTCTTCTGTATTAAACATCATTGTTCATGTACACATCCTGTTGAAACAGTACATTTACAATAGGAATCATTAAGTGCTTTGTTAGTATAGCCTAGTAAACCCTGTTGATCCAACAGATCCTTCCTAGGCTCGTCTTGCAGTTCAGAAGAAGCAATGTCAGTCAAGCTTCACTGTGAAGTCATTCTCCGTTCCGCAGATGTGGGTAGCTCTCCACAGTGCGCACTACTGCTTCCTGTAAAGGCACCAGGGGCCGGTAACCCATGTCCTGCTTGGCACGAGCGCAGCTGTAGTAATGATGAGTGCCAGCAAGAGCTACTCGCATGGGGCTGAAGGTGGGTTTGAACTGAATCAGCGGTCGCAGTATGAGGGAAATAAACCACAGCAGCAGAGCTATCCCATAGACCAGCGCATAGGGCAGGTGGTATCGTGGAGCGCTGTAGCCCAGGCCAACCAGAATCTGAGACATGAAATCCCAGAATCGCACCGGCTCGTCATTGGTTATGTGGTAAGCCTGTTAGGACAACAACAATGGAATGGAATGTGGTGCAGATTTTGTGCTTTTACAATAATTATTATAAATCAGAATAAATTTTGCACTTAAAAGACACAGTGTGTAATTTTCACCTCTAGAGGGCGCATATTCACAACAAATAAAGGTGTAGTTTGATGACACCGTGACTATCATGGGCAGGGCTCGAGAATAAGGACTGCCAAATGGCCCGGGGCCAGCATGCGAGGCGCTCAGGAAAGTAGACAGTATAGTTACTCGCCCAATTGGGCCAGTGCTGCCTTGTCACCAAAGTTTAATTTGGCTGTGAGTCTGCGACTGATTGTCAAATGTGTGCAAAGAGGGTGCTTTTCACACCTAGACTTTTGTTTTGGAACCTGTCTATGTCCAGTTTGTGCAGTTCATTTGGCTTATGTGAATCCCGCAATTGCGGTTGGATTGTAGCGAGAAAGCAATATGATCCAATGAACTAACGAACCAGGCTATATGACAGTGTATTATAGTTGCTATATCACATTGAATTATGATTGTGTAATAGCCATATGCGGCTATATGAAAAGAGAAATATGAGTATGGCGGGATGTCATCATATCAGTAAATGTGCATTTCATGTGGAATACAAAAAGTGATAGCATGCTGAAATATTACAGAGTGCCGTTTATCCGTTAGGTAAATTGACAGAAATTTCTATCTGATAACTAATAATATTTTGTATTAGGTCTGTTCTATCACCTCGAAAGATTTTTTTTCCAAATTAAATTACATCACAATTGTAATTTTAATGTAATTTTAAATTGTCGGTTTATGCTGAAGTTATGTTTTGCTTTTGAAACATTTAAAATATGTGGCTAAAAAAAAGCTATTAAGTTTGTCTTTTTTTTGGTGGGGCCAGTGAAAATTTTGGCAGAAATAAAAAGTAAAAATCTGATCCGATCATGCCAGTAGAAAAAAACCTTAGCGTTGAACACTGATGGCAGTTGTAGTCTTCATTACATCCTATGCAAATTCTACAGAAATCTTGTTCATGGCTGAAGTATTGAAAATTTTATATCAAGACAGTATGAAGTAAGGCTGATTTATACTTTCGCCTGGCTCTGCAGCGTGAGCATCTGTTGAGTGCGCAAGCACAGCCGTGAACTGTGAAGGTTTATATACTTGAAGCGCTTATCATTGTACTATTATTTCTAATAGGGGACAACTCAGAGTAACTGTCATGAAAAAACAGTAGGAAAGAAGTCAGCGAGTTGCTAAATGAATGAATTTTACTATAAACAGTATAAAATGAATAGCTACTGGATAATATTGAAGGACACTTTTTAGAATGTTTGCTTTCAATACGGTTGTTTAAATGTGTAACTTGGGCTAAAACAACCTGTGCACAATATGCATTGTTTTTCCTCAAAAGCTAACCTAAAGGACTTCACATCAGGTAGTTGTTTTGGATTTCTAAAGGTGTTGCATGTACAAATTCGTCAGATTCTGCTCCAAGTCTTTCATCATCGGATGCGGAGCCGTGAACAAATTTACAAAAGATGTGCAAATCATGTCACATGCACCCAAAGTATATATATATATATATATATACACACATACAGTCTTCAGACTGAAAGCCATCAAAGTGAAACGAGACCACTGAAGAAACTTCTGATAAAAGACGAGCGTTATGGGAGACAAAAGCTGTAGAGCTTTTATTATTCTACATTTGACCACTTTGGGTTCTTCTGCTCGTGATCACATGAGAAAGCAGCAGCATTGTTTTATCATACCAAAAACGTAAAACACAAAACATATTAAAACATCTTTGGAGTTTCTCGGTATCTAAACAACCTCACTAGAAATGGAAGGTGTATGATATCATTAGCGTGGCGACACAGCACACTGCCTGTGTTACTAAATAAAATAGCTTATTTGGTTAGAATTTAACATTTTTCAAACATTCGGGATAAAGTACATATCTCAGCAAAACATTTACTGTAACACTGTTCTAAAGGTTTTTTAATATTTAAATGAAAAAATAATTTATATATTGTGCGGAAGTTTGCTATAATATTTAGTGTCAAACAAGTGTGAAACAGTTAATGATTGTCTGAAGTGACTGGAATTTTGTGAATGGTTCAGTGGATCATAAATGATTTGCCACAAATTACTCAAGAGTTTACAAAAGAATATTACTACTGATTTGAAAAATACATCCTCATAAAACATGCAAGAGTGTGTGAGTGTTTCCCAGTGTTGATTTGTGGCTCGAAGGGCATCCACTGCATAAAGCATTTGCTGGATAAGTTGGCAGTTCATTCTGCTGTGGCAACCCCTGATATTAATAAAGGGACTAAGCCGAAAAGAAAATGAATGAATGAATGTTCAAGAAACTGTGCGCGAACAGTCTGTCACACCTAATTTTCCCACAGAGTAAATGGTGCTGTCACGGCTGCTGCCAAAGTTACAGTGTATGATGTCATGATCTATTAACCACTGCTTAAAGGTACAATATAGTTCACCCAAAAATGAAAATTCTGTCATCATTTACTCATGCTCCACATATTCCAAACCTGTTTAAGTTTCTTTCTTCTGTTGAACACAAAGGAAGATACAGTATACTGATGATTTTTGGAAAAAAGCACACATTGACTTCCATAGTATTTTTTTTTTTTTGCTCCTACTTGTGTATTTTTTCCAAAATATACTTCATGTTGTGTTCAACAGAAGAAAGATATTCATAAAAGTTCAGAACCAACAGAGTGTGTGTAAATCTTACTTTTTGGGTGAACTATCCCTTTAGTGGATATAGCTACTGGGCTTCTGTGGTTACTTGCACAGTTCTCAATTCTTTCCCATGGAATATTAGTTGTGAAAAAAGTTTATATGGGTACAACATTTATGATGATGTAGCATGCTACTATCAGTTATTTGGCCAGCTAAAACGGGTTACACTACAAGATTACAATCATGCATTCGTATTAGTTAGACAGTTTAATTGAAGAATTTGTGCCCAACTAATCCTATAAAATGTACAAACATTTAAAGACAGTCGGATGCTCTATAATTTTAAACATCACACTAAAAATACTTTCTATTACATAGAGCATTTTCTCATTACTCATTATGCCTTGATAATGGATAAGGACGTGTTAAGAATCTGAATCAAAGCTGCATTTCTTAAATGACTGACAACCCTGTGGGAGCCTTATTTTTATAAATGCATTTTCCTGGAAATGGAAGCGCTGATCATTTGCACTTAAAAATAAGAACACAAAAGCAGTCACTGCTGAAATACATTTTCAAAGGGTATGCTTTTATACTTGTTTAGGTACTAATTTGTGCACTTAGGCTACTAATATGCAGCTTTAAGGTACTAATATGAACCTTTTAGGCCCAAAGGTGCAGGTTTTTAAAGATTTCTTTAAAAGAAAGGGTCTGTACCTTTATTTATAAGAGTGTGGCTTGTTTATACAGTACACACACACAAACACGTGGAACTAGATTTATGAATGCCCTTCTAGAAACATCTATTACTCATTCAGTCTCTCACATTCTCTCACACACATTCCTTACCTGACCACAGAGTGGAGAATCAGCCTTAAGGTGTTCTGCTGCTAAAATATGTCCATGAACTACATTCTCCACGTAAGTGAAGTCCACAAGATTAGATCCATCTCTTAAAATAAAGAGCAAAGCAGCATCAGTATGTGATTCATTTAAAAATCAAACCATGTCCAAAAGTTTAAGATCTGAAATCGGAGACTAATAATCTACTTTAATAAAGTAAAAATATGCTAACTAAAATTAAATAAACAGATTTTTGCACTGAGTCAGTGGTTAAATGAAAATAACCATTTAAAAAAAATAGCTTGAGAACATGATCGTCAATATTTTTTTTCTCCTTTTGCTATATTTATTTTTTACTCTTTTTTTTTTTTTTTTTTTAACTCTTATTACTTTAAATTAAATAAATAAAAGTAAATCCTCCCTTTACTAAACAGGACAGTTTGCCAGCATCATTATTGATAGATTATTAATAATATGTTCTTAAAAACCTTTAGTGAGGTTAAAAAAATACATGAAGGCATGGTTTGAACACTTTTCTGGAATTATTACAAGCCATTAAAACACAAAACTTCACTGGGTAAGACATCAAAGTGAGTGCATGATTCACATTTTCCAAAACACTGCATACTGTACACTATAGTGTGGGCAGTATGTCAAAACCTTTCCATCATAGTAAGCAGACGTTCCACCTCTGCATCATAGTCACTGTCACATGACAAATAAGCCAGAGGGCATAGTTATGATTTTTTTTCTTCTTTTGAACCCTGCTCACACTATAGGAGTTTTAGGCCTGTAACTAATGATTTACCAATGCTGAATATCTCATTTAAGAATCTTGTTTGAAGAATTTTAGCCTGTATGTGACATTAAAACAAGCTGCTTTTTAAGAAGACTTCAAGGAGTTTACACTTAGCTGATGATTGATTATAAGGTGTGTTTGGCATGCTGTCCCCGGAGAGATCCCCGAGTTCATAAGATCCTTCAGCCCAGTGCTCACCCCTGTTTGCAGGGCAAGAGGGGAGCTTGAGCTCAGGTAGATCCTAAAACCTACACTGCTGTGTACAGCTAATGAGCAATTAGGGATTGTTGTAAAGAGACAACTACTTAATAGGAGCACATCTATAGTGTCGATTTGGTTTAGTCAATTAACTTAAGTTGCATGTTTTTGGAAGGTGGGAGAAAACCGTAAAACCCACACGAGCAAGGGGAGAACATGTAAACTGCACAGAAATGTCAACTGGCTTGGTAAGGACTAGAACCATTGACGTTCTTGATGTGGGGCAACAGTGCAAACCACTGCCACTAACGTGCCGCCCATCTAGGAAAGGAGGAGGAGGAAGGGAGGAAGGGGGGGATTCATCAAAACTAAGATGACAACGGTATGGAACTTAGGTTATTTATGGAGACAGGAATTGTCTGATTGGTGAATCGAGGCAGTGGCGCAGTAGGTAGTGCTGTCGCCTCACAGCAAGAAGGTCGCTGGGTCGCTGGTTCGAACCTCGGCTCAGTTGGCGTTTCTGTGTGGAGTTTGCATGTTCTCCCTGCCTTTGCGTGGGTTTCCTCCGGGTGCTCTGGTTTCCCCCACAGTCCAAAGACATGCGGTACGGAATTGGGTAGGCTAAATTGTCCGTAGTGTATGAGTGTGTGTGAAAATTGTTTTTCCTACTATGGAAGTCAGTGGTTACTTGTCTCCAGCTTTCTTCAAAATATCTTCTTATGTTCAACAGATGAAAGAAACTTGTTCAGGTTTGGAACCTCTTGGGGATGAGTATGTAAGTAGTGACTACATTTTCATTTTTGGGTGAATTATACATTTACTTATTTGAGCAAGCTGCTGCTCTTTGCTGCTAATGTTTAATTTGAAACCATATTTATATTTAATTATACAGCATGTGATTTTTACCAATTTGTTCAGTGTGACTTTTCATATCAAAACGTTTGCTGACAGTGAAGCAAACTTTCAAAGTGACAGACTGCCACCTAGTGGATTAAACTAGCAGTGGCATTTCAATGGGGCGATAGAAAGACCTTCAAGAAGCTTTCCGCAAAATGTCAGTCTTGCTCACCCGATGATGAACTTCATCTTTCCTCTGCGGGCTGTATCTACCAGAATGGGCACTAACTGAGGGTCACGAGGGCCAAAAATGCCATGAGGACGAATAGCGACAGTAAGGAAACCCTTCTCTTTACTGCATGCCTCTAGCACCAACTGAACGGACAGATAACAAATCAAAATGTTAAATATTAGCACATCAAACAAACACAAATTTATTAAAATCTCAAGTGAATCAAATCAGTGGAGATCTATGATTTAAGAACAACATTATAGATTATAGGGAACTGTAATGGTCATTCCTACCTTCTCCTGTTTGATTTTCGTTTCTGTATAGTAATCAATTGGCTTTTTTGCATAAGGCAAATCTTCTTTTCCATTCTTGATGTCAGTTCCTTCAAACACCACACTAGCACTGCTGGTCAATATTAATTTCTGTAAAAAAATAGAAATAAAAAATAAAAATAAATAAATAAAAACATGAATGTCAATAACATAATTTTTAAAAAAATGTAAATAAACACTGTCAACCTCAATAGAAAAAAATCACTGTTAATCCCATGGTGGACACAGACAAAGGTCTAAATGAATCAATGCAAAAGAAATGCATGGGCACACTTTGGAATGCTGCTGAGTCTTACATTGCAGGGCCATTAAAGTGTCCATTTTTTATGAAGAAAGGGAGTTATATACACCACCTGAATTCAGATTTTTGGAAAACTATGACTTTTTTTGTAATTCTGAAAATTGTCACTTAAGTTACCATAGGCTACATTTATTCATTTCATTTTAAAAATAGCACAAAATAAAGTAATTATTTTAAATAAGAACAGAATTCTGATTAAATGTGTAATTCTAATTTAGGTCTAATTTATTCCAATTATGGAAAAGCTAAATTTTCATTTATAACCAAACTACCCAACTAATTTAACAAATAGATAAATAAAAATTGTGTGAACAACACTGTAAAATCTTATTACAAAAATATATTTATCCACCCATCTATGAATATATTTTACCAATTATTTTTTCTTACAGTAAAATGAAGTTCAACTGTCAGCAGCCATTCCTTCAACCTCTTCAGTGCCACATCCTCTTTAAGAAATCTTCCTAATATGCTGATTTGGTGCTCAATAAACATTTGCTGCCTAATATCTTTAAAGACAACTGTACAAGATTTTAGGGCTGGGCGATTTGGCCTAAAATTAAAATTGAATTAATTTTATTTGAACATTCATTCATTCATTCTGCATTTATTTTCTTTAAGGCTTAGTCCCTTTATTAATCCGGGGTCGCCACAGCGGAATGAACCGCCAACTTATCCAGCACGTTTTTACGCAGCAGATGCCCTTCCAGCATCAACCCATCTTTGGAAAACATCCACAGACACATACATAAACACACACACTCATACACTACTTACAATTTAGCCTAACCAATTCACCTGTACCGTGGTGCAAAGTAACACAATAGTAACAAACAGAGCAGGGTCGTGAGACTCCACATGGTAAGGTAAGTTATTGAAAAAAATGGACTTGGAAAAATTTGATTGATTATTGGTTCTGAAGGTCAATTTCAATTAATCGCCCAGCCCTACAAGATTTGATGTTCAATAAAATTGTTTAAATTCTTTTTTTACATTGCAACTCTCTAAAGTGTTACTTTAACATACAATGATGTAAAGTTAGTTAAGTGCATGCATTTTTGACAGAAAAAAAAAACATTTCTTTCTTTAAAAAAATTACTATTTTACTGACCTTTTTTTTTCGTAACGTCACAGTTCAACATATACAAAACAAGCAAACTGTGCAATGGACAGTACTTGGTATTAATTCAAATAACACAAATTTATGAAGTGTAACATGCTCCTGGATCAACAGAAGTGTTTATGTTTAATTAGGCTTACCATCAAGATTTAGTGCTTCTACATTATTGTAATACACCTATTATTTATTTTTGACTGTAGGAATAACCTACGGCTAGGTTAGGTTTAGGGTTTAGGGCAGGGATGTCAAACTTAGATCCTTGAAGGCCGCAGCCCTGCAGTTTAGTTCCAACCCTGCTCCAACACACTCACCTGTAGGTTTCAAACAAGCCTGAAGAACTCAAGTACTTTGTAATTAAAAAGTAAAAGTACGTAGAGTTTAGGGTTGCACAATACTGGGGAAAACGAGCATTGCAATGTTTTATTTTTCTCCAATACATATTGGGGTACTGAGTGTTATTCACTAGATGAAATGAATTCCTCTATATGGAAAGAATAGATAATTTTAGATGATTTTGCAAGGGAGTGCATCGAAATAAAATATAATAAACCAACTACAAGCATCGATACACACAGTAGAGCAAATACACCAATGAAATAAACAGTATTTTATGGTTTTCTGGGAGTCTGCAAATAATCAAATGTAAAATAACACTGTATTGACCTTATTCTGCGATGCAGAAGTGTGTTTGTTTTTGTGATTGTATTAGAACTTCCTACTCATTTCTCCTATAGGCAAATGAATTGGAATAATAAATGGCAGAAAACAATCAAATACTCGCTCTACAAACAAGCTTGTTCCTGACTATACATAAAAAGAAGAATAATATATTAAGAAAATATTAATATTTAAAACTTAATATTAATTTAAGTTGTTTTTAACTTCTAAATATCAATGGAAGTGAATGAGACCGGAAGTCTCGAGCCAAAAAAATTTCCAATGGATGTGCCCGGTGAAGAATAAGGTCAAGTCTTCATCGTATACTTAATTACAATTAATATTGAAGTTATAATCATTATACATTTTTGCTTTAAACTGGTTTAGATTGCTCAAAGTCACATGTCTTAAAAACACATGCAAACTAATTTTATGTTTAATAACTTTATGGTTAACCTTTGCAATGACTTCACAGGTAATATACGTTTTCAACTGTGGCTCCAACTAAAATACAGACTTGAGGTCGCAGATTCTGTGATGTGACTACTGCAGACGCACACATTGCAATATCAATGCTGAAACAATATACAGTGCAGCCCTAATACAAGTTCCATTTGATGTGTCTGCCAACACATGATTTTGATATGTAATACATGCCTGTACTCCTGCCTCATGGCAAGCCTGTATGACAGTCCGTGTCCCATCAATATTGACCCTCTGAAAGAGAGCGCCATCATCGCTTCCTGGTGCAGGTGAGGCACAATGAAACACTATAGAGACTTCTTTCAAAGCCATCACCAATGCCTGAAAAGCAAAGCCAAATATCAGGACAACGAGGTAAAAACAGTATAACAGTGTCAGCTTGATTCTGCCAGATCAATCTGAAACAATTCACACCTGTTTGTCACAGAGGTCCCCTTGGTAAAACGTCACTCCTGGAAGTTCATAGGCTTGTCTGATATCAAACACATTCACAGTGTATCCTCGGTGTACTAAGCGCTCCACAAGATGCCTGCCTAAAAATCCAGATCCTCCAATGACAGTACATCGCTTGCTGCTCTGCAAAGGAAAAATGTTTTTATTGTTACTTTTAGTTTTTGTTTTATTTAGGAAGATGTATTGGCTTTTGACATAAGTGTAATACTAAATATGCAAACAAATGCATTTGTAAAAGTACAACACAATTCACTACTTATAGCAAAAACAAATAATGAACATGAAGGAACAATGTTTGAACAGTCTGCAATGATTTGATACTGTGATCACCAGGGGCGGATTTAACCAATAAGCGAGGTAAGCAGCCGCTTAGGGCCCAAGGAAATCTGGGGGCCCTCAATAAATATCAAGAGTAGTGCTTCCCAAATTTTTTGGTGTGTGCACCCCTTTCTAATATTTGACATCTGTCAAGGACCCCTTATTAAACTTCATATTTTTAACTACAATAACTAAATACACATATTTTCTGTGTATGTGATTAAAATAAAAATAATAAAATATGTGAATTTAATGGACGAGCTTTTATGAAGTTGACAATTTTCACAGCATCAAGTACAAACAAACGTTCATCTGGCATGTTTTTTAACAGACATATCTTGTAAGTGGCTGTGTCTTGTTTTATAAGTGCCAGACCATATATGAGGGTTTAAGACTGCTATTAGCTAAAACCTCACCATAGACTACACATTGCGGATTTGGATTTTCTGCATCTCCAATCCATGTAAACCCGAAACCAATGTAACTGTCGCTATATTTGCGTTTCTTACTTAACATTTTTTTCACATTCTAGTGTAGGCCTTATTCTCTTCATCAGTACATCTCTGCTGGATTTCTCTGCTCCCGCCTGCACCTCATTCGTTCATTATCCTCTGAGTCCATATATTTAAGGCAGCTGCACATCTCCATAGAAAAGGCCGATGGAGATGGTTCATCCCTACTGTCACTTGACTCTTTTAAAGTGTCAGTTTTTAACCAGGTTTAAACCGCGAGATGAGGGAGTATACATTGGTTTTAAATTACAATTTGTAATGTGATTTCTCTCTCTCAGTGAATTTCTTTTCTCTAAAAAATATGACACGTAAAGTTTACTGAAGATAAATGCATAAAAATAAGAAATGATTTTACGCCATTACAAACATTCTTTCGCGCACTCCTGGTGGTCAGACTACGCACCCCAGTTTGGGTGAGTTATAAATACCTATAAACTAAATACAACATTTTTATCTACCATATTTTTTATGGTGAGAGTTAAACAAATACAATTTAAAAGTAATTAAATATTATTCATTCATTTTCTGCTTAGACCCTTTATTATTCCGGGGTTGCCACAGCGGAATAAAACTTTCCAGCACATTTTTTAAGCAGCGGATGCCCTTCCAGCTGCAACCCATCTCTGGGAAACATCCATACACACTCATTCACACTCACTACGTACAATTTATCTTACCCAATTCACCTATATCACATGTCTTTGGACTGTGGGGGAAACCGAAGCACTTCGAGAAAACCTACGCGAACGCAGGGAGATCATGCACACAGAAACGCCAACTGACCCAGCCAAGGCTCAAACCAGTGACCTTCTTGCTGTGAGGCAACAACACTACCTACTGCGCCACTGTGTCGCCATCTAATTAAATATTATTTAGTATAAAATAAAATATAATTTTATTATAATGTATTGTCATGTAATACTAATAAGAATATTACCAAATAAAAAGATCCATCATGAAGCAGTCCAGCTGTCAAATTTATAATAAATATATATATATATATATATATATATATATATATATATATATATATATATATATATATAATTATTATTATTATTTTATTTTATTGTAGTTTAATTAATTTTAAGAAAATGGATCACTTAAAATGAAGAGATTGCATTCATTTAAGATGTCTAGAAAGATGATTGAATGAAATAAAAAATAGTAGAAAGTAGAAAGGATGCATTTCAGGGCTTTGCCCCAATGGCTGGAATTGCTTAGGGCCCCAAAATCACTAAATCCACCACTGGTGCTCACCATATAAATACATCATATGCAAAACTTAATTTACAGATGTATGCATTTTTTGTAAACTATATATCAGACCTTTTAAATCCATGTATTGCTCAAATGAACAATTTATACAGATTAAATGTTTTACTGTCATCAATGATCAATTTATAATGTATTTCTAAGTTAAAAGCCCCAATTTATTTAGTAATCGTTAATGCTTTCAAACATTATGTTGTCATAATATTCATATAAAAATGTATTGGTTTTGCAGCTGAAATCTTGCCACCATATTTTATTACACAACACTGTTCTAAGGTGCACCGTTGAAATATGATAGACATGCAAAAGTTAATGGTAAAAAGCGTAAATCAGGCGTAAAAGTACTCACTGGTCTGATACGAGTTGCCATGTGTGCTTCTTCCAGCTCCCGACAGCAAGTCTATAGATCAGTTAAGAACATTCATCTGTTTAATTTCCATTCTTCAAAAGCATTCGTGTTGACCTTTTACTACTGAACATTTACTACTATCTCCGGATAACTTACAGTCTTAATAAAAATGCTCAGAACCGTTAACACCTACTTTTAAGAGCTAATTTTGCTCCTGCTCAATATACGAGAAATTACTTTTTCTAATTTTTGTAAAAAGAATTTAAGCAACACTCACCTGAAAAACTTGGACAAGAGTTACAGCTTTATTGATACTGGGCGAAAGACGAATATCCTCATGGTCAGAGAGCGGAGAAACGTCTGATTGGCCGAGCAAACTCTCAGCAATCAATCTGACAAGCAAGTTTAACCAATAAAATGAAAGCTACGTCAAAGAGTGCCACCGCACGGTCCAATCAGCAAAAACAATTTTAATATAGTCAACCAACCCCATGACAGCTTCTTCAGCCCATAGACTGCTTCAGCCACATCCCTACAGGAGATTTTTTTGCAGTTTATATTAGTGGCATGGCATTTAATATATAAACACAGCTTCACTCCCCATAGGCATTATATCTGGAATAACCATGATATTTGTTATAAAAATAAATCTATATTTTTTCCTAATTGGTTCAAGAATAGTATATAATAGTTTCCCAACTTTTAAAAAATAATGATCATTTACTTTCTCATTCTGAGATCATAAGTAAATACTGTATTCCTATAACCCCACGAGAGTTTGCCATAGTCATGGACGCAATTCCCAGTGGAGCTACTCTGCCTTTAAAAACAATTCTCTTGATTCTGTTCTCCCCTTTTACTTCATTAATTAATGCTTGTCAAACAGTGATTGGAAAAATTTGTTTCACGCTGAACCCTTCTCTCAGAAATAGAAAGATTCAGCTTCTTTTTCAGAATGAAATAATCTCTATTTCCCATGTCATATTCACTGGAATATTCTATTTCATGATATTTCTTGGAAGACTGTTGTGGTCTTTACCCAACAAGTTTTAATTACAAATAAGGTAAAGAGGTTTCCTTCAAAATGCTACATCCAGTTTATCCAGTAAATGTTTATATAAAACATGCTTCCTAAGAAGGATGCCTTTTGTTCCTTTTGTGAAATAATAGATGAATCTGTCGATCATCTTTTTCAGGATTTGCCCATGTTTTGATTTTTTGGAATGATTTTGGTTTATTTATGTGTCTCTCTTTTAGATATTTTTTTTCTATGTCAAACAAGGATGTTTAATTTGGTACTTATCATGTTGATGAAGTAAAAAATTTATATTTTCTAATTAATTTATTTATTTTACTAGCAATTTTTTATAAATAAATTCAAATTTTTGTCTGTGAAGCCCATTCTTCTTATTTTTAGTAAAGTTTTGAAATATTATTTGAATACAATCTTTACCTCAAGCAATGTTAAAGTTTTAAAATCAATAACACTATGTGACCCCTGGCATAATGTTTTGTTTCTCTTTTTGTTTTGTTCAGTTGTCTATTTTTTGTTGTTATAGGATTTAAACCTTTTCTGTATATTTTTTTACACTTGTTGAACGTTCCAATAAAAAAGGTGTAAGATTCCAGATGTAATAGGAAGATAATAATTGTATTATAGTGAGTTAGTGTAATTTGCTTGTCAATTACATTATGAGTTAATAAAACAGAAATAATTATAAAGATTTAAACATTTTCATACACACAGACAAAATACAAAAAGCTTACTACTCAATTATGTTATAAGACGGAAATTAGAAGAGTGGTATTGTGCTATTCTAAATTCATAATCAGCTTTCTGTACACAGAAACAGAATTACCAGTAACCAATCAGAAGTCATGGTGATAAAACATTGATGTGGGGAACTTGAATGAGGTAAAAAAAAAAAAAAAATGTAATGCAATTACAACAGTTAGAAATGGAAACAGATAGACGTATAGTACACAATGCAAACAACAAGAGATATGGCACAATTTTAAAGAAATATAGTAATGTAAAAGCAAAAGAAAAATAATGAGAAAGAAAAAGAAACAATAAAAAATAATAGTAAATAAAAAAAAAATAAAAGAGGGCACATGAAAAAATAACACAAATTAATGCAGTATATTAAATAAAGCACGTTTTATAAGTTTTAATTGCTTTCTTGTTATAAGACTTTATAATGGTTTTCAAGTATATTTTCAGTTCTTGTTTAAAAAATACAAAATTTGCTTTACATTGAGTACATTTTTATTTATGTATAAAAAAAATTCCAATAAATAATATGAGGTTTATACAAAAGTTTTAATTAAGAAATTGTTTTTCTTTAATGTAAAACCCCAACATTATATGTCTACAGCTTAAAGAAAAAACACCAAAAACCTCTGGTGCGATTAGAAAATTTGCCTCAGACCAGAAAGATTTAACAAAGGGACATTCCCAAAACAAGTGAGCAACAGACTCAGAAGTCTCACAGAAAGAGCAAGAGACGTCAATGTCATTTTTGGATTTCTGTAAAAATTGTTACAATTATTACAAAAAACCTGGATAAAATCTGTGAATCATTTTAAAATATATTTCTTTCTTTTTATTTGTTAAAAACAATTTTGGGGAAGTGACCAAATAAACGACCGTTTATTACCATCAAAAAGCTTGTTCCATTAAGAAATAGAAGAGAAATGAGGTAAAACTTTTTTGCAAATATGTAAAATTGGTGATTGATATAAAAAAAAGCCCTAAACTCTCTTCTAATATTTGTTTTTTTTTTTGGATTTTTCTAATCTAATTTAAATTTCAAAGCCCCTTTATTATTTGCTTATTTTTTCATTTATTTTTAGCAATTTATTTATAAAGCTTTTAATTTTTATTATTGAGATGCATAATATGTTAGTCCTATTTTGTTACTCAACCTTAAGACAATATGTAATATAGTATGTACTTACCATTTTGTTTGTATGTTCAGCTGGAAACAAACAAACAAAAAAGTTTATGGTAATAATAAAATCTTTAGAACAGAAACCCCTTATTAATGCATTAATTTTCAGAACATTTTTTTTTTAAGAAAAGGTACAATCATTATTGTAATTTTATACGAATCTTACTATGGCGAATAGACCTGAATTCGGGCTGTGCAGGAGATGCGTTCTGTTCTGAAGTGCTTAGCTACGTAGTCTAGTTATTATACATGAGCAATTTCACCCTGCGGTGTGTAGCTCTGGTTATGTGGAAGATTACTCCCGCCCACCGACTCCTTTCAGCCAATCAGATTGCCATCCCGGCAGAACGTCGCAGTACGTAATTAATATTCATACAACAAACCTTCCCCATAGTATGGTTATCATCATTCTCCACTTGCAGGTCTTCTCTCGGTTAAGATGGTGAGTCACGACGAATGCAACTATGCCGCAATCTGTGTGATTTGTGTTTGTACATTTTTGTATTGGCGTCGCCCCTTTTTAGCGAAGGTTTCACATCAATAGAAATATATATTTTTCCTTCCTCGTCATATACAGAAACCGTATGTGTGGCTTATTATTATCTTCCCATCGACAAACAATTCTGTGAAAAACTGCATGGCTAATTAAATGCTACGTTAATCTTGGTTAAAAGCATTGTCATTGTCATTTTTAACAAACAAGCTTATTATTTTAAGAAGAAGAATCCTCATATTCACGGCATCTCTTTTGTATTTATAACATATACTCTGTATTGTACATTCCACACTAACACTGTTCTCAGGTTTGTCTTATTTATTCATTTTTTTCATTATTTTTCTACTCTATTCATACATAGGCCACTAGTCCCAAAAGACCCTCACTGGGGGCTGTGGCCCCACGTAAAAAAGCCAGTCCAAAATCTGAACTGACAGAAGAGCAAAAGCAGGAAATCCGTGAGGCGTTCGAGCTCTTTGACACTGATGGCTCTGGTTATATTGAGGTGAAGGAGTTAAAGGTAAGATATAATGCCACAAACACACTCTAAAATCCCTCTGATCTCCTCTTAAACTTTAAAATGGTTTCAAATGAAACAAATATGGAAATTTAAGTTTTTTTAATGGTACCCTCACACTCTTGGACTACTGTCCCTTGTATAAATAAGCATAAATAAAAGCCTTTTGTGTAAATAATGAGTTATTTTGCTGCAGGTGGCCATGAGAGCACTGGGCTTCGAGCCTAAAAAGGAGGAGATCAAGAAAATGATTGCAGAGGTTGATAAAGAGGCTACGGGAAAGATCTCTTTCACTGACTTTCTGTCAGTGATGACCCAAAAAATGGTAAGAATGAACTAGAGAATGTTTTTTTATATGGTTAGTCAAATATTTTAGCCCTCCTTTTTCTCTTTTTCTAATATTTCCCAAATTATGTTTAACAGAGCAAGGAATTATTTACAGTATTTCTTTTAATATTTTTGCTTATCAAGAAAGTCTTATTTTATTTCAGCTAGAGTAAAAGCAGTTTTTAATTTTATTAAAACCATTTTAAAGTCATTATTATTAGCCCCCTTAATCCTTGTGCACTGTTTTTACTACCCTTTTGTCATATTAGAGATGAAAATACCCACTGAATTAAACTGCTGTAAAAATGCATGCGATATATTTATTTCCCCCCCCCATAAATCTGTTAATCAACCTCAAGTCCTGATCAAAACTACTATTGTTTAGAAAATTACAGGATTTGAACTCTTTAATTGCCAAGGTTACAAATAACGTGACTGATTTAGTGAAAAAAAAACACAAAATTCTTTTTATTTTAATATAAAAAGTAGTTGGTGGTCTAGATTTTTAATATTCTTTTATCAGTCTTCTTTTTCAATCTTCTTTCTGTCAAACAGAAAATGGATATAAAAATATACAGGGGGCTAATAATTCTGACTTCAACTGTATATAAGGAAATATGTTAATTGCAGGCAGATTGAAACAAAATGATTTTTACTGTCCAAATCTTTAGGCTGAAAAAGACTCTAAAGAAGAAATTCTTAAGGCTTTTCGGTTGTTTGATGATGATGAGACTGGAAAAATATCTTTCCGGAATCTAAAGCGAGTGGCGAAGGAACTCGGGGAGAACCTCACAGACGAGGAGTTACAGGTAACAGAAATCATCACATACGCAAATTTCTAACCAGTCAATCACATGGCAGCAACTCTGCATTTAGGCATGTAGACATGATCACGGCGACCTGCTGCAGTTTAAACCAAGCATCAGGATGGAAAAGAAAGGTGATTTAAGTGACTTTGAACATGGCATGATTGCTGGTGCCAGACGGGCTGGTCTGAGTATTTCAGATACTGCTGATCTGCTGGGATTTTTATGCACAACCATTTCTAGGGTTAACAGAGAATGGTCTGAAAAAGAGAAAATATCCAGTGAGTGGCAGTTCTGTGGGCGCAAATGCCTTGTGGATGCCAGTGGTTAGAGGAGAATAACCAAACTGGTTTGAGCTGATAGAAAGGCAACAGTAACTCAATCACTTGTTACAACTAAGGTATGCAGAAGAGCATTTCTGAATGCACAACCGTCAGACACTCCTGTTAGCTAAGAACAGGAAACAAGCTACAATTCGCACAGGCTCACCAAAATCGGACAATAGAAGATTGAAAAAAAACTTTGCCTGGTCTGATAAGTCTCGATTTCTGCTGCGACATTTGGATGGTAGGGTCAGAATTTTATGTTAACAGCATAAAAAGCATGGATCCATCCTACCTTGTATCAACGGTTCAGGCTGGTGGTGGTGGAGTAATGCTGTGGGAGATATTTTCTTGGCACACTTTAAACCCATTAGTACCCAAAGCCACAGCCTACCTGAGTATTGTTGCTGACCAAGTCTTTCCCTTTATGATCACAGTGTTCCCAATTTCTGATGGCTACTTCCAGCAAGATTTCATTAAGCGCATCTCAATCTAATAGAGCACCTTTGGAATGTGGTGGAACAGGAAATTCGCAAAATGCATGTGCAGCCAACAAATCTGCAGCAACTGTGTGATGCTATCATGTCAAAATGGACCAAAAATCTGTGAGGAATATTTCCAGTACCTTGTTGAATCTATGCCATGAAGGATTAAGGCATTTCTCAAGGCAAAGGGGGTCCAACCAAGTACTAGTAAGGTGTGCCTAATAAAGTGGTCGGTGAGTGTATCTTAGAAATCAGTGAGCTTGAAAACTGATTTTTTTTTTTTTTTTTTTACGTGCGTGGCTGTCTGTAGGAAATGATTGATGAAGCAGACAGAGATGGCGATGGGGAAGTAAACCAGCAGGAATTTCTTCGCATCATGAAGAAAACAAGTTTGTACTGAATGTTATCTGAAGCACATTAACTTCTATGTAAACATCATTTTTACTTATGATTTCACACGTTTGTGCACAGTACCATTCCAAAAACCTTGATGCCTGTTGAACCCAGTGGTCATTTCAGATCTGCGTGGGTTTGCCAAATAGCAACACGTCAGCTGTTTACACTATATATTCTCAAATATTATCAGTAAAGATAAAAAGTAGCATATAAACAGAGGTTGTATTGATGAAGTCATTTATTGATGCTTTATGTGGATAAATCTTACCCAGATAGAATTTTTTTGTGGGGTCATGTTTCAAAATAAATTAAATAATTATAAAATACTTTTCTATAAAAGCTTATTTGTTGATCAGATTAATAACTATCCCAAAACACTTTTTAAAAAATGCATTTCAGAATTACTACTAAAACTCTATATACAGATGAAGACTGTAATGAAGTTATTACCCTCCTGTGAAATTTTTGTTGTAGTTGTTTTTTAACAGAGCAAGGACATTTTTCACAGTATTTATCATTATATTTTTCTTCTGGAGGAGGTCTTATTTCTTTTGGTTTGGCTAGAATAGATTTTTTTTTTTATTTAAAATGTTTACGGTCAACATTATTAGCGCCCTTAAGAAATATTTTTATTGATTAGCTACTGAACAAACCATTGCTGTCCAATGACTTCCCTAATTAACCAAGCAAAGCCTTTAAACGGCAACTTAAGCTAAATACTATTAACTTGTTAAAACCTAGTAAAATATTATATTTTGTCGTCATAGCAAAAACAAAAGAAATTAGTTACTAAAACTATTATGTTTAAAAACGTGTTTATATGTTGTAAAAATGAATAAAATGTTTAACAAAAAGTAAAAAAATTAGAAAATTGAATAGACATTTCACAGATGGGTTAATTCTTTTGTCTTCAACTATATATATATATATATATATATATATATATATACATACACATACATATATATTTATATATATATATATATATATGAAAAAGTCAGTAATGAGAAAGTACGGAGAATAATATTCAACAAAGTGTGCTGCTTCATTTGAAATTAAAATATGGATAGAAAATGTTTAATTATCCTATCACTACATGAAGCAATGAAACGACCCCAAAAATAAACATTTTATGTGTAATATATATTTTTACCTTTTTACGTTTCTGCCTTATGGTTCGTAAAAGTTTTTTATGAACGGTTTAGAGCTCATTAAACAGTCGAACATACTGTTGAAGGATTATTGAAGTTTACACTCCCTTCGGTTGACTTTAGCATCAGTGCTCACTGCGCTTTCAGGGACGTCTGTACTACAAACCCTTCTCTGTGCCTCAGCCGCTTTAGAGGATTTCTCTGCAGTTTTAGTAAACATATACTGTGATCTATAGTAGTATTTTTCCTCTTTGTGTTTCTTTTATGCACCATCTACCTTCAAAATCAGTTTTGTATTTGTGTACATTTGAGACGTTAAGTATTGTTTAAACAAATAAATTATATTAAGCAGCTGGTATTGAGACAATCGGTGTCATTTTGTTGCATCAATTGATTTTTCTTTAGTTTGATTTCCATTATGATAATAATGCAAAAAATAAGAGAATGCAACACCTCCTTTGGATGAAACATTCATTCATTCATTCATTTTCTTGTCGGCTTAGTCCCTTTATTTTTCCAGGGTTGCCACAGCGGAATGAACCGCCAACTTATCCAGCACGTTTTTACGCAGCGGATGCCCTTCCAGCTCTGGGAAACATCTACAAACTCATTCATACACACAATCATACACTACGGACAATTTAGCCTACCCAATTCACCTGTACCGCATTTCTTTGGACTGTGGGGGAAACCGGAGAAACCGGAGGAAACCCACGCGAACGCAGGGAGAACATGCAAACTCCTCACAGAAACGCCAACTGAGCCAAGGTTCGAACCAGCTACCTTCTTGCTGTGAGACGACAGCACTACCTACTGCCTGTCTATTTATCTATGCTATAATTATTTTTCCACATCTATAAATGTTTCTTGAGCAGCAAATCAGCATTACAGAATGAATTCCAATGGATCATAAAGATTGTAATGGCTGCTGAAAACTGAAAAAAGTTTTACCATCACAAATGGAAAATTTATTTAAATTTTTATATTAAATGTTAGTACAGTTTCTACAATATTTTCTTTTTTTAAATACAGCAAAAGTGAACAACTACTTTAAAAACAAAGCATCCATTTGTGTAGATTTAATAAAGAACAGTTTATTATTTTTAAAAAATAACATTCAAACAAACAAAATATAAAGATAAAAACATACATATCCCTTAAGGCAGTCAATTTAAATAGTTAAACTCACAAGGAGGTAATTGAACATCTAAACATGGCTCGTATCATTAGGCTTAAATGGACTCCAACCATAAAGTCATTTCACATTATAAAACTAGTTTAATCATAAAAAGTCTGATGGAGGTTGACATGGTCATAAACGTCTGTTCAATTACCAGTAAGTTAAAGCTACATATGAACAGAACTCAAGCAACAGCAGAAGTCTTGATGGTTTGAGGTATTTAGGACTTTTGTGTGTGTGTGTGTGTGTGTGTGTGTGTGTGTGTGTGTGTGTGTGTGTGTGTAAACGGAGATCAACTTTGACTGAGACGAGTCTTGCTGGCAAAGTCGGCACTGAGTTTGCGCATGATCTCAGCATGACTCTGGCCGGTTAATTCTTGTTTAGTTGAGCCGTAGTTCTCTTTCACAAAGGTGGCGAAGGGTGTGGGTGCCCGAGGCTTCGAGGGAGTCAACAAAACCAGCTGTCCGGTGCATAAAGCACAAACAAACTTTGTGGTGTCCAACGATTTAGAGTGGCGCCCGATCCTGTGACCAACATTAGCATAGACAATTAGAGATATTAGCTGGAGAAGTTTGACCCCAAGTAATATAGACAATCGCTTTAGCAAACACTAATGTATTTTTACTGTGTAAACATGCTGTCAAATTTATACACAAATTGCATGTAATTTAATACCATAGATACTTAAAGGCACAATATTTTGCCACTAGAGGGCGCATATTCACAACAAACAAAGGCGTAGTTTAATGATGCCATGACTAAATGTGGAATCATGGGAGTCGTGGTCTTCATTACATCCTATGGGACTTATCATGGTAGTATGAAGCAGCGTCAGCGGCTGAATGTAATTGAAATAAAACAAGGCCACAGACGAAATTGCTAATTGTGGACTTCCAGTTCTTCCGGTCTTAGTCACATGGGGAAAGAGCAGCGCTGTTTTATGATAATAAAGATATTTTAAAGTTCTGATATAAGGCTGCTCTGTGCAGTCTATAAAATGCAAAACATATTAAAGCATCTTTGGAGTTTACCCATTTCTATAAAACAAAACCAGACATTGAGTGTATGACGTCTTTAGCATGACAAAACAGGACACAGTGCGTGTCACTCGATAAAATTGTTTATTTGTCTGGATTTGAACACTCTTCGAACATTTGGCTAAATATATAACACTGCTCTAGTGTGCTTTTAATTTAATACCAATAAATATAAAGTGTCTTTATTATGTCTTATTACATCATATAGAGAGACACCATTAACTAAAATAAAGGACTAGAAAAAGAAAACTATTTCCAATATAGCTTATAGATACTATTACACCAAACATCCTTTCTATTATAAATTACAGTCTGACTAGTAAACATCATTCTATTCTGGTTTCAGATCAGGTCACATCACAGAATCACAACACAGATGTTCTATTAGGTGTTGCTACCAGGTTCAGCCAAATCTTAGCTCAGCTTTTGATATGATTGACCGTAGTATTGAAAGTTTAAACTATTACGTGGCCATCCAAGGAACTGCTCTAAGACAGCTTGACTCTAATCTTCAAAATAACATATTTTCTATTAAAATTTGATTCTTTTCATCATCATTTTTATTGATTTTATTATGACTGGTGGGACCTCAAGGTTCCATTTTAGAACCAGTGCTATTTATTTGCTTACTCTTATTTCTATTCATATAAGAAATACAAGAACAATATCTCATACCAGACACCTTTTTCCACTCCTTCCAATTATGTCATAATCTTTTATTTAAATAGTAACTAAATATTTTCTAATAATAATAATTTACTAATACACGATGTGACTGTTTGGATGGAATACTGAAATATTAGATTGTGTCTTCTTAACAAACTCCTGGAATTTCTAAAGTTATAAAATCCTAATTGACTTTTTGAGGGACACTCTGAATCACACCTTTAAAAAAAAAAAAAAAAAGATTGCTGAATTGAAATTACCGTGGAGACATGGAAAGCGGTCTTGAACAGGGTTAACTCCTCCTCAATCTGTGCACGTCCCAGGCTAATACAATGCAAGGTAGTGCATAGAGCTCATTGGTCCAAGAGCAGGCTAGCTCGCATCAATCCGTCTATAGACCCTGAGTGCGACAGGTGTCATTCTGGTACAGCTACTTTATTCCATATGTTTTGGTCCTGTCCTTCCCTGCTTTCTTTTTGGAGACAAATATTTCTCTCGCTATCAGCTATTACCACTGTTGATATCCCACCATGTCCAATTATTGGTTTATTTGGGGTTCTTACGCCCGACCTTACTTTACCCTCTCATTTTGTAGACTTTGTAGCCTTCATAACTTTTCTGGCTAGGCGATTAATTCTTCTGAACTGGAAGAGCCCTCACCCTCCTCCTCACTTTTGTTGGATAAGAAATGTTTTTATTTTATGAAATTTAAAAAAAAAATAGGTACTCTCTTCACCAAACTAGCACTATTTTAAATAAATTGTGGGAACCCCTTCGCAAATATGTCCAAAATCTTCAGCTTGACCCTGCTTCTTCTGATTGAGTCCCCACCCCCTAATGCCCAGCTTTTATGGGAAACTATTTCTGGTCAACACATTGTAGACTTGTTTTTTTATGTATATAAGATTGCACTAGTGTTGTTGTTTTTTATTTTATTTATCTATTTATTTTTACTATCTTATTTTTATTTATTATTATTATTTATTTATTTTTATTATTATTATTTGCTCAAAATACTCTTCAGTGTATTTGCTTATTTTGTTACATGTTTTTGTCTTTGTAAATTGTTGTAATGTTTTACAATGTATAATTAAAACATTAAAAAAAAAAGATTGCTATCAAGATTCACTAAGCAGAATTTTAAAAGCACCTATCAACAACGATGTATGAAACACAACTCCCACAGAAGACATTTTCAAACCAAACAGCTTTGTTTTGGACAAAGCAGTGAATTTGTGTGAACATGTTGTTAAATTCAGTAGGATTTCACCTTCATGCAATTTTCATGCAATATTCTCACATACAACGATTGTTACTGTGATGACTGGATTTCGATTGTAAAAATTGAGATTCATTGACACTCAATGAAAAAAAAAAAAAACAGTTGTACACTTACGTGTTCTTACACCGGTTACACTGATACTGGAACTTGTAGTTGATGTCATAACTGTGGCAGCGGGAAACCATCGGGAGCTCAGGATGAGCCAGCATTGCTTTA